ATCTATCCATCCACACATGTATCCATCCATCCACCCATCCATCCATCCATTCATCAATTTATTAATTATATAAATGTACATTGTAGACTAAGCTAAGCAGTTTGGCATTTTGAAGGTCCAGATATCAGTAAGACTCGGATATAACCTTTGAGGTAACGTTCTAACTGATCATATTTGGAAAAGGAAAATAGCTTTTGTTATAAATAATTACAATGCAGTCATTGGTGACAATGGTTACAATGTTGAGGTGAGTGAACAGAAAATGGTTGTCTACTATCTTTCCTAGAAAACGTCAGAGGAACTTTCAGGAGGCAAATACAAATAAAAACAAATCAACCAGATTAAAAGTCTCTAGAGACTAAATGGGAAGTCAGTCCCTGCCCAGGAAAAAAAACAAAACAGACACTTTCTGACATGGGATTAGAGCCTAGGTTGAAAGGTTTGTCTTCAGGGCTGCAGCCCCCAAGCTAAGTAACTGCTGTCTGGGGAATGATGCTATTTGAATATCCCGGGCAATGTGCACAGCTTCCCCAATAGCATTGATATGTTAGCTTGCAGTGGTTACTGTTTATTTACACTACCTAGCTCTGGATTGGAGCTTGGCATAAGAGCTTTGTTACTCGGAAAGAACTACATACCAATCAACAGAAAAGGCTTCTGCACTCCTTGGATCGGTCAGACAGGCTTCAGAGCACATCGACTTCCCTTGGTTTCTCTTAAGGATTTTTTTCAGAACTTCCATGAACTCCAAGACCTTCAGCTTCCTCATATTGCATAGTCTTTGCATAGAGCCCACACACACATCCTCCTGTATATTTTGCATCTTCTCCAAATAGCATAAATATCCATTCCAAGTACCCAATACACAAATAATGCTCTACTTCACTGTCTAGGGGACAATGACAGTGAAAAGTGTGTATAGATTCAGTACAGGTCCTCTCCCACACCAAATGTCTTCTGTTCAAGGTTGGTTCCTAGGATGTTGGGCCTATGAATGGGAGGGCAGTGTATCATCCATACCAGCCCTAAGAACTCCACTCTTCAGCTTAGATCTGGAGTGATCTTCTGGGGATCAGTACATGCTTGAATCACATGACCTCTGAGAAAATAATTCTACCCAAATTATAGTCCTTGTCTTAGTGCAGACCCATCGGGTCAAGGCATGTCCCACAGTAGTCTAGTTCTCTTTGTAAAAAGCAGTGCTTCCGAGTGCAGAAACATCACACTGGAGATCCTTGCCATTCCCACAGGGAAGAACTCCCCCTGAACTTACCTTGCTCTCTAAACACCTAATGCTTCCTATATGCATGAGATGTGGAAGCTGGTGTTTTAGATACTGTAGTCCCCTTATGGAAGGGCTGACATTTGTTCTAGTGAGTTCTTGCACATTGGATTTGTTAGACATCAGATTTGTTTTTTGGATTCAGAGCTTGAGGTGTGCCTCCCTCCTTTCGCCTTTCAGATAGGAGCCTGTGGCTACATCGGTGCGCTAGTGAGAAACAGCTGCTGGCTGATCCAGGCGTTCAGTCTGGCCTGCACAGTGAAAGGCTATAAAATGCGTAAGTATGAGGGGACCCTGGGGGGGAAGGGATGTGGAAAAGGGAGAGCAGCTGTGTGGTTCTGGCTTCAAACCTCAAGGGCAACGCACAGAGGAATGAGATAAAGGTCAGAATCAGTTCCACCCTGAGACAGAGGCTGTGAAGCTATACTGGGTGATGTCTGGCTTAGGACAGAAGGTGCCCCCCCCAACGCCCTGCCACACTAGTGCAGGACGGGTGTCTCCGCGTGCTTTTCTGGGAGAATTAAAAACAATTCCCGTTTCCTCCACAAGGCTGCAGCTGCTCCAGGTAGACCGGTCGGTCCTCAGGTGCCTCGGGCTTCCAGAACCTCTCTCTTCAAGAAACCGAGAAGGGGTGGGGGTGACTTCAGGCACAGAAAGCCAACTGGGAAGAGTCCTGGGGTATCTGGGAGGATTTCCCCCACTTTTCCCCCACAGAGACAATGGGAAATGCAATTTCTGTCACCTGCCTCAAGCTCAGAATCACAGGTTGTGTTAGCTATGTGCTTTCATGATACTCAGAAGGCTACTTAGATACAATGTACGCGATGCCTGTGGCTCCTAATTCAGGCCGTACTCAACAGAGGATTAAACTATTATCTGGAAATTGCTAGTTAGTGTAAATGTGCTGACACAGCCTGCTAATAGACTATCAAGCCCGTTGACCCTGGATAGAACTTTTCTACATTAGAGCATTTCATCTACCATTAAGCCATTGTTTAGGGGAAGTCCTTGAAGAAAGGATGTTCAGGAATTCCCTAACCTCACAGTGCCGGCAATTCGTTGGAGCCCCCTCATGCTGCTTGTGAAGTGCTCAGCTCATAAGTAAATCAGCCCATTGGAATTCCACGCTTGTGTCGGTGGGATTTCCCGAGCCCGGCTCTGTAGACTTCATGCGACAGCGGTGCACACAGGTGTTCATTTGCTCTTGGGTTCTCTCCCCTGCTTGATGCCGCAGCTGAGGATGACTCCAAATGCAGGCTGCCCAGTGGGGAGGCGGGAATCATCTGGGACAGCATCTGCTTTGCCTTCCTCCTGCTTCAGAGAAGAGTCTTCATGAGTTACTACTTCCTGCACGTTGTGGCTGACATCAAAGCCTCCCAGATCCTGGCATCCAGGTGGGTTAGGCGACCTTCACCGACAACTCGCCTGAATGTGATAATGCTCAATATTATATATCTCACGTTGCTCAGAGAACCCACAGGAAGCTTTAAAGTCGCTTTGAGGAAAACCATTCCCTAAAGCACTTGACACCAGTCCCTTTGTTTCTAAACTACAGTCCTAGCAAGGAACTCAGTGACCAGCACTAACACCATGGGCAAATGATCTGAGTGGACATGTCACAGTAGAAAACATCAGAGCAGGGGTTGGGATGTAGCTCAGTGGCAGAGCACACTTGACCTTCCACGTCACACAAAGGGTAGGGGAGGGTGCAAAGGAAGAACATGCACAGATGTCCTAAAAGTATACAAACTATCTCTGAACAACACAACTCATCAGCAAAATGTAATTTTAAAAAACCTGCAATTTGGCATCATTTCACTCCTGTGAAAATGCCTAAGATTGAAAAACCAAAAACTCAACGCAAGTGAGAATGGTTAGTAAGGGAGAAAGCCTTACACACCATTAGCAAGGATATACATTAGTATAGCCAGTTTGGCGGTTCCCCAGAAAGCTCAGACGTTGAGCACAGGACCCAGCACCCCTCTGCTCCCCCACCTTCTCCTGCCCCTCTCTTCTCTTCCTTTTAGTCTCTTCCACTAAAATTCGCCTGAATTTCTGCTCTGGGACTCTTTACATTGCCACGTTCTTCACCTTGGACGCCATTCCTCCTCCAGCTTTTGCCCTTCTCTTCGATTTAGAAAAGGCTGCGGAGAGTACTGGCTGCCAACAGGCGTGCCACTGCATGGAGGGGGCAGTGACTGAGTGTGCAGCCATTTGTCTGGAGCCGCCAGCCTTGCTCAGACAGCATAGGATCCATAATGCTCGCTCCCTGGCAAGCATTCGTTAATTTCCCTTACGAAGTTGCCATATGCCACCTTTGAACTTGAGACTCATGCATACACACATAGGTGATTATGACACCAGTTTCTCTAGATTTCATCTCCTTCCCCTGCCAGGAAGTTCATTTATATGTGTGTGGCACCAGCCTTTGTCACCTAAGTTGGAGCCACATAGAGAAAGGATATAGTAAGAACCTACTTTACATTTAAGGAGCCTTGTGGCATGTTCGGTCCTCATTACATAGGTGAACAGTGACCTTATTTAGCTTCAAATATTAATCCTGTAATTTATGAGTATGATTATTATTAACTGTCCAGGACATCATGTTCAGAAATGGCAGAGTCGGATAGAATTGTCTTTGACTTTTGGGGCTGCCATAACAAAAGTATGGCATGGCAGGCAGACTACGCACACTGTAAATGTATCCCCAGCCATTCTGGTAGCTAGAAGACAAGTATTGAGATGCCATCAGTTTGGGTGTCTTGTGAGAACCTGTAGTCATTCTATGTAGAAAGAATAAGAGACTTCCTGGGCCTTATCTAAGCCATTCATAGCTTAGTCATCTTGCAAGGCTCTACTTCCCAATGATGTCACTTGGGCATAAGGATTTCAATGTGCTACATAATTCAGACAATGGTGATGATGTAAGAAATAATGAGGAGGCCATGAGAGTCAAGGATGTGTTAGCAGTTTCACAGCATGAGCTGGGCTGCCTTCCATCCCAAGAAACGATCTAAAGAAGGAGCTGAATAAAAGAGGAAGGGTAGGGAAGCAGCCCCAGTGACATCACTGTGAAAAGTTTTTATTTGACTGCAAGAGCAGTGGTGCCTGGGTGAACAGAGGAAAACATGGGGTGAACCTGGCTCAATTTCCATTTCTCAGATTAGCAGAGCGTTAGTGTATGCATCAGTTTGCAGTCAGAGAACCTGTGGTTGGAGAGATGCCTGGCGGGTAAAGTTCTGCTGCACAAGTGTGAGGTGCTGAGTCCAGATGCACAGCATCCATATAAAAATGCAGGCCTGGCATTGTACATCTGGCTCTGGCTCTCCATGGAGGTTAGAAACAAGCAGCCCCCAGCGACTGCTGTCCATCCAATCTAGTCAAAATGACAAGTTTCACATTAGTGAGAGAACCTAGCTCAAAAAAAAAAAATAATGTAAAGAACCTGGAGAGATGAGGGCTCAATAGTTAAGAGCACATACTACTCTTGCAGAGGACCCAAGTTCAATTCCTGGTACCCCTATCAATTGACTCACACCTGCCTATAACTGGTGGGGATCTGACACCTCTGACCCTCCATAGACACCTGCTTCACCCCCACAGACCTACACACAAACACATATAATGACATTTGAAATAAATATCTTACAGAAATAACGTGGAAAAATGGTTAGAGAAAATATCCTAATATCAATATAAGTTTTGGCCTCCACATGCACCCACATGAGCAAGTATGTCTGCACATATAAATACATGCAGCACACACATGTAAAGAGAGACGAGAGAGGAAGGGAGGGAATGCTCGTAGCAATAGAAATGTGAAAAAATGAATAAATTCCTCAGGCTTCAGGCAAGGCAAGAAATCAAGGAAGGAGCCCCAAGCATAAGGCGTGCCCTTGGCAAGAGGAATGTATTCCTTTCCCTGTCATGAAAATAATAATAATAAAAAGGGATGACAGTGGAAAGGGTGTGTGTGAGAAGACGAACAGCTTCTTGCCTTATGACAAATATTCTGCTAGAACGGTGGTTCTCAACCTGTGGGTCAGGACCCCTTGGTGTTCGAACAACTTTTTTTAGGGGTCACCTAAGACCATTCTGCATATCAGATATTTACATTACAGTTCCTAACCATGGCAAAGTTACCATTATGAAGTAGCAGTAAAGGAATTTCACAGTTGGAGGTCACCACATGTGAGGAATTCTATTGAATGGGCACAGCATTAGGAAGGAATGGTCACAGCATTGAGAACTGCTGCTCTAGGGAGTCTGGAAACTTGAAGGACGTTACTAGAAGTGAAAGGAAAGTCAACTGATAAATGTCGTGTGGCCCTCTGTAACATGAGGGGGCCTGCTTGTTGGTGTTTCTGTCCTGCCCGGTACCCCACAGCCGGCAATTCACAAAGAAAATAACACAGAGTCTATATTAGGTTATAAACTGATTGGCCCATTAGGTCAGGCTTCTTATTAGTCCTTGTAACTTATAGTAATCCATTATCATTATCTATGTTAGCCACACGGCTCAGTACCTTTCTCAGTGTGACAGCTCACATGTTGCCTCTTCGGTAGTCTGGGCAGGAATGGCGGAAGGAGCTTCCTCTTTCCTAGCCTTCTCCTATTCTCATTGCCCCGCCTCTAGTTCCTGCCTGGTTGACCCACCTATACTTCCTGCCTGGCCAATCAGCGTTTTATTAAAAATACATGATTGATAGAATACAGACAATTCTCCCGCATCATTTCCCTTTTTTTTTTAAACAAAGGAAAATACCCATAGTCCATTTGTTGGGAATGTGGGCATAGTATTTCAGGCTACTTCCTGCTGGTTGGGAACGCTGATAATCTTATGGGGAACTAAAGAAAATTATTATCAAGTCCTGGCTGCAGTATCCTGTGAGTCTTGATCACCACAGGCAGCAATCCTGAATCAGTTCTGGATGTAGAACTCTGTATCCAGGCCATCTGTTCCTACCGGAGATTTCTCGGGTGGTCTTCCTTGAACAAACCTGATTTTTCTTAGCTCAGAATGAATCCACAGCCTCTCATTTACTGTGGAAACAAAAGCACAATCTCTTCTCCAAAGTAGCATACCTTTTGACTTCAATTTTGAATCCAAGGTATTTTCAAAATACCTATATTGGATTAATTCTGCAGCATTTATAAGCAAGTATCTTTTAGCAGCTGTTGCTCCTTCCTCAGCATTCAAACAATTCAAAGAGAGCATAATAGCATACAGTATCAAGATTCTCTGTATATTTTCCATCTTTATTTTAACCTCTATTTCTTCTATTTTTCTTTTACTTTTTGAGGCAGAATCTCTGTTTATCTTTGTCCTGGCATAACTCTGTAGACCAGGCTGTCCTTGAACTCACAGAGATCCCTTTGTCTCTGCCTCCCCAGTGCTGGGATTAAAGGTGTGTGCTACAACACCTTGAACTCATAGAAATCTGTCTGTCTCTGCCTCCCAGGCATTGGGATTGAAGGTGTGTGCTACCACACCTTGAAGTCACAGATGTCAATCTACCTCTGCCTCCCAGGCATTGGGATTAAAGGTGTGTACCACCACATCCAACTACTCCCTTTTTTTCTTTTTTAACTTTTAAGAACTTTAACCTTTAGCCTGCACATATTTTTACCACAGCATAAACCATTTAGAGGTTTTTTCATCTTTGAATCTCTCTTTACTGCATCTCTCTCTTTTTCTGACTACGTGAGTCTTTAAAGAGAGTACTAGAGCCGTGACTTTGATAGCTGAATCCAGCCCATTCCTCAGTTTTTCAGCCTCATGGCGGACGTACTGCTGGAACCATTTTTATTGCCACAACTCTGTAGCGGTTCAAGGTCCTTGTCAGCAAGCAAGCTGCAGCAGTCTGCTCACAGACCACACTCAGTCGGACCGCCTGCCTGAAAGAGTCAGAGTTTGCCCTAGCAGGACAGCCCAGAAAGTTGGCATTTTAAAACAGCGCAGGTTTTTTCCTGCTATGGCTGAAAACCAAAAAGCATTCCTTCAGCTTTTCATCAACACCATTTAAGTGTTTCGTGGCAGGACCTCTTAAAAGGGCTGCAAGGTTTTGCAGCTAAAGCTGAGTCAGGAAGCCTCTCTTAGATGAGAGCATTTGCTTGCCTCTAGCAAGCAGAGCAGACCCAAGAAATTGCTGCTACCAAGAAGCCATGCTTTACCCTATTCTTTCCCAAGCTTTCTCAAGCTTTCTGTGGATTCAGTTGTCCATGTGGGCGCCATCTGTAACATGAGGGGGCCTGCTTATTGGGGTTTCTTTCCCGCCTGGTACCCCACAGCTGGCAATTCACAAAGAAAATAACACAGAGTCTACATTAAGTTATAAACTGATTGGCCCATTAGGTCAGGCTTCTTATTAGTCCTTGTAACTTATAGTAATCCATTATCATTATTTATGTTAGCCACACGGCTCAGTACCTTTCTCAGTGTGACAGCTCACATGTTGCCTCTTCGGTAGTCTGGGCAGGAATGGCGGAGGGAGCTTCCTCTTTCCTAGCCTTCTCCTATTCTCATTGCCCCGCCTCTAGTTCCTGCCTGGTTGACCCACCTATACTTCCTGCCTGGCCAATCAGCGTTTTATTAAAAATACATGATTGACAGAATACAGACAATTCTCCCACATCAGCCCTCAACTGAAGTCATGTTGTGTTTGAAAAGCAACCCATTTTCTCTCCACTGGCTGCCCAGGCTGACAGACAGCCCACTTACTCCTTGTTCAGTCACTCATAAAGGGTATCCAGAAGGAGTGGGTGACGTCAGCCAGGAAACGTCTGTCAGCCCCAGAAAAGGGTCACCGTGACCTCTGATCCGTAATGATCATTTTCAGGAAAAGATGAACAGCCACAAGAATAGTGACATGTTCTGTTTCCGATTTTATTTCAGAGGGGCTGAACTTTTCCAGGCTACGATTGTGAAAGCTGTAAAGGCAAGAATCGAGGAAGAGAAAAAGTCCATGGATCAGCTAAAGAGACAGTGAGTACTCTCTTCGCTCTCCTCTCTGCCTTTTTCTAGTTTGTATGGGGGGAGTCAACTTGGCTCTTGGGATTTCAGATCCCTGAAAAAATATATCCATTTCTAACAATGAAGGAGACTTTGAAGGACTGGTCCACCCCTGTATTTTGAGAGCCAATTACTCTGTCAGGTCAGGCACTAACACTGCCACACTGAAGATGAAAGCAGTTTAGCAGGGTGGTCGCTCCAGGATCTGGGAAGGGGACCTTCTTGGAAAACAGCAAGGAGCTACCACAGATTCAGTTATTTTGTTCAGAGTCCCGAGCTGGTCATTTAAGTTCTCTGAAACTCCACCTGGGTCACTCAGTTAGGGTATGCAGTTGTCCCTTCTGAGCTGTTACAAGGATTGATAAATTAATGAAAGAGGCTTGGCTCAGAGCCAAGTACTAGGCAGGTTCGTTGCATTTCTGGATCCAGGAACTAACTACGGAGCCAGCTTCAGAGGCATCCTATACAACAGTACAGTACATGCTCAGAAGAATGAGCTCTGATATGTAGAATCTACAGTAACCAGAACCAGCACTGGTATGACCAGCTCTTCCTGATGTGATACAACACTTTCCCTACCACACCATTCCGAATGGGACAAGGGTGGGCTGACAGGACTCGGGAGATCTGGGAATTGGATTGAAAAGAATTTCGGGGGGGGGGATAAAATTTCTAACAATGGCTAGAACTTCTAAGGACAGGTACACACCTTCATTTTGAGTATTAGTGTTCAGAACCTAATAACTGTAGGATTGGAATCCTAGACAACTTTGTCAAGAAAGTTGAGGCCTTGTCCCACCCTTCCAGGAAAGCCCCCTAAATTTGGAAGAGCAACTTCATTCCATTGTGACCTCAGTTCTTAATTCCCTTCCCTTAAAGGGTATTTCCTTGTGTAAATTATTCCGTGGCATGGTTATGTGCACAAAGGCCTAAGATGTATATGAAATTGGAATGTATATGCAGTGGGCTGCAACCATTGTTATTCCTCTAGCTCAGAATTAGAAGGAAGAAATGCAGGGCCATGTTTGGAATGTGTTTCCATGAGACATGACTCTTCATTCACATTTTGGTTATGAATGCAAAGCTGGGGCAGGAGCGATCTATACTCCATCTTCAAGTAATCCAATACCCTTTCCTGGCCTCTGCAGACACCAGGCATGTACATGGTGCACATACACACATGCATGGAGACAAAACACCTGTTCACATAAAATAAACAAAATAGCAAAAATGATGTAAAGCCTTTGGTTATCATATGCTGTGTTCAGACTGGCAATGATGCAAAATGAGAATAGGTATCAAGGACTTCATGTGAAACCTTAGCATCATGACTATTGATTGTATGACTAACCCCAGTATCTATGAAACACAGACTATCATGGACTCATGTATGTGTGTATGATATTTATTGTTAATAAGCAATTATCTCATAACCTTAAGTACTTCAAAGTAAGATAAACACTTTGCTCATGGATTCAGATATTTGCAGAACAATGTACGTCCACAGAGCTGACTGTGGCATAACTGTGCCTGCGCTCTTACTGTTACTAACGCTGCCTTGTTTATAGGATGGATCGCATCAAAGCCCGGCAACAAAAGTACAAAAAGGGTAAGGAGAGGATGCTGAGCTTGACCCAGGAGTCAGGGGAAGGCCAGGACATCCAGAAACTCTCAGAAGAAGATGATGAAAGTATGTCATGTTTTTCCTCTACTCGAGTGCTTTGACATCTGATAAGAGCATGCTCTTGGTAAAGCTGTAAAATACTGTTCGTTTCATTCTGTCAGTTGTCTCACCATGTTTCACTCACCTGTCATGAACAGATATGTTCCTTGGGACATATTTAGTGAATGAATGATTTTGCAAGCATCTACTCTTCAACATACCTTCAATGAACATTGTCTGGTTTAGGTCACAGACATGTTCCTTATGAGATTGGCATGATTTTTGCTTCATTTGTTCCTTTAGGGAAAGGTTTTAGATATGCTGCTGTTGGTTTTTGTAAGTTTAACGTGGAAATTAAAGATGCATGCATATTTTATGTCACTTGTGCATATCCATAGTTCAAATTTCAGCTGTTACGCATTCCAATGAAATTTACTGAGAAACATATAATGTATTATATTTAATTATATATTTATCCAATTGCAGCACTAACAGTCTTGCTGTAGGAGCCTGCATGCTTTCCTGCTTAAGGGAATAGAAAAAATAATGCATGGTCTCTTTCCAGTTCCTAGAATCCCTTCATTGGCAACAACTATCTTCCAATCATGCTAAATTAATCAAAAGAAAAAGTCCTATTCCTTGTTCTTGGTACATTTCAATGACTTATTTACCACTACATGGTTCTTTGAAATGGGCAATGATTCTCTCATGCTAATTTACTGAAAAAATTCAGTGCAAGATGCATTTTTGGCAAAGAATACTTCTTTTTAAATGTTTCTTTACGTATGCCCTCAGATCCTAGGAAGAAAGTGAGCATGGAGCATACAGTTAAGAGCATTCAGTGTCTGCAGCGGACTGCTAGTACATGAGTCCTTTTGTAGCTAGTAAACTTCCTTTTCCTGATCTCTGATGTGTTTTTGCAATTTATCTAGACTTGACAATTGAGTTTTTAAAACGTGGTTTTCAAAGTGTGTGTGCTCACTTCCTAAGAATTAATGTCTGGACATATTTCATTTTAGGAGAAGCAGACAAACAGAAAGCCAAGGGCAAAAAAAAGCAGTGGTGGCGGCCTTGGGTTGATCATGCTTCCAGTAGGTTCTCTTGATCCTCTTCCGATCTCATCAGTTCTAACCCTTATATCCTTGACCAGAATTCAGGCTCCCCATGACCTGTGTGCCCCATGCATGGTTTGATCCTTGTGACTCGATAGGGGGTCAGAGTGTAAGAACACCACAGTGCTAATGAGCCTCTAGGTCCCACGGATCAATTCTTCCGAAGAAATTAGCATATTGGCGAAAAGGAAGCCAAAGTTGTGATAGAGAGAGTATTATCTCAGAAAACAAAGAACTGAGTTGTTAACTAAATCCCCAGTGTTCTGCTCTCCACTGTGTGGTTTAAAGCCCTTAAGAATAAATCTGCCTGGTGCCAGGACTCAAGAAAGATGATTGCTCTCCTCTAAGTGTCTGTGGCCCTCTTTGTTAGGCCCTGGGCATGGCTGTCAGTGAACCTCCTGCCCTATCTTCCCAGAGATGGGATTTCCTTCACATTTAAGAGTTTCAGAGTGTGTGTTTAAAGATGAGGGATAACCTAAAATGCATTACTTTGTACTTTAACCTCTCCCAACCTCAAAATGGTTCTGCAACAACCAATATCCTAAACACCCAGGCCCAGAATATAGAGCAGCCTCAGATATGACCAACTAATAGCAAAACCAGGAAAACAGAGTCTGCTAGCCACGTAAACTACAAGGTATTTCCCTCCTAATGGTAAAAATGGATGTGTGGGTACAGACACCATTGGCTGTATTTGTTATGTTTAGTTTAAAAAAAACAAAAGTCAGTACTGGTCAGTGGCTTTACAATGGAATGGTGAATGACCCACTACAATCTAGTCTTTCTGGATTCCTTAGATGTGATTATTATTTTAAAAATAATGTGTAGTATCTTCAGCCTTTTTTAGTCTTACACTGCACGGCCATAGCTGCAACTGGTCTAATCAGACAAAGAAAGTCACACATGGCTGAGAACAACCCTGATCGTAGGAAACCTTTAGAAAACTAAGGAAATACCAGTTTGTCACCTGAATTATGAGAGTCACCATGACCTGCAATGGGCTAAAATCGGCAAGCTGATATAAATGGCATGAAATTTGAAATTTGCTTGGCATCTTTGCATTTAGTTAGATTTCATCCATGATGTTGAACTTCAATAGTACAGTTAAAAATGAGAGAGAGAGAGAGAGAGAGAGAGAGAGAGAGAGAGAGTCACAAAGAATTCCATTTAATTCTATGCCCAAGTTCAAAGACAAAGGTTCAAGTTGAAATCCAGTGTGGCTCCTCTGTGATTCATTGGCTCATTAGTCAAGTTAACAACATGGGGAGAGCTCTGAGTGCCTATTCTATCAAGTCACAAGTAAACTGTGCCTACTTTTCTGTTTTTAAAGGGCCTTTGCTGGTTTAGAGTGACCTATCCATTTTGGAAACCACCGCATATTGAGTGTTTGTCCTCCAGCGGGGTAAATTCCTACTGTGGCCACTGTGGCAGTTTCTCCCCTTTGGCAACTAAATTATTTAAAAAAGAATTGGATATGGTCTCTGGTAACCATCGTACACATTGGTAATAACTTAACTCTCTGTGACGGTTAATGACTTTAGATTTTTTTTTCAATTCATTTCACCCTCATTATATCAGATTTTCCTGGTGTTCAACTCCGTGTGCTTTGTTACAACGTGTTACAGTGCAATAATGCAGGACCGTCTGTCACACGTGGTTTGGAATCATGTCCTGACCAAGTGGCACTAAGTTACTACTATATAACATATTTTCCTTGCCAAATTTGAAAGGAACAAAAGGGAAAGAATAGCCTTGACAGTTTTTAGTCTTCGGTGCTCCAAAACTTAGCTTTAGATCTGGAAGGATGTTGCTAGAAGCCATTGACTGATCTGTTAAAATGATTGGGCTGGGTTTTCAGATAGCTTCTGAGAGATGCTGAGTTCAAGTGCAGCTGCCATGTCCATTGCAGCTGCTGCTTGTTGATGTCGTTGGTCGGCAGCAAAGATGTCAATGTAAGCTGTGGAATTTGCCAGTTCCAAACCTATGCACGCACACTGGACTGCATTATTGCTGTTCAATAATACCTTCCTCCTTCCCACGATCGTGTGTCTCTGTGTCAGCTCCACACCACCCTAGGCAGTACCTAGCTCTGCTTTCTTGATAAATATCTGAAGAGCCACGTTTCTGTGGACACAAGTGGTGAGATTCTAAAAGTTAATTTCCTACCAAGCAACTTAGCAATGACACCAGCATCTGTGGTCTGTGGCTGGACACAGCCTGAAGGCAGTGCCTCCAATCTGCGCTAATGTGCACGGAAGAACTTCTTAAATTATCATTAGTAGCACACACTAAAAAGAAGTGATTTTCCTAGTGTTACTTCAACAATGTTTTTTTTTTGAAGAACTAAGAGACTTTAAAAAGTATTTCATTTTTTCAATGTACCAGTTTCACTTGTTTACATAGCAAATTGGTGATATTACTAATGATAAAAATCAATGCTTGAGATTAAAAAATTATTTAGGCTCAACCATATCAATAAAAAATGATAGAAGGTATGATTGAATACAACTTCAGCTATTGTTGATCTTAGTGCCTATAATGAGGGTAAAATGGTTCACCTTATGATGCCCTGTGTTTGTCCCAAATGACTATGTGTTGTAGAGTCCACAAAACTTCCCTGCAATATCTTCCAGCTTACATGAAGGCATTACTTTAATGGTCTTCCTCACTGTCAAATGTAATGCTGTGACTTTGGTTTGTTCTTGCTTATTATTACGTTATGTTGTACTGCATTGATTCCCTCAGGCCTGGATCCAATACTCCCAGCCTGGTTGTTTTTCTTCAAAACATGAGTAACAAATCACAGTGCTTCTGTTCAAGGATATAAGGCCCAATTCGTTCACTCTGCATCTTCTTGAATGAAGTCTCAGAGTCATCCGATGTTGTAAACAAAATTGTTCAGCTTTTGACCGTAGCTAATGACATTCACCCAACTGGTTTTAAACAAGCCAAGGTTTCCTATGACCAAATCGTAGTTTAAGACATCACATCACCACCCCTGGATGACTCCACAGTTTGAAATACCAGCTACAATTAGAAAACCTGAGTGTGCTTCCCCACAATGATGGTACAGTTCTTGTAGCATCAGAAGTGAGTCTCTTCTCTCTATTAAATTTAAAAGTTTTCAAACATACAAAGATGGAATTTCCTAACTTTCTCTAAGTCTCTAGACATCTCTGGTTTCTCTGTTCCCATTCCTGACACAGACAATATATTCTTGCAGGGCCAGTGTCAGATGAGGCAGAAGCAGGGCCATACTGTTTGTGTTCTGGCCCTGATGGCCATTACCGTTCTCCTTGAATTTTGTGATGCTCTTAGGGAATGGCTTGTTGGCCAGAATCAGGGCAGAACCAAACCCTATGACCAGGGCTGCTGTTCCTCAGTCTGTCCCTTCGCTACATGTAGAAGCAGTCAGAATAGATGCTGTTGTCTTGTTTTCATTGTTGATGTTACCTTCCCTTTTCCTCCTTGTGGCAATGTGTTTGTTGTTGTTGTTGTTTATTTTATTTTGTTTGTTTTTTTAACTCTTTCGAATGTCTTGTCTTACGTTGCCTCGTGTGTCACGTGTGGACAAGCCAGGTCTGCATAGTATAAAGTGAAGTAGAGACTGGTGGTGCCAATCTCCATCCTGTACCACCCTGGTCGGCTTGTCTGTGACAGACTATGCCAAATCTGCTACTTCACTTCGGCCTTTGTCTAAAGGATCAAAACTGATGAATTGCGAAGCAAAAGTTGTCCAGTATTTTGGCATCTGCACAACAAATGGACTCAGCCCAATAAAACAATGAAGATGGAAGAAATGGCCAGGTCAACACCATAGTGGCCAGCCTCATAAATGGCACAGACAAGGCCTCATGCTCTGTAGACCCAGCCATGCCAGCACCATATTGCACTAGATAAAATGGGTTCTTTGTATCTGTTTTCTCCTGCTAACATCTCTGGATGTGGTTCTCTCGAGGACCATCTATGTGTCTTTAGGGAGGAAATTTCATGAATAGGCCCCCAGGTTTCTCACATCTCTTCCCAGAAGTAAGCAAATATTTTGTCTCGCTTAGTGGTCAGGAGCGGAGACTATTATTTATTTGAAACGGATAGTGAAGAGGAGGAAGAAGAGGAGCTTAAGAAGGAAGATGAAGAACCCCCGCGGAAGTCAGCTTTCCAGGTAACTAGAGGGATGTGCACACTGATACCCTTTGCTAGTTAGAAACACGGCGTTTGGTTTTTAAATGAACGAGTCTTGCTTACAGGCCTAGATGACCTCTTCTGTAGTCTGTGATACGGTGCTCAGAATCTTCTGATTGACGTCTGGAATTGTCTAGTTCTAATTAAACTACAACACTGCTCCCTCTCAGGAATGTTGTAACAACCACATCGTGTGAACGGTGCGGGTCAGCACGTCATCCCTGACATCCAAGCCCTAAACAACAGTGGTGCCCTAAACAACAATAACAAAAAAATTTCTCTTGCAAGTAGACAACTTCCTCAGCATTGCTTTGGATTGCTTGGATGCAAGGCTTACAGCTCCCTGCGTGAATGAGTTGACTGTGTAAATAAAATGCATGCTCCTCTTTGAAATGATTGCTTAAATGTTGCATTGGGTTTTGAAAATTAGCTTCATTTGTATTGCTAATGATACCAGAACGATTTAAATAATAACTGTAAACATCCAGCCTGGTTCTGATTTTTACACCTGAGTTCTCCCTGTTGAGGAACCTGCTGTCCCAAACACAGCTCTGACTCACCAGCAAGCACAGTGTTAGTGGGGGGTGGGCAGCAGGGTGCAGTCCATCCTTCTGAAAGATGAGGCCTTGTCAGAAGACAGGGCATGAGCTCTTTCTACACATTTCTCTAACTTCTGGACCTCAGGCTGGGACAGTTCTATCCCACGTGTCATAGTACAGATCGTATAGAAAGGTTCTCAGAAAACTTTGTGATTGCCCATGATAAGGCCATCCACTGCTCCCTAGACAGGCCTTCATAAATGGGCAAGCCCAAATGCCTGGTCTTCCTGATGACATTGAAGAACCAAGCGCCTTGTGGCGCTTCTTTGGTATGGTGCTGCCTCCCTGGCTCCATTGCCCCTCTGTGCGCTTGGGAACATGATTGTGTGCATGAGTGGGGGTGCCTGCCAATACTAATGACTTAACAGCCTTACTTTTTAGCTAATGAATTTTATGCTAACCACCACTCATCGTCCAACAAAGAAGAGAACGTGGGCCATCTTCACGGTGTTTATGGACTACATGCTGCGACTGAGTGTGCTCTTCTTCCTAACTTCCAAGCTCAGCACATTTTATTCCAGCTTCAGCGAGTGGCATGGTTTAACCTCAGTGTTAATTGTAGAGACAAGCTCATGTGACGTCATATATTAAATTGTTAACTTGGGTTTTTTTTTTCCTACTAATTACTCTTGCTTTGTCCTTCTTTGTAGAGAGCTATTGGGAAGTTTGCCTCAGCCATTTTAGCCTTGCCAAAGTCTGTCATTAAACTTCCTAAAACTATTCTTCAGTATTTAATCCGAGCTGCAAAGGTATTTCATGTTCTACTGATGTGTAGTGTGTGACTCTCTGCTCCATAGAACTTTAGCAAAACATCCTTCTATCTACATTTTCTCTCTTCTATGAATTGTACAATGAAAGCATCGTATGGATGTAAAACATGAAATTTTCCAAAAAAGAGAGTTCTTAGGAGCCAGACATCATTTTACTACTGTTTAAAAGTAGACAGCAAAGATTATAAAAAATAGGAAGAGAAAATGCAGATATACATGTACTTTCTCTCCTCGTAGTTTTGCGTGAGTTACATCTCATCTTAAAAGGGTGGCGTCTGGTTGCATGCATCAGCTTCTAATGAGTAGAGCATACATAATAGTTCTTCTCAGAAAGCTGGTAAGAAATTCCAAATAAGCCTATCAAAGACTCCTCTGGTTCTGTCCCCGCTTTCAGCTTCTCGTTAGTTTCCAGCTTCCTAATGTGGATACAGATGTCTAATTCCTGTATCCAGCACATCTCCTTTCCCAGCTGCTGATGCCCAGAGCACAACAGTGCTTCTCAATAAAGTTTAACAACGCCCTTGTTCCTTCACCTAATACAGAATGGATGTCAGTCAGCTGCCTATATCGTACTCGTTTCATTATTAAAACCCACAAGGAAGAAATTATCCTCCTTATATTTTGTAGCATGTTTTTCCTCCCAAACTCAGCCTGGAGGGAGCTCTAAAACTCTTGGGCCATTATGATCTGATGGTCCTTGAGTTCACGCAAACAGTTGGGATAGTGACAGAGACCAGTGCACCTCGCCTTTTCCCTGCCAATTCATTTTCATGCAGATTCTGGTCCCACTGGTCATACAGAACCTGAAATGCAGAGTTGTCTGTGAAGCTCTCAGGTGAGGCTGTATTTCTGGTCTACCTAGGGCCTCAGAGTTCAACCCTCCGACTTCCTTTCATTCTCAATTCCAGAAGACTGGCTTTAATTAATAGTCACTGTTGCTGTTTCTGCAGGGACTTTATCTTTTCTGCTCTATGAATCCATATGAGTGTCTAAATTTGTAATTTAGAAATTACTAAAGTGAAAGATTGCAAGTTATCCACCCCTTTTGTTACTTAAAACAAAGGATGATTAAATGACAATAAAGGTATAAAGAAACTCTGTATCCCAGTCTACTTAGAGGGCAAATTATAAAATGTAATCAATTTGAGTTAAGGATATCCACTCCAATGAAATACTCTCTGTTTAAAAGAATGTATACAGTTTTGCTTAATGACCTTCTGGTAAAAAGTGAATCTCACTCCCCTAACAATAAAGGTAAACTTGGAGATAAATTCAAAGACACACACTTGTGGCGGTGACTATTAACTGAACCTTCAGACTTTTTGTGTGTACTCCCAAGCACTGTCTCCTTCTGGCTGATGTAGTTTGGAGCCTGGCTCCCTAGACAAGCCACCAAATTGGGTGAAAAGTAAAAGATACAATGTCATAATTTGGGAGGTCGGCAAAACCCTTCCATTTCTGGACTCAGTAAGGGTCAGAACCCTTTTCTGAAATAGGAGAAGGCAAAACTGGCCTTCGGTCAAGTGTTTGGAACTTTAAAATAATTACTTTTCAAAATGGCAATCTTAAGACAGCTTTGCCTGGGAATAGGGACTCAACAGCTCACAGCGTGGTTGCTCTGTCTAGCTTCCTGGACTTGCATGGCCAGAATGTTCCTCTCATCAAGAGGACACTGAAGGCTTTCATCCCTGGGGGACCGACATAGGGTTAGTAGTTCTCACCATGTCAGACACCGATGGTCCCTTCCCTGTCCTTCTTAAAGTCTGCGAATCCTGCCCTTCTCAGCCTTTCTCTCTCCCTCCCAGCTGTTTGCTTTTTCTTCAGAACAAAGAATGCCATACAACGCACACCTGCTATGCTCACAAATTATTACCTCTTAATTTCTGTTTGGCATTCTTTCATTTTATAAAACAATAGTAGTATAATACTTTCCTTGAAGTGTTTTTTTTTTGAAGCCATCCTATGCTGTCCTTAAACCTGAAGACATATTTATTTGTTCGATTTCTTTTAAAGCAAACTATATTATGTAAATTTGCTTTCTAATGTCCTAAACCTGAGAGCTGATAAATGGCTAGACTCCCAAACTGACATGCTCAGTAAGGATCCACCAGCGCTTGCTTTGATCCTTTTGAGTATCAGTTAATGCCCTAGTTCCATAAAAATACATTTAGCATACCGTGGGACGTTTACCTCCCAGATTTGTTATCCAGAAATAACACCAGTTTTACATTCGTGTGTGTTACCTATATAGTTCAGATTTCTTCCACTGAGGAAAAAATAGGTGCTCTTTTTTGGACCCTGTGCCCTCATATTTCCATATGTGGGAAAGTTGAATCTCTACTTCCTACTGGCATCAGAATGCTCATCTGTTTATGTTGCGTTTTCCAAAATTTTCTGAAATATGAAAATCATCTAGGGTCAAATGACAATATATGGTTTACAGCTACCCCTTATGTGCTCTTATCTTAATCTTGACAGTGGAAAACCCAGCTTCCCTGAGACCCGGGGGTTGCATGTTAAGCATGCTGGCTTGTTTTATGATTTCTGGAGGGCTGATTGTATGTATTCTTTCTTGGTTTTGTTGTTTTTGCATGCTTCTGGGGATGTGGAGGGTGGGTTCTTCCAAACCGTTGCTCCTTGGTGATTGGTTGTAAAATGTTGATGTGACTGTCCTCAGCTCTCAAATGCAACTGACAAAGGGTAACCCGAGGCACCAGTTCCCCTCTCTGCTTTCCTAGGCTAGCTCACTCTCACACTGTTTTCCCTCTCCGCTTTCTTGGGGTAGCTCACTCTCACAGTTTTCCTCTCTGCTCTTCCGGGCTAGCTCACTCTCCCACTGTTTTCCCTCTCTGCTTTCTTGGGGTAGCTCACTCTCACACTGTTTTCCCTCTCTGTTCTCCTGGGCTAGCTCACTCTCACACTGTTTTTCCTCTCTATTCTCCAGGGCTAGCTCACTCTCACACTGTTTTTCCTCTCTACTCTCCAGGGCTAGCTCACTCTCACACCAGCATAATTTCCCTTGTAAAATCCATCGGCTTTTTCTAGTTACTCATAACCACTTCTAGGAGAGTATTGACAATGCAAAACTTACTTCCACCCGAGCAAATGAGAACATTAAGGAAGACATCTTCCTTTTGACTGAGACGTTTGTGAGAGGAGAAAGTCCTCTGATGGTGTTCGTCAAGACCTCCCCAGCTCCAGCTTGTTGTGTTCAACGCAAAAATTCGGGTTTTTTTTGCTGAGGATCACAGTGGTGGTGTTTCAGAAAAACAATGGTTTGCTTCTACTCAAGTTTATGTCGTGATAATCTTTGACACCGAGTGAAGAATGTCCCCACATCTATTTCTATATTATGTCTTACGGTAGCAAATGAAGAACAGTAAGATGGTGTTAATCCCTACACTTGGGAGGCAGAAACAGACAGAGTTACAAAGCCAGCCAGGGCAGTATAATGAGACCCTGTCTCAAACAAGCAAGAAAAAAGAACCTAGACCAACAGAAGTCAACTTCACGTAAGAAGCAGGGAAAGCGATACTTGTGAGAAAAAAAAAAAATCTTACTTCGAAGAAGCTTGACTTAGGTCCATTTACATTTTAAGTTACTTTTAAAAGTCAGAAATTAATTGAACTTTCTCCTTTCAGTTTGTCTATCAAGCCTGGATTACTGATCCTAAAACAGCACTCCGACAGAGGAGGAAAGAGAAAAAGAAGTTGGCCAGAGAAGAGGAGAAAGGAAGACGCAAAGGATCTGGGGACGGTGAGTGCCAGGCAGGAAGCAGCCACAGCCTCTGTCCCATGGAGGAGGTGCTACACGGGACTCCACATGCCAAGAGAGGGCATTTCAAACCAACTGAGTTGAAGATTTTGAAGGGATCATGTTGCCAAAGCATAATGGAATACTCTCTATAAAGTCCATGAGCACAAAGAACTGAAGAGGAAAGGATTTACTTAACCTCCCAGCTTCTAGTCTATCACTGGGGGAAACTGGGGCATGGAGTTCGGGAAGGAAGCAGCAGGCAAGAGCTGCAGAGCCCATAAGGACTGCTGCTTATTAGCTTGCTCTTCCTGCCTTGATCACCCTGCTTTCTTACAACACCCAGGACCACCTACCAAGGGGTGGCATTGCCCCACAGTGATCTGAACTCTTCTACAACAATTATCAATCGAGAAAATGTACCGCCGGCTCAATCCTAGACCAAGATGGTGTGGACATTTTCTCAATTAATATTCACTTTTCCGAAATGACTGTAACTGGTGTCAAACTGGCACAAAGCTAGCCTGTACACATACTGTTCAGTAGTTTCCCAGCATATTATTTAAGTGAAAAACAACATTTTACAAAGTAGCAGGCAATTATTTAGACCACTAACTGAACAAAGAAAGCCAAAGTACTTCAGCCAGTATTGTACATTTTAAATGGGTATGTATTATAGTGTTTAAATGTAAAAGAAAGATTTTTTTAAAATGTGTATTAATAACAGCGGCTGCTTTTTAGAAGAGGGAAAATTAAATGGTATGACTAATAGGACCCAAGGTTTATCTGCTATCGTTTGATTCTGTACAGAGATCATGTAATCATAGATTTCTTAGAAAATTAAGAAAGTCAAACAATCAAGTTTTCCCATGCAACTAACTATAAAATCTGTTCATTTTCGCCTTCTTTCTCCAGTATCTCCTGGTGGCTATACCTGTGTTTTATTGATTTGTTTACAAAGATAAATTTAGTTACATTCAATATAACAAGAGAAGTGATAGCAGGAGATTCAGGATCTGGTGTGTGTGCGCGTGTGCATACGCAGACATACACACACACACACACACACACACACACACACACACAAATCAGCCCCCAGGAAAAATGCATCCTACCCAGATGGGGCATTAGCCATCTCCCCTTTGGCAAGTACATATTGTTTGTTCATTAACTTTTCAGAATTAATGTGCACAAAGGCAGCTTGTACTTTCATTAGCAATGTATCATGAACAGTTCTCCAATTAACTATTTATGAAACTGCAGGGTTTCTTTAATGGCTATAAAAGCTTCCATAGTACAGATATGCATAATTTATTCAATTATTTCACCATTAATGGACAAAAGATTGCTTCCTGATTTCACCACAACAAGCAATGCTGTAATAGGTACCCTTACAAAAAATTCACAGGGTGTTATCCGTGATGTATATGCACCCTCACAGAGTAGATTCTCAAGTGTAGGAAGACTGGGTTAAAGGAAATGCCTCAAACACTTTAATAACTTTTCTCCCACAATGTTTTAGTAATTTATACTCCAATATGTCAGATAAAGAAAGTTACCTTTCTTATAGCTTTATACCAAGGCCCACATTGCTCTTTTTATTGCGTTTTTCCCCCTGGGGAATAACAGATTTCCTATATTTTCATTGGAATTGAGTTTAATCTATAACTGGTGATTCTGGGCATTTTTATTTTATATTGTCTGTATAATTTGTACTTCAAGTTTAAGGTCTAAATACAACTCTCATTGTCCTCTGCCATTCTATTGGAGTATTTGTTCTTTGCTTAGTAATTAGGACCGCTTGTGTGTCGGGCATACTGCCTCCTCTGCTGTGTTAGAATCACGCTTCCCTGTTCAGTGCTCGTATTTAGTTTGTGATACACGACCCTCTAAACAATGTGAAATCAGTCTGATATCGAAACATGTCTAAAGTCATGTTTTTTTAAAGTCAATATCTCACTAAAGAAAGTCTCTGCCCCCCAATAGTAAGCAAATGTCCTGCATTTCCTACTGGTTTTTTTTTTCAAAGTTTATTAAATAATGAAAGTTTCCATTTCCGCCCCTCCTCCCAACACCCTCCCCCTCCCCCCTCCCCCTCCTCCTCCCTCTCCATCCCTAAGAGCAGTCAGGGCTTCCAGCCCTGTGGGAAGTTCAAGTTCCTCCCCCCTCCTTCCAGGTCCCAGAAGGTGAATATCCGAACAGACTGGATCCCAAAAATCCAGTATATGTAGAGGAAACAAGTCCCAGTGTCATTGTCAGTGGCTTTTCAGAAAGGCTCTGGGCCAGCCACATTCAGAGAATCCGGCCACATTCAGAAAATCTGGTTGGATCACATGCTCGTTCAGTCCCAGTTCAACTGGCCTTGGTGAACTCTCATTAGATCAGTCCCCTTGTATCAGTGGGTGATCGCAACCCTCGCGGTCCTGAGTTTTTTTCATGTTCTTCCTCTTTCTGCCCCTCATTTGGACCATGGGGGGCTCAGTCCGGTGCTCCAATGTGGGTCTCCGTCTGTATCGCCATCCATCGTCAGATGAAGGATCTATGGTAATAAGCAAAATCTTCATCAGTATGGTTATAGGCCAAGGCTGGTTCAGGCACCCTCTCCTCTGTCTAGAGAACAGTCTGGGGATCTCACCTTGGACCTGGGATCCCATTTATAATCAAGTGTCCTGTAAACCCTAAAATGACTCCCTTAGTTGAAATATATTCTTCCCTGATCTCATATCCATCCTTCCTCCCTCCCCCCATCCCAGTCCACCTAGCTTTCCCCATTCCTCCCCTACTCCCTTCTCTCTAACCCTCTCCCCTTCCAACAACCCTCCCACCACCCCATGCACCCGAGGTTACCTGGGACTCTTGTCTATTTCCAATCTCCAGGCAGATAGCTACATGATTTTCATCAGGTTCACCTTCTTATTTAGCTTCTCTAGAATCACGAATAATAGGCTCAAAGACCTTTAATTATGGTTAGAATCCACATATGAGTGAATACATACCATATTCCTCTTTTTGGGTCTGGCTTACCTCACTCAGTAAAGCGTTTTCTATTTCCATCCATTTGCATGCAAAATTCAAGATGTCATTGTTTTTTACCGCTGAGTAAAACTCTAATGTATATATGTTCCACACCTTTATTAACCATTCTTCTATTGAGGGGCACCTAGGTTGTTTCCAGGTTCTGACTATTACAAATAGTGCTGCTATGAACATAGTTGAACAAATGCTTTTGTAGTATGATAGGGCATCTCTTGGGTATATTCCCAAGAGTGGAATTGCTGGGTCCTGAGGGAGATTGACTCCCAGTTTCCTGAGAAACCACCACACTGATTTCCACAGTGGCTGCACAAGTTTGCATTCCCACCAACAATGGATGAGTGTTCCCCTCATTCCACATCCTCTGCAGCATAGGCTATCACTGGTGTTTTTGAGTTTGGCTATTCTGACAGGTGTAAGATGATATCTCAAAGTTGTTTTGATTTGCTTTTCCCTGATCGCTAAGGAGGTTGAGCATGACCTTAAGTGCCTTTTGGCCATTCGAAGTTCATCTGTTGTGAATTCTCTGTTCAGTTCAGTCCCCCATTTTTTAATTGGGTTAATTAGAGTTTTAGTGTCTAGTTTCTTGAGTTCTTTGTATATTTTGGAGATCAGACCTTTGTCTGATGAGGGGTTTGTGAAGATCTTCTCCCAGTCGGAAGGTAGCCTTTTTGTCTTACTGACAGTGTCCTTTGCTTTACAGAAGCTTCTCAGTTTCAGGAGGTCCCATTTATTCATTGATTCTCTTATTGTCTGCACTCCTGGGGTTCTGCTTAGGAACTGGTCTCCTGTGCCTATATCTTGTAGACTACTTCCCACTTTCTCTTCTATCAGGTTCAAAGTGGACGGATTAATGTTGATGTCTTTAATCCATTTGGACCTGAGTTTTGTGCATGGTGATAGATATGGATCTATTTTCATTCTTCTACAGGTTGACATCCAGTTATGCCAGCACCATTTGTTAAAGATGCTTTCCTTCTTCCATTGTATACCTTTTGCTCCCTTGTCAAATATCAGGTGTTCATACGTTTGTGGGTTAATACCCAGGTCTTCTATTCGATTCCATAGGTCGACTTCTCTGTTGTTATGCCAATACCAAGCTGTTTTCAATACTGTTGCTCTGTAATAGAGTTTGAAGTCAGGGATGGTAATGCCTCCAGAAGTTCCTTTATTCTATAAGATTGTTTTGGCTATCCTGGGTTTTTTGTTTTTCCATATAAACTTGATTATTGTTCTCTCAAGGTCTGTGAAGAAGTTTGATGGAATTTTGATGGGAATTGCGTTGAATCTATAGATTGCTTTTGGTAGAATTGCCATTTTTGCTATGTTGATTCTCCCAATCCAAGAGCAGGGGAGTTTGGCAATGATTCTTCTGTTTCTATATTGTGAAATACATTAAGGAGTATAGGTATTAGCTCCTCCTGGAAGTTCTGGTAGAATTCTGCATTGAAACCATCTAGTCCTGGGCTTTTTTTGGTGGGGAGGTTTTTGATAACAGCCTCTAATTCTTCGCGACTAACAGGTCTATTTAGATTGTTCACTTGGTCTTGATTTAACTTTGGTAAATGGTATTTATCTAAAAACCAATCCATTTCTTGTACATTTTCCAACTTTGTGGCATATAAACTCTCGTAGTAAGATCTAATGATTCTCTGAATTTCCTCTGTGTCTGTTGTTATGTCCCCCTTTTCATTTCTGATCTTATTAATTTGAGTGTTCTCTCTCTGCCGTTTGATTAGTTTGGCTAGGGGTTTGTCAATCTTGTTGATTTTCTCCAAGAACCAACTTTTTGTTTCGTTGATTTTTTGAATTGTTTTCTGTGTTTCTATTTTGTTGATTTCATCCCTCAGTTTGATAATTTCCAATCTTCTACTCCTTCTGGGAGAGTCTGCTTCTTTTTTTCCAGAGCTTTTAGGTGTGCTGTTAAGTCTCCAATATATGCTTTCTCCGTTTTCTTTAATTGGGCACTTAGTGCTATGAACTTTCTTCTTAGAATTGCTTTCATTGTGTCCCATAGGTTTGAATATGTTGTGTCTTTATTTTCATTAAATTCAAGGAAGACTTTAATTTCTTTCTTTATTTCTTCCTTGACCCAAGGATGATTCAGTAGTTGACTGTTCAACTTCCACGTGTTTGTAGGCTTTCTGGTATTCGAATTGTTATTGAATTCTAACTTTATTCCGTGGTGATCCGACAAGACACAGGTGATTACTAATATTTTTTTGTATCTGTGTAAGTTTGCTTTGTTACCGAGTATGTGGTCAATTTTCGAGAAGGTTCCATGAGCTGCAGAGAAGAAGGTATATTCTTTCCTTTTAGGGTAGAATATTCTATAGATATCTGTTAAGTCCATTTGATTCATTACCTCTAGCAATTCTCTTATTTCTCTGTTGAGTTTCTGTTTGATTGATCTGTCCATTGGTGAGAGAGGTATGTTGAAGTCTCCTACTATTAGTGTGTGTGGTTTGATGACTGCCTTGAGTTCTAAAAGTTTTTCTTTTACATAAGTGGGTGCTTTTATATTAGGGGCATAGATATTCAGGATTGAGACTTCCTCCTGATTAATTGTTCCTGTTATGAGTATGAAATGTCCATCTCCATCTCTTCTGATTGATTTTAGTTTGAAGTCAATTTTGTTAGATATTAGAATGGCCACACCAGCTTGTTTCTTAGGTCCGTTTGCTTGGAAAACCTTTTCCCACCCCTTTACTCTGAGTAGATGTCTATCTTTGTGGTTGAGGTGTGTTTCTTGTAAACAGCAGAATGATGGATCCTGTTTTCTTATCCAGTCTCTAAGTCTGTGCCTTTTTATAGGTGAGTTGAGTCCATTAATATTAAGTGATATTAATGACCAGTGGTTGTTGATTCCGTTTATTATTTGTGTGTGTGTGTGTGTGTGTAGTAGAGTTTGTGTGTTTCTCTTCTTTGAGTTGTGGTTGTGAAGGGTCGCTAGTTGTCTGGGTTATTGTAGGCAGTGATGGCAATGTTGGATTCCTTGGGTTGCGATTTTCCTTCTATTACTTTCTGTATGGCTGGATTTGTGGCTACGAATTGTTTAAATTTATTTTTATCCTGGAATATTTTGTTTTCTCCGTTGATAGTGAATGATAGCTTGGCTGGGTATAGTAGTCTGGGTTTGCATCCATGGTCTCTTAGTTTCTGCAGTACCTCTATCCAGGATCTTCTGGCTTTCATGGTTTCCATAGAGAAGTCTGGTGTAAGCCTGATAGGTTTACCTTTATAAGTCACTTGACCTTTTTCCTTTGCAGCTCTTAATATTCTTTCTTTAATCTGAATGTTTTGTGTTTTGATTATTATATGGCAAGGGGACGGGTCTTTTTGAACCAGTCTATTTGGCGTTCTGTATGCTTCTTGAACCTTCATAGGAATATCGTTCTTTAGATTGGGAAAGTTTTCTTCTTTAATTTTGTTAAATATATTTTCTGGGCCTTTGATCTGCAGTTCTTCTCCTTCTTCAATCCCTATTATTCTTAGATTTGGTTTTTTTATTGTGTCCCAGATTTCCTGAATGTTTTGTGAAGAGAATTTGTTGGATTTGCCATTTTCTTTGACCAGAGCATTTATTTTCTCTATGGTATCTTCAGAATCTGAGATTCGTTCTTCTATCTCTTGTATTCTATTGGTTATGCTTGATTCTGTAGTCTCCGTTCGTTTACCTAGGTTTTCCATATCCAGCCGGTTCTCGTTTTGTGTTTTCTTCATTGCCTCCATTTCATTTTTCAATTCTTGGACTGTTTCCTTTACTTGTTTGATCATTCTTTCTTGGTTTCTCAGGGTATTATTCACGGATTTACTTATTTCTTCAAACTTTTTGTTATATTTCTCATCCATTTCTATACTCATTTCTTCAAACTTTTTGTTATACTTCTCATCCAATTCTTTAAGGGAGTTATTCATATCCTGTTTAAGGGACTCTATTGCTTTCATAATGGCACTTTTTTCCATATCTTCTGGGTTAGAGTGTTCAAGTCCTTCTGTTGTAGGGTCGTTGGGATCTGGTGTTTTCATGTTGTTTCTCAGATTGTTGGAGGATGTCTTACCTTGGCGTCTGCCCATCTCTTCATTCAAATGCTCTCTATTGGAACCTCTGGTAGCAGGTCAGGTTCCCTTGTTGGGCAGGGAATTCACTGATAGAATGCCTACCTTTCCTCAGGCAGGCTATTGAAGCACAGGCACTCCCTCTTTCCGGGATGCGCCTACAGAGCAAGCCCAGCGTGCAAGGCAGCTGAGCTGGGGAAATTTTATGGCCCCAGTGGGAAGGGAGAAATATAGGAATTTGTACCTGGATGGAAGCTGGGATGGTAGGCAGGAGAGCTTAGCAGGGTGGAACCAGCACTGTGGGGTGACCTGGGAATCTATGGGGTTGGGGAACATCCGAGCTCCTCCTCGCCGGGTCCCTGCCGCAGGCCCGAAGCAAACTCACCCCTCCAATGGCCCTCTGGATGGAAGCTGGGATGGCTGGCGGGGGAGCTAGCAGGGTGGAGCCAGCAGTGCAGAGTCTTCCTACTGGTTTTTACTTACATTTTGAATTTTTATCACTCCGTACACTAGAGATATATTTTCATACAGTTAGATAGATGAGCAATGATGCTAGCCCTATTTATTTAAAAAGTCTTCCTTTTGAGTCAGAAACAAGCAGGAGCCGGCCCTCGGCTCCCATTTTGGCTGAGATAGGATTTGGAAGTGTATTCTGACTCACTCTTCTCTTGTCAAGCTCTGGGTCTTGGCTACATGCTTTTGCATTGAATGCCATGGGGTTAGTTTTAATATTTAGTGAAGCCAACGCCTCTCACTACATTGTTTTATTCAGCGTTGTCTTTGTTATTCTCAAGTGTGTGTTCTGCCAAAATTTCTGGATATTCTTTAGTCATAAGTATGGCACGGGGCCGGGGGTGGGGGGGGGCTGGAGAAATGGCTCAGTGGTTAAGAGCACTGACTGCTCTTCCAGAGGACCCGGGTTCAATTCCCAGCACCCACATGGCAGCTCACAACTGTCTGGAAAAAAAACCCAGTTCCAGGGGATCTGACACCTTCACACCAATGCACATAAAAAAAATAAAAAAGATAAATAAATCATAAAAAAAAGAACGGCACAGGGCTCTATATAATGACACATCTTTTATCATCTATAACGCAGGTCCAGTGGAATGGGACGATCGAGAGGATGGGCCAATCAAAAAGAAATCCGATGGCCCAGGTAACAGAACAGAGACAGAGATGAGCTGTGAGCATTTGAAAATGGTACTGCCCCGGGGGACAAGGGGAGCTGTTGCAAAGCGGCGAATCCAGCCGTGACTCCAGACCGAGGCTGCATGACCACAGTCCTGTTACTTGATACCCCGTCTCTGCTGAGACGGAGAAAGACTCCCGAGAGCCCACCCAGCCTCATGGGTTGTGAAGCCCTTGGTACCTGCGCCTGTGGATGAGGACGATGAATGCTGGTGCCGAGTAGAAGCCGCCAGGATGAGAGCATGGAACAAAAATACTTAAATTTTCTTCTTCTTCTTTTTTTTAATAGAACTTTTTAAAATTTACCTTTTTAACTGAGATAGAGTAGTGGTACACATGCAGATTCTGGCAATCATTTACGATACGGGATCATGACATCAGGTTAATGATTGCTTACATCATCTCAAATAGTTGTCATTTCTTTGTGCTAAGAACACTCAGAATCCTCTCTGTTAGCTATTTTTACATATATCGTCAATTACCTTAGGGCCAATGTAGAGATAAGAAGTTACGTGGCCAAATGTTCAACAACTAATAATGACTACTTTTAGGAAAGTCATTTTGAATGGGAGGAAAAATAAGAACAAATTGTCGAAAGCATTAAGGCCTGCAGGAGCATATTAGTGGCTTCTATGGCTTTCAGCTTGCAGGCCAGAACCTCCCTTTTATGGCTGTAAAAGCAGCTTGAGGTCCTCTCCGAATAAGCATGGGCATTGCCCACCTTGGTCTAGAGTTCCCTGAATGGGAAATAAGGGAAGCTGGAGCGATGATTTGAAGGCTAGGAACTCACGTTGTGTAATCATGAGGGCTGGAGTGCAGATCCCAGGACCCACATAACAAGTCAGATCCTGCACAGCCTGTAACTCCACTTCTGAGGTGAGGGGTGGGCTGAGGGAGGATTGCTAGGGCTTGCTGACCTCCAGTCTAGCCAAGAAAACAGAAAACATGAGCCCTAGGTTCAAGGAGAGAACTTGCCTCAATGAAATGCCAGAAAGTTGTACCAGAGACCACTGGACGCCCTCTTCTGGCTCCACCCATGGGCACAGACACATGCACACACAAAATAACAAATAATTAAACTAAATAAGAGACCAGAAATGCAGAGAAAAATGGGGGCCTTGTGGAGTCTCTCTCTTGAAATCGCTCTGCTGTGGCATCGGTGAAGCCTCCCTTCATCTCACTTCGTGATGCCGTTCATCTCTGCCTTTGCTCCTTTGCTCAGCAAAGGGGACCCTCTGTTCTTTCTCACCTCCTAAAACCTGTGAAAGACAAAGAGATACCCCAGCCTGAAAAGTCCTGAGGAGGAAAAGGTAGCTGCATAGGCAGGAAATGGTTCCATGGGAACATCAGAGATTGAGATTCTGGCCCCACTTGGTCCTTACATGTTACTCTCTGCCACCCCCTCCCCTCCTGCCCCATCAGGTATGGCCTTCACTTGGAGGTTCCATTTCTTGTTTGACCCTTAGAAAAGAGCAAAACTTTACTAGACGTAAACTTACCATTCTTCCTAGACCACTGAGGGCAGTTCTAGTCCTCATCATAAAGCCAAGCTCTGGTTCACACTGTAGCCTTCTAATCAGAGAGGAGATTAGGGGAACAAAGGCGGGCCATTCGGTACTCACTCTGAGCACAGTAGACAGAAGCCTGTGGGTCTGGCATGTGATTGGGTGAGCATCCGCTTACATACGTGATTAAGACAGACAGACAGAATGATCTAGTCCTTCTGTTTAGGTTCTTCCTCATTACACTTAGTAGGATGCATATAATACATGGTTTCGTTGTACCTGCACGTAGCAAAGTAACTGCTGTAGGCAGCAGGTAAACCTGTCTGTCCACCTCCCCACCACAGTTAGAACGCCTTAGGTCTACTTGTTGGCAAATCCCAGCACAGTACGGAATTACTAATTACCACCTGTCTCTGAGGATCTCTAGATATAACCCTCCCATGTCACTGCAAGCTTGCCTCGACTCACTTCTCAGTCTTTCCCTTCCTTGGCCATGTACCATGGCTCTGCTCTCTGTTTCTGTGAGTATCACGAGTTTGGATTCCAAGTGTCAGCGATATCATCTGGAGTGTGTTTTTCCACGCCTGGCTTATTCAGTGTAACACGATGTCCTCTGTGGTCATCCACGTTGTTACAAATTTTCCTTCTTTTTAAAAGCTGAGTGATGTCCCAAAGGGTGAGCTCACCAGTTGTAAAACCTCCTCCAATCTTTCTGGGTATTCAAAGACCTTAAATTGCAGCGTCTCTGGAGTGTTGGGAGATGTGTGTGCATGTTGTCACCCTTTTGAGCACCACTGGACTCTGAGCTGAGCTGCTGTGTGGCAGCTCTCCCGGGTCTCCAGTCACAGCTGCAGTCCAGGACAAAACTCACACTAGCCGTCCTAGGGCTTCTACTGACCACAGATGATGGAACCCACGTGCAGACTTCTGTTGTTGACATACAATCCCATCTGATTGTCTTAGGAAGATGGCTCAATAGCACAGGAGCACACACAGCCTGTAGAGCAAGCTTCGCAAAACGTAATAGAGTTTGGCTGAAGTATAAGTGCACAGACAATAGACAGGTTCCCCCAACAATCCCTCAGACACTTGTAGAAAAGCCTTTAAGGGCCCCACGAGACAGGCACAGGCCATCTCCATTCTTGAGTTAATACTAGATGAAATCTTTGAATTGCAATCTCTTCACCTACTGAACTTCTTACAGTAAGGCCTCTAGATGTGTAGGCTTCACAGCCTCAGATTCATCCAAGCATTTACCAAAATGCTTTGGGGGAAAAATTTATCTGTACTGAGTGTATATAGCCCTTGTCTCTGTGTTCCCCTAAATAATGCAGTGTAGCAACCACTATCATATTGGGTACCTAGTAGAAGTGATAAAGAGATGGCTCAAACTATGAGGGAGGGTGTGTGGAGATTCTATACATAGAGTGTAGTTAGAGATGCACATGTGTAAGGGACTTGACCATCCATGAAACGTGATATTTTGAGGGGTCCTGTTTGCCCCCAGGGACCTTGAGGGTCTGTTATGGCCAACATGAAAGATCCCACCTAAGTCTGGGTTAGTTTGGTCACTGCATGTATAGAGACTACATTGATGCTTGGGCCTCGGTCCACCTTGTTCTCTAAGTATAAGGAGTCCAGTACACATGAGAGGCATCCAGCAAAATCCAGGGCTGGGCGTGGTCTATCCCACGGTGTCACAACACAGCCCTTGGTAGTGTGGTAGAGTTCCAGACCCTTTAACCTGTGTTGTGCTTCTTCTGCCTAGATAATATCATCAAGAGGGTATTTAATATTCTGAAGTTTACCTGGGTCCTATTCCTGGCCACGGTGGATAGTTTCACCACTTGGCTCAACTCCATCTCAAGGGAACACATCGATATATCCACAGTTCTGAGGATTGAAAGGTGCATGCTGACCCGAGAGATTAAGAAGGTAATTCCTTTGACTGCTTGCCACTTTCAAAGAGCTGCCAAGTCCACGTGGGTCGTACATCCCAGCCCAAAATGCATGAGGCAAGAGAAGTCTCATGTTTCCAGTTTTGGTTTTGGATGTGGAAATATTTTCACTTAGATAATGAAACACCTTGGGGAGGGAACACAGACATGAGCATGAAGTTTTACTCCTTTTCATCATATACATGGCCTGACAGTAACTCCCTGGGTCATTTCAAGTACGCCAGGGTTTTAACTGCAGCTGTTCAGGAGTGCTTGTGTAGAATTTCCCACCCGTTGGCATCTTGTCAGCATTCACGGGAGTTCAGACATGATGCATTTGGATTCCAGCTTGCCAGCCTGTGTTCTGGTTAGTTGCTTTGTTCTTCTTGCTGTTTGTTATGTTTTGCTCCCCCGCCTTTAACTTGGCATAAGCTAGAGCCGTTTGAGAAGAGGAACCTCAGGTGAGAAAATGCCTCCATCAGAATTCCAGTAGGCAAGTCATTTTCTTGATTAATGATTGGTGTGGGAGGGCCACAGCACAGCACACTGAGGGTGACATTGCTTCAGCGTAGATGATTCTAGGTGGTATAAAAAAAGAAGACCGGAGAAACCATGGCAAGCAAGCCAGTAAGGAGCACTCCTCCATGGTCTCTGCTTGAATTGTTGCCTCCAGGTTCCTGTCTTGAGCCCCTGGTTGGCTTCCCTTAGTGATGGATTATAAACTGTAAGATTAAATAAATTCTTTCCACCCAGTTGCTTTTGGACACGGTGTTAGTCACAGCAATAGAAACCTAACTAGACAACCTTATCTAAAGCTCTAAAATAAAATCCCATCTTTCTGGCCAGCTGTTACATAACCACTTTGTTCTGTGTGCATTGAGGTCTATCCCATGCTCATAAACAGCACAAACACACACACACACACACACACACACACGTGCATGCGCCCATGCACACACAGACACACACACACACTCACGCACATGCACACACTCACCAAGAGTCCTCGGAAAAATCCCCAGTTTTCATTTTCTCTCTTCTATCAGAGTTAATATGTTTGCTGTGCCCAATAAAGGATTATAATTTTTATCTGGGAATTTTGATCTGAAACATCCAGAAAAAAAATTTAGAATATAAAGACAAAATATACAAAAGTTACATATGATTTATAGATTATACTTAAAGGTAAGTATTTTATACATATAATTTTATCAATTATATCTTAACGGGGCTGGGAACATTTTTTAAAATATACCAAAAGAAAATAAAAATTAATAATGAAAATAAAGTACCGAGCTTAAATTAATCTAATTGAAAACAGATTTGATAATTTTCTCTACTAAACTTGAACCAATTTCTGGAAAGGTGACTATTGTGAGATAGTAAGAATTATACCAGCCGCCTATTACCTACCTTACACTTTGTTATTGTAAGCTCTCTGGCCAAAGCAATTTAAGGATACAAGGAGGCTTGTCTGACAGCCTGAAGAGATACAGTATATGGTGGTGACTGCAGGGAAGGCATGGAAATGGGAGAGTAAGGCAAGGCCACATTGTATCCACAGGCAAGAAACAGGGAGAAAGAAATATGGCTACTCAGCTGGTCTCTTGGGGAAGGAGACACTATTGCTATGATGAACACAAGACCACAGCAACATGGAGAGGAAAGGGCTTATCTGGCTTCTGCTTCCACAGCACTGCTCGTCATCCAAGGAAGTCAGGGCAGGAACCCAAGCAGGGCAAGAACCTGGAGGCAGGAGCTGATACAGAGGCCGTGGATGGGTGCTGCTCTGCTTACTGGCACACTCAGCCTTTGTCCTGTTTTGCCTGCTTTCATATAGAACCCAGGACCATCAGCCCAGGGATGGTGCGACCCACAGTGAGCTAGGATCTTCCCTATCAATTAGGAATTAAGACAATGTTTGTGTAGCGCCTCGTACAGAGGCATTTTCTTAATTGTGGTTCCCTCCTCTCCAATGACTATATCTTGTAAAAAAAAAATTGACAAACAAACAAAAACTATCCCGCATATCTGGATTCCTCTGTTTTCACTTTTTAGTCCAGGATCCCAGCTCATGGAATGATGTTGCGAGCCTTGACAACTGGCTCACCTTCCTCAGTTAAACCTTTCTAGAAACGCCCTTGGAGACATGCGGAGATGTGTGTCAAGTGATCCTGAATCCAGTCAGGTTGACTGGGAAGAACAACCATCACATGTAGCAATACTGACTGGCATTAATGACCGTAAAAGACCTGACATTAATCCCTAGATTATCTGCATCTCAGCGGTCCTTACTGTAGGCGTGCGCGCGAGCTGAGAGTCGTCAGTATTAAAAACTGTTGGCATTGTCCAAACAAGTGCTTTCATAAGAACCACTGTGATGTCCCCTTTTCCACAGGGCAACGTTCCAACGCGGGAGAGCATCCACATGTACTACCAAAACCACATCATGAACCTTTCCAGAGAGTCAGGACTGGACACAATTGACGAGCACCCTGGCGCTGGTTCCAGGGCCCAGGCAGCTCACAGGATGGATAGCTTAGATTCCCATGACAGTATCTCCAGGTATTTCACTTTCTTAACACTCGGTGGTTTTTGTGAATGAGGTGGATGTCAGCAAACGTGAGAAGTGATTGCGTGAAGTGAAAACTAACCAAACACATGGGTGGTGTCCTAGGCCCTGCGGATCCATACAGCAGTGTTGAAGGAATGCTGTCCTGCCCTAGGCTGGCTGGGTAAAAGCAGACACCAACAGCGAACACTCATCTACCTCACTGACACAGTCTAGGGGTTTGTAAGATCCGGGCTAATAAGAATGGCTCATCGCATTTGGATTTTACTCCTTACTATTTGTGTCAGGGCTACGCCTTTACTTCCTTCCATGAGCTGTCTTTTGTTCTAGCATTTTCTACCTTCTGTTGATATCCCTGACCTTTTCCCTTCGGAATTGTTACTTCCCGGTTTAGAATGAAAATTTCAGAGACAATTCTGTTAGAAACAACCCTCCCTCTTCTCTAGGTTTCTGGGCTCCCATGCCCTGTTTGCAGGAGGAAAGCAGGTGACTCGATGCTAAGGGTGGTGGTGCACTGAGCACATACTGCAGCCAGCCTTGATTCATCCCTTAAAGAACTGTATCAAATGTTGTACACCATTATTATCCATACTTTGCCAAGACGAAATTCAATAACAGTGTGGCTTAAAAGTGTGGTCTAAGTCTGTAAAAGTAGACCCGGGATCCAAAATCACCATGTGCTATTGAGAACCCAGGTTTTGGACCTCTTGATGTCTCTCCCTTCTTCCCCGGCAAGTGTATTGTCCATCCAGAAAAGCTTCAGGAGCCTCTGCGGCACAGTGTTCTAGATCACTGCTGTGTGTTGTATAGGGCTGGCTCATCCAAGTCACTGCCTTCGGAAGAAAACCAACAATACCCAGGGGGACTGGGTGAACTGCACCATGCATCTGTCTTACAGGCAAAGAACTGTGTCTCTGAAAATGGCTGTGTATTTTATCATCTAACAGCTAAAATAGTACCCTATTCTAGGCCAGGACCTGAACTCAGTTCTAGAACAAACAGACATAAAAGCCATCCCCTGAGTAGTGTCGTCTGAAAAGGCTCTTTAACACAGCTCTTGCCTCTTCTGCCTGCTGAGGAAGCACAGTAGACCTCCCAGGTGGTCCCAGACTCATACTCCACACACCCATGGGCGGGCACAGTGACTGCCCACCATACTTTTCCTTCACAGATACTGACTACATTTCATTCTGGATGAAAGAAAGGAGAAAGGGGATCACTTTACCGATAGCAAATTCAAAAACAGAAATTAAATATCTAAGGGACCGGGGATGTAGCTCAGTTGGCCATTTACATACCAAGCCCATCCAAGGCCCAGGGTTTAATCACTGGTACCGGAGAGTAAAACAAACAAACATACAAACAAACAAAAGTCCTGAGATTCGGAATTGTACTCATTAAAGAGAAGTGGTTAAATAGAGACTTTCTTACTTTGAAGTATAGCTTCTTATCTGTTACTGAATTATTGTCTTTGAGTTGGCCAGTTAAAGAAAACTCAAATATAGCAAGTCACCATATTAGACTTTGACACAGATCCAAATCTACTGGTATGGAAAAAGAATTTGTTTTTATTTACACACACGCGTGCGTGCGCGCACACACACAGCGAGAGAGAGAGAGAGAGAGAGAGAGAGAGAGAGAAACATGCACACACATTATATATGCATGTGTAAGTATGTAAAAACTCAAGTTTTAAAATAGATTGCTTAACTTAACTATATATATGCGTGTATTTGCCTATATTGATTTTGTGTAGATAAAGCTGTTCATGGATGTAGTCCTTCATCTCTTCCCAAACAGATGCTCCCTTAGGGTCTTTTCAGGAATAATAAAAAGATTAAATTTTCCTTAGCATGGGAATACTCCAGTTATTTTTAAGATGTGAAATCACAAACATTTAGCTAATGTGATCTTCATCAAAAGAGGAACTATTTAGGCCAGGCTCCTCACAGGGTTTCAAGGCCAACCATTTATTTCCTAATGGAGATGGTGCTTCAGATGCCTTTTAATTCCAGAATATAATAACTGTTAGGAGACAAAGTGCCATCGTGGTAAACTTCATTTTCCTTCTCTTTCTGCCCACACTTTTGCACTTTTCTCAGACATTAATTTCTGAAACTGTTAGTCATAGCATCAGCTACAAAGAAGAAATGTCAGCGACAGCTTTCAACCCGTTCCTAGCACCGTGTGTCCTGTGAGGCCGTCCCACAGTCTTTGTGGAAGGGAAGCTTTACCCTTCTTCGGTCACAGGTTTTGATGAAGCACAAGCTCACTGTTTATTATATAGTTCACTTAGACAATTTGGAAACCATAAGTTCTGTCCTGGGGAGAAGCTGTAAATCCTCTTCATCGACATGTTCCAACAAGTCTCTCTCCATCTAGAAATCAAAGCATTTAAATACAATCATTCTAGTTATTTTCTATGTCATGAATTAAAACCCATTTTATCCCCATTCTTCTTAAGTGCTTACCTATTTCAGCCCAGCTCACAGTAACTCCTCCCATCATCAGGGAAGAGTGGACTGAAGATGATATGGTTTAGTGATGTGATATAGGTCGGTGTCGTGTGGGACACTAGGTTCAGTCCCGACCACCATAATAGTGACCGTGATGATGATCCTAAGTGAAGACTGCAGGGCAGATGTGCACCAGTGTGCAGATGTGTGCAGTCTGGCAGAGACGGGGTGAAGGAGGTAGGCATGTCTGGATGCCCTGGGCACACTCAATGTTGCTAATGCTGCTTCCTATGCAGGGGTACATGAAGGTGAGGATGAAAGAATCTTTGTTTCCAAATACACCAGATTTAGACCCAAATCATAACCAAACAACCATTTTTTTTAAAAAGATCATGGGAACAATAGGATAAGAAGAACACTGAGGTGAGCAGAACCCTGGGATTCTCTAGAGACATTCCCAGATGGCCTACCGTCCATTCATCCTTCACGCAGTTATTTTCCATAACACTTGCAAGTGTTCTTCAGCTCCAGACCTCATGACTGTACGTGTATGCATCGAATATAAACATTGTTTTATTGCCTTTGATTCCAAGAAGAGTTTCAGAAAAATCTGATTGACTTGTGCAAAAGCCACACTCATATCCAGCTGCAATTATTCCCACCCACACAGTGAAGAACATAATAATATGCACAAACGATATATAACTTATTATAGCTTTTCATTTTTCTTTCATCAAGATATGCTGTCTCTTATTGTGACTTCTAACATTTTTCAGTGCCTCCTTCTTATCTCCTTTATTGCTATTTATCTAATCAATTGATGTGTCTTCATTACTGGATCGCAAAGTCTGACAACTAAATAGGAGATAACAATGTTCACATCTTTTGAAATTTGAAGACGTCATCTGTCATCTGGCAAAGGAAATATACACAAATACATTTTCCCACAAAACTTAAGATTCTTTATAGATGTCCTTAATATCCTACATGGACCTGTTTTAGGATAGCTACTTTAAAACCAAACTCCGAAAATATAAAGTAAAGGTAAATACACTGACAGACACAATTTCTATTTGTGTAATTTTAAATTATATGACAATTTATAATATGTTGAACTAAAACATTAAATAATTATAAATAAAAACTTAGGAGGTTACAGAGAATAGGAACCAGTTCAAATAAAACCAAGAGCCTGCCTTTAAATATGACCTAAATAGAAAACCAAGAGCAGAATGGAAAATTGGGAGTCATCAGACATCACACTTATAATAGGACCACATTATAGAAAAACAATGTTAAAATATTTGAAAAATTATAAAACTGACAATCAGTACTCCGTGAGAATTCGGAATCATTATAAATAGTCTGTAATGTATTTTTATTTTCATTTTTAAAATAAAATAAAAAGAGATGCTAAGTGCACTTTGTGAGAAGTTCATGAACCCACAAATTTGCCCTTCACAGTGTCTGAACAACATTCCCGGTGTCTTCAAACAGGAATTCACACCCATTTAAAGTTTCTGGGAACCCACGCACTAGGGGGAGGTCGCGTGCCACCTAGGAGAGTCCTCGGATACCTGCACCATTTGGGCAGATAGGTCTTGCTGCCCCCCTCCAGCAAACATAACCATGGTGTGGCCTGTTCCCATTACAGCTTGTTTCCCAATACCCAAGTCACATTTTTTTTTCTCATAAGACAACATGAGATGGAATAAGAATGGGAACTTAGCAAACGAAAACAGATTTCCTTTGATATAAATCCTTTAAGTCCAGGGTCAGATGGCAAGCTAATTTCCAGGAGTTCCTCGTAAATTCGGGTGTGTGATTTATCTTTGCTTTTGTTGCTGCAAACGGTGTTAACTGCTTTCTGAGGATCGTTCCAATAAAGGGGTGGCTGTGGTTTGAAATCTGCCACCTGAGAAGCTGCTGCGCCCCTTCTGTGGAGGCATCTCAGTTCGTTCCTTGGAGTACCAGGAAATGAGGAATTTAGTCAACAGTTCTCTCCCTTGGGACGCCCACCCAAACTTGAAGCATGATCTTTAATAAAAATTAGTAAAAACAAAACATTAACCGACAAAATATTCCCGCATTACTAGAATTCCTTTGTTGTTTTGGGTGCCATTTTAATATTTTACCTTGGTTGATATTTCTAGTCACATTATAAGATCAGTGTCTCTTCTACATGCAAGGAATCTGGTTTGACTTAGTCCACGTGGCTTAGCAAATGAGACGGAAGAGTCAGTATGTGATGGCATTCCTGAGTTTCCGGCTCTTAATTTGAAAGTTGTATTATAAAACTAAAATCTTTCCTACAAGTTGTACGTGCAGGTATTCCTGCATATGCAATTGAGGTGAGATTCTGCGTGGACTTGGGCTCACAATTCCAAAGAAAGCATTTTTAATTCAGTCACAGAAGGACCAATGCACTACAAAGCTCCAAGGACTTGAACACTGTCAGATGACTTCCGGCCATGTCCTCGTTCTGCTTCGGGTCTCGTCCAGAAAGTGCCACTTGGGAGTTTATCCCTCGCCAGTAATTTTTTGTTTCAACTCCAGTTTCTTCTGTTTATTTATCCTGCCGAACAGGTCCTTCCCTGTCCTGGAGCCTCTCCCCTCCCACCCCCTGCCACAGCCTTCCTGTCGATGATGCTGTTGTGTGTAGTTGCCGCATGGTGGTGTGGGGGGGTCAGCTGCCCCTGTGTGACTCGGTGCACCACTGGGTTTTAACTCTGTGTTTCTGTAACTGTTTGCGCTGTTAGCTGCTACACTGAAGCAACCCTGCTGATCTCAAGGCAGTCCACCCTTGATGATTTAGATGGACAAGACCCTGTTCCTAAAACAAGCGAGCGCGCTCGGCCTAGGCTCCGTAAAATGTTCAGCATGGACATGTCCTCCTCATCAGCTGACAGTGGCAGTGTAGGATCAAGGTGCTTAACTTGTGCATGCTTCGTTCCGTAACCTACGCCCCCTCCCCGTGAATGCCATTGCACATATGAGTTCATGAGATGAATGTCATTTTTCTTTTCTTTTTTTTCCCTTTGATGTTTTAAGAATTTGCATGACGAAATGCATAACCATAGCACTTTCTGTGACCTAATTGTTTCTAAGACAGCGCTCTGTGCACTAAACTATGTCCCTTCCTTTGTCCATTGGGGATTGATTAAGAACCCTGATTGAAAATGTTGTCCCCTATTTTTCAAATAGTTTTCACTTTTTGTTTTCAAAGATATATATTTGATATATATAATAGATACATATCAATATATATTAGGAAAATCTGCCAAATATAGCCATTTTCAGTTAATGTAAAATAAATCTGTCTATATTTGGCGTGCATATCTAACAGGAAAAATTGAATGTATTTTACCATTGACTTTTGAAAAGGATGTTATGTAGAAACGTGCATCAGCTTTATTGACTACCGTCTACCTTGTTTGGAAAGGATTATTCTGGGCTTAAGTTTTTTTTTTTTTTAAATCCTGCCAGAAAACAACATTCAGCTAGAAATTATCTGCATAGAACCGCAAAACCCTTCCCTCGCCCCCAACAAATCTTAGTGTTGTTACCAGGGATCCTAACTATACTGTGTTCATCCTGGCATGAAAATAACCCAAGCCAAAGTCAACTCCATTCTGACCCCTGGTGGTCAGCAAAAGCAGTGTCTTCCTTTGCTGGCAGTTGAATATGTTGACCCTGTGGTGCTGTCCACGGGGGCCATCCTCTCTCAGGCACGAGCTTGTTAGATCCTTCTACTCTGAAGATCCCTGAAGACACACTCATCTCAGAGGCCCTGGGGTGACCGACCCTAAACCTTGAAGACGATGCTTGACATCACCTAATGACCATGGTGGAAGTTAGATATAATATTTATCTGACTCCCATGACCTGAACATTCCCTGGGGTGTTGCTCAATCCAGTGGCTTCCTAGGAGGCTCTGTGTTACTGAGATAAACCTTAGCAACTTTGGTGAGGGCTATCATTCTCAGAGCCTTCTGCAGGGTGGCGGGGGTGACAAACTCAGAACCAAAGTCCTGAGCATGTTTAGTGCCTGCATGGTCACCCAGCATCTTCAGTTACAAGGTGCCACAGAAGGTGTGCCAACAATCCATTCATTGCTCGTTGGCATGTCTACACTAGTATCCTGCATTTGAGAATCTGTGTTTGCGGAACCTACTTGCTCACATATGCCAGTGAGACAGCAGTGTGTATTTCAGAGTCTGATACATTGTCCTCCCGCATCCAGCAGATCCCAAACATCTGTTTCCTCTTCAGGGGCCAAATAGTTAAGAAAAGGCACGCTATGGGTTTCAGCATGCGATGAATTCAGTATGGCTGCTTCGTTTTCTGTTCTAACCTTTCTTGCATGGGTTTGCCAAGGAAGGCGAGGGAAGACCTAGAGATGAGATGAGGAACACTAGAGAAAAGGCACGGGGTGGCCAGCATGGGGACTAACAGAAGAAAAACAGGGAAATTGGTGTGAGGAAACTACAGAAGGAATGCATTTTAGAAAATAAAGAAAGAATGAATGAAAGAAAGAAAGGAAAAGAGAGGGAGAGAAAGTTGTTGGCATGAAAAAGTAGGAAAAGGCTCTGAGACAGAGCAAGAGCTGAGAAGGAAGAGACAGTATAAGGTGGCCCCACAGGCAAGACTAAGAACTCATGAGAAATGTCTGAGAAGAGAGGAGAAGGTAAGGATTCAGTGGGAGACATGCTTATCCTGAGAAGAAAGCGGCCAAGGATGAGAAAAGCAGAAAGAAATCAGCATTAAAGAAGGGGGATTTATAAAGCATGTGCTTGTTGAGTTCAGCCAACTGCATCTGATGGATTCTGTCATCCTTAGTGGGCCTGGGCAGGTCCCTTGTGCAGGACTGAAAGTAGGCTATGTCTTGGTCAAGCACCTAGGAAACAATCAAGCATGGCTTCTCCTCCCCACATGCTCTCTCTTTTAAGGAGTGATGGCGGTAGGTATGCTCTGCTAAACGTGTGCTGATTTGGAAATGAACCTGGAGCTCATGGCTGTGGATACTGATCCTATTTTGAACACTTCTATGCATAGACGGGGTTGCTCCTTGCAAGGCGTGTCACTTGCTGTGGTTTGAACAGGATGCAATGCTCACTGTCCACTCTCGCATCTGGAAGGCTACTGCTTGCAGTTTCCGCAGAGCGGGAGTGCATTTCTGGAAGGAACAGAGCAGATGGGATGCACAGAAGGGGGCGTTTCCCTTCCTCACATGCTTGAGGTTTTTACTTGGGAGCTCTGAGGCAATGTCATAAGGAGTGGGACAGGTTCCACGCTGGTACAAATGCTAAGACGAACCCTCTCGCCCATCTTCTCTCCTGACAGTGAGCCCACACAGTGCACCATGCTGTATTCACGCCAAGGGACGACAGAAACCATTGAGGAGGTGGAGGCTGAAGCTGAGGAGGAGGTGGTAGAGGGTCTGGAGTCTGAGCTCCGTGACGCAGAAGACAAGGAGTATGTGGCAGAGTATGAGGCAGGGGTAGAGGAGGTCAGCCTCACGCCGGACGAGGAGTTGCCTCAGTTCTCCACAGACGATGGGGACGTGGAGGCCCCGCCCTCCTACAGCAAGGCTGTCAGCTTTGAGCATCTGTCCTTTGCCTCTCAAGATGACTCCGGGGCCAAGAACCACATGGTGGTCAGCCCCGACGACAGCCGTACAGACAAGCTGGAGTCGAGTATCTTACCGCCCCTGACTCACGAGCTGACAGCCAGTGAGCTGTTGATGAACAAGTAAGAGAAGGAACCATAGAAGGAACCATCACACACATGTGTACCTAAGTCACGTATGCACAAAGCCCTAGACATAGAAGGCAAACATACAATCCTGGGACAATACCGTGACTGAGTGACTGACTCAGCCAAAAGTATCCAGTGACATCTGTGTTCATACCTGTTTCTATAAGGTCTCAGACAGGTTGAGAATCCCTAATTTGAAAACCAAAGATGCTCTGAAATCCAAAAGAGCTCAAACAGCATCCACATAGTACAGGAGATAGATGAATTTGTGCCATTAATCTTTGTGCATATATCAAACCATTGGAAAACATTATATAAAATGACCGTCAGTCCCTATGAATATGGTATATATAAGGCATAGGTTAACTGCATGTCGAAACTTGATTTCAATATCCAAGAATTTTTCATTATGTAATTTAGTAGTCCAAGATATGAAGGCCCTCAATATCTCAGACACTTCCCAAGTGCTTTAGACAAAGGAGGATCAGCCTGTATGAGGTTGGTTTTTTTTTAATTATCAGATGAACATACACAGAGGAGGCATGTGTCGACGCACAACACAAGAGAGCATCATAAATGCAAGTCATTGATTTGGAGCAGGCGCAGACAAGGGTCCAATTGTGCTTATTTTAACAGGATGTTCCGCGATGATGAGCTGGAAGAATCCGAGAAATTCTACGTGGACCAGCCGCGGTTCCTGCTGCTTTTCTACGCCATGTACAACACCCTGGTCGCCCGCTCAGAAATGGTGTGCTACTTCGTGATCATCCTCAACCACATGATCTCTGCGTCCATCATCACCCTCCTGCTGCCCATCCTGATCTTCCTCTGGGCCATGCTGTCTGTCCCCAGGCCCAGCCGCCGTTTCTGGATGATGGCCATCGTCTACACTGAGGTAGGCCGCTCTGCTGCATGGCCTACTTAGGCTAGCGATCGTTATCTTCAATTTCATACACCTGTTCAGGCCTCACACCTTACACAGGGTAGGTTCCGGTGTCGTTCCCGATTAAAACACACAAGGAGACCGCTAAAGTGGGATTCAGTAATTGGCCAAAGGTTGCGAAATTGCTGGAGACGGCTTTGGAAGCCCTCTTGTGAGCCCTGTGACATTAACCAATGTCACTACTGCCGCTGTAGCCGTCTTTGGCCAAATCGAGTGGAGTGGCCTGAATCGGTGAGTAGCCAAAGCATAGACTCGGAATTAAACTCACAGCAAAGCACCTTGAGTGCGGTCTGATGGAGCACCGCATGTTTTCCATCTTTAAACCTGGAGTCACTTTCCCTGCATCCCAGCACAAAGCCTTGAAAATCTAAATGGCAGGAGGACATGCTGGGGATGGGGAGCCCCTGCTTGAGCAGACCTAGGGCCTTGTTTGCCATCTTTCCTGTGAAGTACAGAAGACTGCCAAGTCTCCTACGAACTGTGCCCCGTGGTGGGGAGGTGAGACTCACAGGGTGTGTGCCCAGGCTTCTTCAGTTGAAGACAAAGGGACTCCCTGGCTCAGAAGGAAAGTTCACTTTGAAGACCATTGTGATTAATGCTTATAGTGCAGTGCTCGTGAAAGATGCACCGTTTTAATCTGGAACTACCGCGGGTTTATAAGAAATCATTGTAGCAAATGATCTCGAAACTATGTGGATTAAGTATTGATAGTATGTATGACATATCTTTGATTTAAGAGAGAGAGAGAAAGAGAGAGAGAGAGAGAGAGATCCACGGATGAGTGCATGTCTATTTCTCTACTTGACCTGTCCCTCACAGTCTTGCCAAAATGATCACTCCTGGATATCACTTCCATTACATCCCTCTAGGACATAGATGACTCTCCTAAGGGAGAGGGTGCAATATCGCAGCACCCAGCCTCACTGTGTGGGAGAGTTCCCTAGCACCTTGTTCTTAAATACATGGTTTTCATGTTAAATAATATTCTCGCTTTTATCTCAGTCTGCAGCTACAAGAGGAGTTTTTGTGCAAGCCAGTAGATTAGCAGAACCGCCAGTGGAATAAAGACTTTCTATTGGCTATAAAAAATAACCTCTGTGGTGTGTGTGTGTGTGTGTGTGTGTGTGTGTGTGTGTGTGTGTTATTGCTTAAGTTGGGTTTTTAATTTTCTCTCTCAGAGTAAATTAAGTGAGAAATCCGGTTGGCATTCCTTCCTTGTATAATTTGAGCTGTGCTCAGAAACACAAGAGCTATGCTACACGTGATGAAACAAGTAGGGAGCAAATCCTCCTTGTTTCCATGGTTCGGAGATGACTGTGGAAGGAGATATGGTGGGAGAAAGCAAATGCTATGTGTATCGGCCCTTCCCGGTGTGGAGCCTGAGGGGAGCTTGCCTAGCACACACAAGCTCTGGTTCTGTCCTCAGCACCAGATAAACCAGGTGTGGCGGCCTACGCCCATAATCACAGCACTCTGAGAGGCACTGCAAAATAAATTCAGCGTCTTTTTGGAGTTTAGGGGCTAAAATTCTGCCTCTAAACACAGGCGAAAGAAAAGAAAAAGGGAAATGATGTCTACCTACACCACAGCAGGCCAGGCTTCAGACCTCTCCACACCAAAATAAACAAAACCCCACTAGCTCCCCACAAGTGCATGGTATTTCAGCAAAATTCACAAGCTAAAGCCTTGTATAACATATAAATGTATTCATATTCAAGTTTGCCCTGACTTCCTTATTTGAATAGCTGGATAATTGAATGCATAATTAAGTCGACATAAAAATGACCCCTTCAAAAACAGAAAATGATCAGTCGTTCAGGAGGCAGCAGGAGTAATTCAATGGCTTTGCTTCACTACAGGTGATGCTTTCAATAAACAGTGTTGCTCTTATTCTGCAGAAGAGAAACGTACTACCGACACTTTCAACCCAATCGCTTTAAGGTCATCATATATAGTAGTCATGCACCGCTAAAACTGTGCAGCAGGCGTGTTCTCTTAATTCTTACTCCACTCTTTCTCAGGCATTGCTAGTCCTAGAAGGAAGGAATGACTTCTTTTATTTCTATCATCCATACGTAGGTGGCGATCGTAGTAAAATATTTCTTCCAGTTCGGCTTCTTTCCTTGGAATAAGGACTTGGAATTGAACAAGGACAAGCCCTACTTTCCCCCAAACATCATAGGAGTGGAGAAGAAAGAGGGCTATGTTCTCTACGACCTCATTCAGCTGCTGGCTCTGTTCTTCCACCGCTCCATTCTGAAGGTACCTAAGTGTTAACAGTTCGCTACCGCCATGTTGGTCAGTTCTGTCTGCAACAGTACTGAAGATCCTGAGCACTGGATCGTTGTTGGCAGTGGGGATGATAGCAGGGTTGAGCATTTACCAGCATTTGCAGAGCATCGCTTGAAGGAGATGCAGAGATTCCGAGCACTGGGATCGTTGTTGGCAGTGGGACCAGTGTCAGGGTTGAGCATTTACCAGCATTTGCAGAGCATCACTTGAAGGAGATGCAGAGATCCTGAGTACTGGGATCATTGTTGGCAGTGGGGCCAATGGCAGGACTGAGCATTTACCAGCTTTTGTGGAGCATCGCTTGGAGGAGACATGGTATCATTTCAGCACTAGTCTGAGTCAGAGCATCTGAGAACACTCAGAGACAACACCTTGTCTCTCTTCCCCGCTTCAAGCCCTGTCCATCTTCTAGTGATACTGCCTTCACCAGCCAGTCTCTTATCATGAAGAAGAGACTTCCCAGGGCGAGCTGTGGACTACTGTACCTATAAAATCTCACCATTGAGGAAGCTGTTGGCCCCGGGGCCTGAAGAAGATCTCTGCAGGGCAACAAATCCCAGGCACACTCACTCTTACCCTTTTCTTTTAGGTTCATACATCCCTTGCACACGTGCATGCACACACATACACACACACACACACACATTTATGTGTGTATACATATATATAATATACATGTGTGTATGTGTACATAATATATGAATGTATATGTATGTATACGTATATATTCCCTTTTATTAAACATATATTTTTCTCATACAATATAATCAGAAAGCAGTTTTCCACCCTCTACCCCTTCCCGTTATTCCCCACCTACTCTCCCATTGTGTCCACTTCCTTCCTATCTCTCATTAGAAAAGAGCAGACTTCTAAGAGAGAACAATAAAACAAAACGAAATAAAATGTAAGAGTCGATGAAAAGTATCACATTGAAGTTGGACAAGGCAAGCCAACAGAAAAATAAAAGAGCCTCAAGTGAAGGCACAAGAATCAGAGACTGGTTCACCCCCACACTCAGAAGTCCAGTAAAAGACTAAACTGAAGGCCATAACCTGCGGCAGTGCAGACCTATGTAGGTGCTATGATCATTGCTTCAGTCTCTGTGAGCTCGTATGCACCTTGCTCAGTTATTTAGAGGGTCTGGTCACCCCAATGTCCTCTGCCTCCCCTGTTTCCCCCACTCCTTCTAACTCCTCTTCTGCAAATTCCCCGGACTCGAAGAGGAGGGATTTGGTGGAGATATCTCATTGAACTGTGCGTTCCAAGGTCTTCCTCGAGCTCAGGAAGTCTCTGCTTCTCTGTTTTTGTTCCCGTCACTGTCTTTCTTTCCGCAGCTGTGTGTGTTTTTCTTCTCACACACTACAAGTTGCAGACAGGCAGTCTATTAGCAGAAGCGGGCCAATCCACCATAACTATAGAAATAACTCTACAGCATCCATTTCAGACCTGCCTTTGTTTGTCGCAGTCTGGCTTTTTTCTATTTCTACCCTGCTCCCTTTTCCAAAATAATTTAAATCTATAATTCATTTAATCAAATCATGCCTCTATCAGTCCTTATCAGATCCTGTTTAGAATAAAGTTTGGAGCTTTGTTTTTCTGTTTGTTTTTGTTTTCATTTTTTAATGTGTCCTGGGCCTAGCTCAGCATCCAGACCTGGCCTGGAACTCACTATGTAGCCCAGGCTGTTATCAAAGTTGTGATCCTCCTGCCTCAGCCTCCTGAATTATAGGGTGACAGGCATGGACTTCTAGGCTCAGCATTTTTGATGTCTTAACGATGACTCACAGGGAGAACAGATCTGGGACCCAGGAAAGGAGTTCCCTGAAGTTCTTCACACACAAGTAGAGCCACACTACATACAGTTGATGTGTGATCCCAACAGTATCTCCCTCCATCAAAACCAATGGCTTCTCAGACTCCAGATCTGTACATTCTTGCCTTTTTTAGCAGCTCTTCTTCCCATTTTCTTACAGCAGAGATCAGGATCTCCAGTAGATGCCAGAGTCCTTGCCCTACACCTGGCCAGTAAATTTCACATAGAAATTTTGCAGTTTTGCTCTGAGTCTTGAGTAAGCCAAGGCTCACCCCCACCATGTGGGCTAGGAGACAGACAGAATCGTTCTACAAAGTAGAGACATGGGATGCTAAGATTGGATTCACATGTGGATAATAAGTGGGCCGAGGCTATTTCTAGTGAGCACTCTAATACGTTCTAGAAGGTTCTAACACATCAAGAAGCTGTCATTTCATCCTTACCTATCTATCCTAACTACACCTACCTTGTCTTAGTTAATTACACAATCGCTTTTCAACAACCATCTCCACTCTCCTAGGACACTCACACAGTTCTGCACAAGCTTCCTTAGACACGCCTCCCTTGGATTTCTGTTTTCAAGGGGCTGAACGTTAGAATTGACCCTATAAGAAAGCCAATTGACCCACCTGAGACGCTAGCCTCAGCTGTCGCCTTCTCTGCTTCTCAGTGTCACGGCTTATGGGACGAGGACGACATCGTTGACAGTGGCACGGACAAGGAGGAGTCTGATGACGAGCTGTCCCTTGATCACGGCAGAAGAGGCTCCTCGGATTCACTCAAGTCCATCAACCTGGCTGCTTCCGTGGAGTCTGTGCATGTGACCTTCCCAGAGCAGCCAGGGGCCATCCGGAGAAAACGTTCCTGCAGCAGCACCCAGATCTCCCCACAATCCAGCTTCTCTTCAAACAGGTCCAAAAGAGGTATTCACTATATGACCTTTAGGCTGAAATAAGCCCCAGGCAGTCTTATTTCTCCGGTGTCTCTGCATCTGGGAAGGGGAGCGGTTGGCTGCTATGGGTTAAAGATACTGTAATATGGAGGAACATTCTCTGGCATTAGACAGACCCAAGTTCAGGTCCTGTTTCAGTTCTGTAGCTTCCTCCATTGTTCAAGGTGTGCGAGCCCCTCCAGGGCCCAGGGTTTCGGGTAATAGAGGAGGCAGCCAGCACACAGGCTAATGTGCAGCAGTGTAAGGCCCGTGATAATTCATTCACCATATATAAAACCTCTGCTGGGTGGGATATAAATCATAACAGATTTTGAAAATGGATTTAGATTTTACCAACGGAGATTTGGGAGAGGGATGCTGGGGACTGAACCCAGGATCTCTCACATTTGTATACTAGGCAAATGCACTACCACTGGGCTCTAGCCCTACCCATTTCTGTCTTACTAGTTTTTATCCTGAGCTATGTCTCCCTTCATTTCACAGGCTGGCTTTGCACATAGCATAGGTGGGCCTTGAACTTCCAAATCCTCCAGCTTCAACCTCCCAAATAGCTCTGATTGCAAGCATGCGCCACAAGGATCAGCTTCAGCTGGGGACTTTTAACAAAGATTTATGATTATTTCCTAAGCTAGTTTTTAATTTCTTACTAAACATTGAGTGTGATACAGAAGTTGCTATTTGGAAATAATTGGGCCTTTGTAGTTATGGGCTCATGTCTGATGCTTCTCCAGGTCTCAGACATTTGTCTTAAGAACCTGCCTTTGAGGCAGACACTGGGTGATCAAGTATATTGGTTTTCTAGTTGGAGCAATCAGAATATGAGAATAAGTCTGAGTCACGCACCCCCATCTGGAAAAACTGAGACCTAGAACACTAGTGAGCACAAGTAAAGTTATTCCCCTCTGTGTTTCTTCCTGAACAAATGCTACAGAACCATGCAGAGGAGACCCACTGGGTATGAACCCGCGGATCTATCGCAGCCCCGGGTCAGCATAGGAGTCTGCTCCTCGAACACTCAGTAGTCAGTCTTAAAGCCTTCCGTGCCCTACATCCTCTGGATCATGTGAAAGCCAGGACCCTACACCCCAACTGAGTTCTGTTGACAGATCCACTGTTAACCCTCAAGCCTCTGACCTCTCTCCTTTTCCTCCTCTTTCTAGGTAGCACAAGCACGCGGAACAGTAGCCAGAGAGGAAGCAGTGTTTTGAGCATTAAACAGAAAAGCAAAAGAGAACTTTACATGGAAAAGCTTCAAGAGCATTTCATCAAGGCAAAGGCATTTACCATAAAGAAGTGAGTGGGCAGAAACACAGGGGCTGTGCGCTCTGACTGGAGCTGGGGAGATGGTACCAATGACTCCCTAGAAACCAGAGGTGAAGAGGGGAGAAGGCGTTTGTTGCAACAGCAGACAGTGACCCATGGCTACAGTGCTTTAGAAACCATCTCTTAGTGAATGCCTACATCAAGGGTTCACTTTATAAGCTTTCAGGCGTTGCTTCTGAAAGCCCAGCCAGGCAGGGAGGAGCGTGAGGTTCACGTCGGATGGGAGTCATAATGCCCTCTTTCTTCCAATAATGGGGCTGGGTGGCATTGGGCCAGGCTCCTTATTCATCATCCTGCAGTCGGTCCCTGGCCTTCTTCACAGGTCCCTCTGCCTTGCTGGTGATTCGACAAGGCAGTGCCCAAGCACAAGCAGGGAGAAAGACACAACAGGACTGGGATTGTAATGTGACACAAGCCCTAATGCAGACAGGCTCAGACCTGGAGAGCCTGCAGTCACAGTAAAGCTATGCGGCTTGAAGGACAATAGAGAGACAGAGACATGCTTGCACAGTGGTAATGGCAAAGAAAAGAAATAAAAGCCAAGAACAGCAGGGAGAAGCCACAATGGACATAAGACTCCGAATCAGAAGAGACAGGAGACATCCGATATATGCTCAGATATGGAACTCCAGGGCTCAGTGCCCTCTAGGCTCCTTCACTTTCTCCTCCTCTGGCCTCAGTCACAGTCTCACCCCAAGTTTTATATAAGCTTAGGGTGAAACAGAGAGAATTCTGCAACACAGGCTCATGTAGAATGAATCGCCAGACCCAGACAGCCACATGCCTTCTGCCTGGCTTTTAGGGCTTTATGCAATTCTGTTCGGCTTCAAGTAAGGGAAGAGTCATGGCACCCTCCAGGTCATGCCTGCATTGGCAGTAAACTCCTCTGTGCTCCCTGAGCAGGGGTCTCTCCAAGGGTCTCTGCCTCGGCTTGTAGTAGAAGGTGGGGCCTGGATAGGAAGGAGCAGGAGAGTGGAGATGGAGCAGGGTCAGCCATTTTTCCATGCTACCCCTGTGAAACGGCCCTGTCTTGCAGAACTCTGCAGATATACGTACCCATTCGGCAGTTTTTCTACGACCTCATCCACCCGGACTACAGTGCTGTGACTGACGTGTATGTGCTGATGTTCCTGGCCGACACTGTGGACTTCATCATCATCGTCTTTGGCTTCTGGGCCTTTGGGGTAGGTTGGGCCAAGGGTCTGCCCTCATCGGCTGACTAGGAGGGAAGATTTCCATCTTGGGAACTGCCACTCAGGCTGAGCCTGTTCTTTCCTCCGCAGAAACACTCGGCGGCTGCAGATATTACCTCTTCTCTCTCAGAAGACCAGGTCCCCGGGCCATTCCTGGTGATGGTTCTTATTCAGTTTGGGACCATGGTGGTGGACCGTGCGCTCTACCTCAGGAAGACTGTGCTGGGCAAGGTCATTTTCCAGGTCATTCTCGTGTTTGGGATCCACTTCTGGATGTTCTTCATCTTACCCAGTGTGACGGAGAGGTAAGGTCTCCCCCACAGAGATCCGCCAGGACAGTGAAAGGCAAAGATCTCAGCGAAGTTCGGTTCAAACGCAGAGTAGGAGTTGGTTCATCCTCCTCAGTGCCTCAACTGTGTTTCATCCATGTTTGCAGAAACAAAGGTTTCAGAAATAAGAGGAGTGACAGCCTCAGATCCAGGGCAGACCAAAGAGCTTTGAGCTGTGTTTGTCTCTACCATCTAGGCAATGTCAAGAGGAGCTGAGTGTGGTCTTAGGTGCCTCCGTCAAAGGGAAAGAGGACATGAGACAGTGTCGTATGGGAAACAGGGTTATTCAACTGGTTCAAAGACATAACAGGAGATGATAAGGGGAAAGTGATATCAGACACATGGATGATAATGGGACCCAAAAAGCCCATGTAGGGGACCAGGTAGACCCATTACGAAATGACGTTGTTTCTGTCAGGACTGTTGCTAATGGTTAAAATAGACTAAGAACTGGCATGAGTGAATTTATAAAGGGTAGATACTACTGAGCAAGTTGAGGTGCACAGTAATCCCAGCATTCAGGAGGCTGGAACAGTCAGGAGTTCGAGGCCAGCCTGGGTGATACAGCAAGACTATTTCAAGACTAAGGCAACCTGAAGTTTACTAGGGGTGGGGCTTGAAGGTGGCTACTGGTTTTCCCCTAACACCTAGAATGGGATATAGATCTAAAAGTCCTCAGTAAGCTGAGTTCTAGTACCTCAAATTCTCTTCCACTTCTCCCATCTCTCCCACACCCAGAGTTCCCCCTTTTCTCCTATATGGCCTTTGAAATCTGTACTTCCACCTCAAATGAGTCTTGTAGCCCAGTTATTAATTAGGGTGTGAACAACTCAACCAATAAATAAAAGAAAAACAAAGCAGATTACTATAAACAGAAGACATCCGCTCCACTCTCTTAGATTATACTGGCAGAGGGGAAATTTGTTTGTTTTTACTCTAAACTGTTGCCTTCTGTACGGGAAAAGCATCCCATTGCTTTATCTTCCATAATTTTGTCTTTTAGGAAATTCAGCCAGAACCTGGTGGCTCAGCTTTGGTACTTCGTGAAGTGTGTGTACTTTGGGTTGTCGGCCTATCAGATCCGCTGTGGCTACCCAACGCGCGTGCTCGGAAACTTCCTCACCAAGAGCTACAATTATGTCAACCTCTTTTTGTTTCAAGGGTGAGGGCACCGCCTTGTCTCTCACTGGTAGAGTGGAAGCAGTGTGTATGTGTGTGTGTGGGTGGGGGGGAATTGTGTTTCTTCCACCAGGAGGGAGGAGAGAAAGAAAGCAGGGGTGTAAGGCACCCAGAAACTCTTGCAGTGTGAGCCCCACACAAGGTCCTGCTTTAGGCACCTTTTCACACTTAATCACTAAAGTCCTGCCAGGGAGTTGCTCGAGAACCATCCACACTGCATTTTCACTTTAGTAACTTCCCTAGTTAGCATGATAATGTTTGGGAATAAAATGTCTTCCCAAAGCTCAAGGGTCATTGAAGGAGAGGACATCAGGAAGATTGTAAGAGCCGGGGGGGGGGGGGAGGAATGAATGGGGGGCTAGGAGAGTGGGGGAGGTGGCTACAACAAAATAGTGTTTTCTGGACACAGCAAGGCGGTCACACCATTGAATTTACAACGATTGTGACAGTTGTGACCATCTGCATAAGATCAGTTACTCAAGACAAACTCTCATCTTGGAGCGAGGATGTGGTCACACTAGCTAAAATGCTATTGGCATTGCTATTAGCCATGGGAGACTGGGACTCAGTTTCCCTCAAGGGCGTGGGTCCTGGGAAGCTACGCATGCTCCAGCAGATGTTCCTAAACACGTGCTCATATAGACTGCACTAAGTGGGCTCTGTGGGTTAAACAATCAAACAGAGCACACGGAGTTGGGTGGGAAGGCGATGAGAGAGATAGGGGAGGGATTTCAGGGGAGGAAATGAGAGGTAGATTATATGCATGTGTGAAATTCTTAAGCAGTGAAGTCTCAAGCAAGTGGAGCAGAGTAGACACAGAGAATCCCGAAGTATTAATACAATTCTGGACATAGTAAAATAGAATGGCTGGGACCAGCACCTTTCCAGAACACCCTGGAGTTCTTTGTGTGCTGTGAGTTCATGCATGAAGAAGCCCGAGTGACATCATGCTGCCTGTTTCTGGTAGTTCATCAAGCAAGCTTCATTCCACATGCTCTTCCATATGATGATTTCCGTGATAGCATACCCTTGCATTCCCCCAAAAGTTACACCATGTCTCAAGAGAGAAGGTGGCTGTAGGCACAGCTGGCCCCTCCACGGCACTAGTTCTGATCTCTGGCGATAGGTCAGAAGTGGTTTTGGGTGCATCCTGATGTTGTGATCAACCATGTGTTCTACCCTAGGCCTGGGCCGGCTGTGTCTCCCAGGTGCTGGTTTACTATTTAATCTGTAGAGCTGAAGCAGGTAGCCCAGGGCAGGGGTTTTGAATGGTAACAACACTGCTGTAGGGGATCCTAGACCCCGCCTGCTTCCCAAGCCTGGCAGAGAAAAATCTCTGTCATTCAAGGAGCTTGGAATATTCCTCCATGCCTGCTGGAGCTCAGGGTAGCCCACTCCCCAGTACAACTGAAGGCAGTGAGCCTCTTTAACCTAGGCAAGCCACTGATCATGAGTCTTCTCTCTGGCTCCAGTGACAGTCCCTGGTCCCTCTGCCTCCCCCATCCGCTCGCATCTTTATCAGATGTAGACTCTTTCCTGACTCATCCTATCAACAAAGCTATAACAACTCAAACAACCCTCTGCCCATTGATTCTTATAGTACAAACACATGTGAAAAACAAAACAGAATCAACTTTTAATATGAAATCCCAGTCGGTTACAACCATCAGAGAAAATAGGGATGAAAAATATCAATCCATATATTCAATTTATACTGCGAAGCAGTTGTACTCCTGGGTGGATTTTACTGTGAGGATTGCCTTGAGAGTTTTTCTTAACTCATCACCTTCTAAACAAATTTCTTCCGCGTGAACTTCTGAGGTGAGCTAGACAACGGGGCCGTCCTCCAAATGTCCGCATGACTACACGTGGTTCCCTGCAGGTTCCGCCTGGTCCCGTTCCTGACTGAGCTGAGGGCTGTGATGGACTGGGTGTGGACAGACACGACCTTGAGTCTCTCCAGCTGGATTTGTGTGGAGGACATTTACGCGCACATCTTCATCTTAAAGTGCTGGCGAGAGTCGGAAAAGGTAAAGAGCCCATGACAGTGCCTCGTTCCTGCCAGCCGCTCACGAGCGCCGGTCGGTTATGAGATTAATGCCAATGCTGTGTGTTTGCGGCCAAATGGACGGAGGTGGGGGCATGAAACCTGCCGTGAGCTAAAAATACAGCATTGATTTCCAACCCACTGGGGTTGTAGGCTTTAAATTCACTTCTGCTATTGTCAGCAACAGCATCCAGATGTTTCTTCTTTTGGCCATTGTATCGTAATTGATCTAAAAGAAGGGATGTGCTGCCACATGACCCAGTCACCCTTGAATGCTCACTGGGAAGCCCAGTGCAGAGAAACTAGGGTTGGTTGGGCAATGTGGATTCATGCTCGCCATGTGCTCTCCTCTGGAGGAGGGATGGGTACTTTAACCTCCCTGGTAAAGGAAATGATCTCTAAAAATGTTCTTAGAGTAGGTAGCTATTAAGTTTAAGCATAGTTTAGCCTTACTGGATAGTCTGAAAGCTTGTCATGTAGAACCAGAGTATCTTATATCATGGTAACAGAAACACACAACCAACATTAGCCAAGGAGTGGAAAATGTCTTCCTGTCTTACCTCTGAGATATTGTCTTTCAAAGCGTCTCTTCTAATGTGCGTAACATCTAGTGTGTGTTCCCAGCTCTCCCCAGCAAGCCAGCTCTACCGTCCATCAGGAGGCACATGCATTTATGACGTCTATGGAACTGAAGGAGCTGAGGCCTGCTAGAGATGAGGAGCTAGAGACGTGGCCCCACACTGCCGCTCAAGAATTCGCACTGAAAAGTTCCTCTAAATGTTTAGGGACCCCAGCTCGGGTCAAACCAGAATTTGTGACTTTGATGCTGAAAAGAATTTCAGGACTTTGGTCATGAAGCAGAGCTGGAGATTTTGTTAGAAGTATTCTAATATAGGTTCAAGCTTAAGAAACTAGACAGCACAGATGTGGGCTCCTCCAAAGAGAGATAAAGCAACCGATTGTCTCAGCATTAGTTTCGTATACTCTTTTGGTGGTTCTCCAGTTGCATTTCAGAAGGCCACTATGGATTTTTTTCTTCTGTTCTCCTTTTTGTTTACTGAGGTTGCAGGGTGTCCCTGACACATCTGTGGTGGGATTACACTCTGCTAAACTACAACTGGAATCCCCTAAAATTGGTAGGATGGTACAGAGGCATGGACCATGTTCTTTCCCTGGAAATAGGGTTTAACAATGAGATTCCCAGGAAATTGCAGGCTCGTGGCTTGGAGGGACTGATAGATTCCTCGGGACTGGAGTTACCAATGCTTGTGAGTCACCTTGAGGGTACTGGGAATCGAACCTGGGTCCTCTAGAAGAGCAGCCAGACCACTGGGCCATCCCTACGGCCTCTTGTCCTTATATTTAAAGAGCACAGAAACTGGAATGCTGCTTTAGTCTATTCTTTTGTTATTGCTGTAACAAACATCTGGAACGAGGCAATTTATAAAGAAAAAAAGATTTATTTTTGACTCCTGGTCCTACACGGCAGCATCTGTTTGGCTTCCTGCCTCTCTATGCATGGTGAGAAACCAAAGAAAGAGCCAAGAAAGTGTGGTAAAGAAAAGGGGACAGCCTCTCATGATAACAAGGCCATTCCTCAAGAAAAGTTGGGTTCATTCATGAAGACACCTTGTTTGGCCCAAATGCCTTGCAAGGTCCCACAACTTCTCAATACTGCATAGAGAATGTCCCATTCATTGGTCCTCTGAGGACAAACTACACGCCACCGGAAGAAAAAACACGAGCATCAAAGGACACAGGGTGATAACGAGGGTAACAAAGACCCTAGAGATGGCCACATATGAGAACCCTAGAAAGAATCAAGAATCTCTTGGCTCACTAGCAAAACATAAGAGGAAGCAGAAATAACAGCTATTTTCAACACTGACTATTTTAGAAAACCATGCAAAACTAGGTTAATTTGTGAGACATAAACCAACAAAAAGACAAGTAGACAAAAGCTCCAATAAATGTCAATGAAAAATAAGACATTTCCCAGGATCAATGCTACTCCATGACAGAGTGGGCTACCTTACAAGTTGGTTGCCAGGAAACATCCAAGTACATACACACTTAAGACCCGAGGGTAATGTTTACTGTATGGAGACACTAAGTCTGCTTCCATATGTTAGATTGCTGATACTATAACTAAACTCCTAAGACAAATCAACTCATAAGGAAGAAAGGTTTATTTGTGGTTCACAATTCTGGAGATAAGGGTGTTTTCACAGACCCCACAAACCTCCCACACTATTAAATCATTTCTATAGCACTCATGATGCCCAACAGCATGCGAACGCTCAACAAATGGAGATCAGGCTGCATTCTTGAGTGAGTTAGAACAACAAAAAGAATAGTTCCCACAATACCCCTCTAGCATATGTCATCTGACATTGGCTGGATCCACAGTCATGGGGCCTATAGAGAGAGAGGATGGTGGCCTTCCCTTATCCTCAGAGAAGCCCCAGGTTCCCCTCCAGATGGCCTCACATTCCTGGGAAGCCTGGGGAGCTGAGGCTGAGAGGATTCTCTTTGTTGTATCTGCCACATTCCCTTTCTATGGCAGCCCAAATGCCAGAGCACGGGTAAGCCAAAGTGGCTGGAACAACATGTAACGAAGGACCATAAACGGGAGAATGACAATATGGGGCCTTTGTCTTCAGTCTGCTGTGAACACTTGCTGAGCACCGCCGGTGAGGCCCAGAGTCGCGACAGCATGCAAAGCCCCAAAGCATAGGTCGTGCGGTCCAGGAAATACATGTGTGAATATCTTGTCTCACAGTAGCACACATGTAATAAACAGGTGCTTGCTGGAAGGCAGCTTCTGGGGAAACAAAGTCACCAGGAGGTAGAGAAGCTTCGCCAAGCGAGTTAGTGGAAAACATGAGTTGACTTGGGGTGGACGGAGCTTCTACCTTTCTGTTTGCTCCTAAGTCCGCTGCCCCAATCCCTGTCTCCTCTCCTCTGCTCTCACAGGGATGTTTGCCGGATACTTTTAAGACCTTAGTGAGTTTCTTTACTCTCTGAAAACTCCTGTTCACTTCTCCTGGTCTTCACAACCTCAAAGGTCGAATTTGGCATATTTTTCTTACAGGCCTTCCCTAGCTCCAGATTTGGTTCACATCTTTCCCCGGGGCCTTCCCAACTCTCTGCATAGCCTATCCAGTACTTAACACATTGAGACCCAAGTCCCTCATTCCAGTTCTCTGTCGGAAGCTCAGTGATAGGATCATTCTAGGGCACTCTGTGATAGGATCATTCTAGGGCACTCTGTGAAGCAAGAACAGCTTCCTGAAAGGCAAAGGTTTGCCATGAACTTAAGATGTGAACGGCCAACTTAGCACTCATCCCCAAGTGGCCACTTCCCAGCATGCTCTGGGAAGCTAATCAAACTTATAACAGGAACAGCACTGTGGTTTTCCCATCTTCCAACAATAAAACACGGAGCTACCGAGAGAGGAATGGGGAAGTAGCCTGGGACAAACATCTGGCAGCCCCTTTGATAGGTCTTCTCTGTAGTCTGTCAAGGATTGCATATGGGGTAAATTGGGAGTCTGGTTCACCGTGTAGAGGGCCACCTCTAGTTACAGACTTCTTGTTGGCAAAGTTCCCAGGTGGTCAGGACATCGTATAGAGAGACAAGGAAAACACAAGAGACCCAGCTGCTCTGGCATTCATAGCAGAACAACTCTCAAGATAGCCATTTACTACAGTCTCTCCAGATGGGTTCGATGGGTTCATTCAAGACTCTAATCATCTTAATGCTCATTATGGTGATCACAACTCAACCTGAGTATCAGAAGGATCAATCCAAACCCCAACTACAGCATCAGCTAACCTGGAAAGTACCTGGGAAAGGGAGAAAGGCTGCACGCAGGAGTAACATGCAAGACACTCACATACCTCAGACACTAACTTCTCAGGCAAAGCCAGCTCCTCCCACTCACCCCCCACAGTTGGGGAAACTTAGAGTCTGCAGTGTGGCCTGCAGAGGTGACACAGCCCGCGACTGTGCTGGCTCTTGTTCCTGTTCCTACCACATGAATTCCTCCTTTCCTCTCACCAGCCATGTCCAGCACTCAGAGGGGCTTTGTCCCTCACTGGCCACAGGAGGGCCACGCTGGCCAGGCAGAGCTTAAGAAGCAGAACAACATGGTCTTTGAGAACGTGCACTGTGCATTGAGTTTAACGGGTGCCTCTTGGACTTTGGTACAGCTTCATCCTTCGATTCCAAGGCTGGGATAGGTCTCTGCCCCATGTAGAGAGGAATCAGGACTAAGTCTGTATTCCCCAGGGCAGTGAGGGAAGCACTCACCCTTGTCTGACCCTGCCTCCTCCCTCTTCTCTCAGGCACCTGCTGAACCTTTCTAAATCCTTGTGTTGCAGAGATACCCCCAGCCCCGGGGCCAGAAGAAGAAGAAAGCGGTGAAGTACGGCATGGGCGGCATGATCATCGTCCTGCTCATCTGTATTGTGTGGTTCCCGCTGCTCTTCATGTCTTTGATCAAATCCGTCGCGGGGGTTATTAACCAGCCCTTGGATGTGTCGGTCACAATCACCCTGGGAGGGTATCAGGTAAGCTAGCTTCCCCCATGTTTTGGATCCCTTCCTAATGCAGTATTCGTTCATGGGAGCCCTGACTAAGGCGCGTAGTGATAGTTCTCAACGCCAGTTTTGTTTTGTTGCTTTTTCAGGACAGGATTTCTCTGTGTAGCCCTGACTGCCCTGGAACTGACTCTGTAGCCCAGGCTGGCCTCAAATTCACAGAGATCCTCCTGTCTCTGCCTCCCAAGTGCTGGGATTAAAGGCGTGTGCCACCACTCCCTGGTTGATGCCAGGGTTTTATCTGAATGCTCTCTGATCAGAAGACACATGGCATATGAAAGAAAGTGCACGTAGTTGGTGACAGGGAAGCTGTGCTGCCGCCGAGGATGTGCAAGGGCTTGGGTGTGAGCCCTAGCACAGCAAACAGTAAAACAGCAACAACAGTAATAATAATAACAACGGTTCATTGGTTTTGAGTATAGAACTAATCCGTGTTAAAAGAGATCTCTGAGGCCAACTGCCTTCGGGGGTCAGTAGTTCATACCAAGGAAATGTTTTCACTTTAACCCAAAAGCGGGGAAGTTCCAGCGTCTCCTGCTGACTATGTACCTTTGTTTTGCAGCCTATCTTCACAATGAGTGCCCAGCAAAGCCAGCTGAAGGTTATGGACAATGCAAAGTATAAAACATTCCTAAAGTCTTTCGCCACCAACACCGTAAGTAAATGTGTGCAGAACTCAAGGAAGACCACCTCCATGTGGGCTCTCTTGGGGTGTCAGGCAGCCGGATAGCATTGCTGTGCCCCCTGGTGGTGAGATGATGAATTTTTCTAGGCTCCTCAGTTGCCTGTGGCACCCGACCTTGATAACATGACAAACATAAATGATAGCAAACGCGAGTTTAACTTGAAACATTTTAATAAAAGCTCAACAGGATTTTTCTCATTTAAACACATGCATTTAATTTTTAAACTGGTGATATTGGTCTTTGATTGGCCTGCTTGCTCTGGGAACCTTGAATTAAGAAATTAATTTGAAATATGGGAAAGCTATTAGGTAGATGCTTGCTTAAGAACACATTGCTTTTGGTAGCAGAAACTGAAGTGATTTGCATGTTTAAGAAAAAGAACTGGCTCCAAAGCTACAGAGAAACCCTGTCTCGAAAAACAAAACAAAACAAAAAACTGGTTGGTTAAGGAAATCATACCAAATATATTACATGAGTCCAGCTGACACTGGTTCCTCCAACAGTCATCCTGGAAGAAAAGGTCTGCACTTTTGATCATATTCACATTACATACTTTGTTATCTGAAAAGACGAGTTCCTAAGTAATTTCTCTTGTAATAAAAGTGTCTTTAAGAATCCTATTAGTTTTATGACAAGTTTTCAAATAAAATATAGACGGAAAAAGAATCAGACTATTACATTTTTAAATGTCAAGCCAAAAGACATGTGTCCCTTACTTGATAGTATGCTCATGGTGGGGATGGAGCTAACGTTGCTCATTTCTCTATCGTTTATTTTTCAATAAAATAATAACACGAGTTTCATCATAAAAAAGTTTCACAGGGGGCTGGAGAGATGACTCAGAGGTTAAGAGCATTGCCTGCTCTTCCAAAGGTCCTGAGTTCAATTCCCAGCAACCACATGGTGGCTCACAACCATCTATAATGGGGTCTGGTGCCCTCTTCTGGCATGCAGGCATACACACAGACAGAATATTATATACATAATAAATAAATAAATATGTTTTAAAAGTTTCACAGACAATAGTTTCGAGTTACGGAAACAGATCAGGCAAACAGATGCTTCTATTTAAAATCGTCGCCTAAAGTTCATAGCAGCAAAGCAAATCTCAAATGATCAGCATCCCTAAGGACAGGACCTGGGTGGATTGAATCCTGCCTCCTGTGAGGGGGGGGTCTGCTTCCTCAGTTCACGGATTTCTTGGCAATGGGGAAACATGATGTGGATTATGAGGCTCTCCTTTCTGGGTGGATAGGAACGGTTGGGCATGTGACTGGAGCTTCCATGTTCCTGCTCTGGGAACCTAAAGCCTGGGCACTATGTAAACAATCCTCCCTATGGAGACTTCTCCGTACAATCGGTTGGAAGAAAGATGAGTTGCTTCCTTCATGAGCATCGTGTGTAGAACCCATTCACAGCGTGTGTGTTTGTGTGTGTGCAGGGTGCTATGCAATTTCTGGAGAATTATGAAAAAGAAGACATAACGGTCGCAGAACTGGAAGGAAACTCAAATTCTTTGTGGACCATCAGCCCTCCCAGTAAGCAGAAAATGATACAGGAGCTCACCGACCCCAATAGTTTCTTCTCTGTTGTTTTTTCATGGAGTATTCAGAGGTAGTTACTGTGTTTCCATGCCTCCTTCCCTAACCCCACTCTTCCCTTAGGCTGGGGGAACAAACAGTAACTCCGCTTGACGCAATCTTTCCGTTCAACCAGTTGCCCTTTCTGCTAAAGCTCGCATTTCACTGAGGAAATATGGCTTTTCTAGGAACCAATGACCAGACTAAGAATGGCTTAGAACTTTATAAGTTAGGTTTTCTTTTTTTCTTTTCTAAGAGAGGCTACCAATGAAGTCTGTGAGCAAGACAGAAGAGAAGAGAAAGGAGGGAAAGAATGGGTTAGAAAATAAGTAGAGTCCGTGTGCTCAGTTAAGGTTGCCACAAAAAGTTGAAGTTTGGTCTGAGAAATAGAGAACTGTGTTTGCAGACTTGGGTCCCACCAGCATCCCTGCTCCACTGGAGAAGTCTTGGGAGGTCTGTTCTGTGGGTGTGAGTTTTGGGGATACATTAGGAGACCCAGAATCAGGAAAGCCAACCCTACCCCTATCCCACCAAAATCAAGCCTGAGCATTCGCCCGGACTTTGCCTTTGTTTGGAAAACCTAAGGATGTCTTACTAAAAGGTCCTGCATCTAGACATTCCACCCAGTGCTTTAGTCTTGGGCACTGGGGGACCTCAGCACAACAGAATATGGTCACTTAGTTTCCTTTGTCACAGTCTTGAGAACTGTGACAGAACCCCAGGAAGACCTCCAGCAGGCTCATTTGAAACCACAACTTGAACTTCCTGGCTTATAAGAAATCGTTGTAGCTCACACCTGTAAGTCTAGCATACAGAAGGCCGGAGGCAAGAGGATCACCGTGGGCAGCCCGAGCAACACAGCTAGCCTGAGCTACAGAGGGAAACCTTGTATAAAAAAGCTAAACAGCAAGATGAAGGGATCGTGACCAGTTCTGAGGAAATCTTAGAATCTAAAGTGAACTCACAAGAAAACGGGAAAGCGCCCTTTCAAAGAGGTCGTTCAGTGTTTTCCATAACCTTATTTTCTCCTTAATGTCTCCTATCTCTCAATTTCCATTTGGACCAGTGGCCAAACACTTGGTTTCTATCCCTTGCTTTGAAGAGCCACCAAATCATAACAAAAGTAACTTCTGATTAAACACAGGGGCTGCTGGTTACCATGGAGACTGATGTCATTACTTTTGCATAAGAATATCTCTGAGATTCCCATGAGCTCATCATGACAGTTGCTGCTTGGCCAGCAGACTCTAATCCCTCTATTCTGCCTCATGGGGTTGAGGTCTCCCTCAATTTTATGAATTTGACTGCTTAAGAGAATGGAAATGGAGGTGGGGTAACCAGGACGGTTGGGATGGAAAAATCTGGGCTCACTGAAAACTTGGTGAGATACAACAGTGAGTCAAGGGTGCACGGGTCTCTCCTCCAGACTTTCGAGCAATCGCTAACCTTAAGCTTTTTCCTTTTTCTTCTTATTCCTTCCATCGCAGAAACATGACTCTGGGTGCCAAAGCAGAAATAGCAACCGATAAGCTTTCTTTCGCCCTGGCAAACGAAACACGAAATAATATAGCCAAAATGATCGCCGGCAACGACACAGAAAGCTCCAACACGCCCGTGTAAGTTGTGTAGCCCTGTGAACAGAGCTTGCGTCGAAATGTGGAGACTTCTGATGCAATCCAACTCGTTTGAGAATGCAAGTGACAGTTCTCAGTCCCAGGACTCTATCTCCAATTTGCTTGTCGTTATGTGTATGTCGTGAATGACAGTCGTGGTGGCTCCGGGGACATTCTCCATCCATGGTGAAGTGTTGTCCTGCTGTCCTTCCACCGTGAGGCACACTGTTCTCCCACTCTCAGTGGCCAATGCCTGCTACAAGGCAGCTCTCCCTCAGTCTTTAGATCCCATTCTCCACCCACTGGGGTGTCATTATGCTGATTTCTCCCCCCCCCATGTCGAAATTCCTCACATTCCCCTGCATCTACCTGTCCATCATAATACAAGCCAGTGCTTGCTTCATTTTGCTTCATTTCCCTGCTCCGAAGGTCACTCCCTGAAAGGGGTAGGACAAGGACTTCACTTAAATAATCCAGGCTTTCTGTCATCATGCCTCGCTCCTGAGCTAGGTACCATTCACCTTCAAAGCAAGAAAGCAGGATGGAGATGACTTCACAGATTGTCTCTAGTGTTGAAACCTTCCCTTCCCTGCCTCTGTCTTCCAACCTAGCAGTTCTGCCCTTACCTTTGAGTGACAAAACTTGTTCCTAACTGCCACAAATCATCAAAATCCAAGGCCAGACCCCTTCCTTTTATGACTCTTGTCCCAGAGCAGCTGAATATCGAACTGGCGGAATGGGTGGGAAGATTGAAAGACAGGAGACAACAGGAGAAAATTGGGGGAGGGAGAAACATGCCCCGTATGTGCTCTGTTTCCAACTTACATTAGGCAACTAGGAACGCGCAGAGGGAACAAGACCTATATTCCAAACCGACAGAATGGTCCACATGCCCACTGGCAGTTTTCCCAGCGTCTTATTCCAGGCTGCCGTGGCCTCATGTTGATGCACTGAATGGGAAGATTACTAGGACCTGGTCATTTGAATGCTTAGCTCCTCAACTTCACGAATCCCTGATGTTCCGGGGCGCTCATAGAGCATCAGTGCTTCACTATCCATCATTTCCAGAGGAGAGAACACTGAGTCAGGCAGCTCTGCTAAGACAAACAAAGCTTAGGGTCCAGGTCACGTGCTCTGCCCTCAGGTTCACTGCTCACCAGATACTCCTGTGTACTCTAGGTATTTTTTTAAAATACCAATAAATACATAAAGTCAGTAAAAAGCTCACTACTAAAGAAAACTTTAAAATAACTTAGCCAGGAAAAATGTCTTTATTTTTGTTCAGTCACAAATGTAAGGAAGGCCAGCAGCTACTTTCAAACTATATGTATCATGAGCTACATGTATTTCTGGGTAGAACTGATTGACTCTCAGCTTTGGGGAGCTGTGGTTATAATAAGATCTTACAAATTAAGATGTCTCTATGTTATATTGTTGTATGAGTACTTTTATCATTGTTTTCTAAAAGGTCAAAATGGCAACAAAGACATCAGTCTTAGGTATGGAAAGAGCTAAAGTCCATCTCTTTATTTTCCTAATGTGCAGGACAATAGAAAGGATCTACCCGTACTATGTGAAGGCTCCCAGTGATTCAAACTCAAAGCCTATAAAGCAACTTCTATCTGGTAAGAATGAGAAGCCATTCCAGAACTGTGAAAATCTTGCCTGTACTCGGTTTTAGAAGTCTGCCTTTTGAACATTTAGCAATCTGCCTTCTAGGTCTCTTACCTTGTATTACCAGAGCCATAAAGCCTCTGCCTTCTCCAGCAAGGGGAACCATTGACGCACCGGCAAGCCATGTCCTTCCCTTGCTTCTCCCTGACTGATCCGTACCCATGTTCTATGACTTAGCTTACTTGATTCTCTGAGCAACCAGATTGCTTATAGAGAATTGCCTCACGCTTTGGTAAACATGGTGGTTTCTCCCACTAAAAACAATAAAAAAAAAAAACAACATGAGATGTGCTTGATTGAGCCCCAGGGTCAGTACACACCAATTGTGTGTCTCAGTTATTGGATTTCTCCAGCACAGAAGTGATGGGAAAAGGCTGTTGTTTTGGGGGACAGCTATATGTCCCGTGATACTTCTGTCAACCACAGACTACATGCCTCTCTAACATTTTTGGATAGCTGCATGCACCACGGAACCTGGTTACCAGCAAACAAGTCAGGTCTGGGTTTATTATGCTGGCCCTGTGGCAACTTTCTACCAGGCTGTCTCCTGTCACTGAATAACCCTGTTTTACTTATAGAGAATTGTTTGACTTCATTTCCTGAAGCGGCTGATCTCTTTGATCATGGCAAGTGTAATGCAGGTGTCCAGCATGGGTCCTTTCGCCATCCTGGGTGAAGCACTCTGTGCCAGGCACCATGGGTACTGGCGACCTGGCTCCAGGATGCTCACTTTCAGCTAGAGAGCAGTTACAGCCTCCCATGGAGATGGCCCTAGTGAGGCGTGAGGACAAATGCAAGGCCACGTCCATCTCCGCATACTATTCTTCGCCAACAACAAATGGGCATGCTTTTATGAGTAGCTTCGACGTGCATGGGGAAATTTTCTTATTTCCTTGTAAAAGAGAGATAGCCGTAGAACTGCTTAGCCCAAGAAAGACAGATTCTCCTGAAAACACGGTGGGAGTTTTCAAGCTCTTCCCAGCCACTGTTTGAGCGGACGGCCTCCCCACTGGCTGCCAGAGCAGATTCAGTTCAGCCCAGTGGCCGCTCCGGACCCACCTCCCTCTGCCTTGTAAAGCACGTTATTCACAGGGCTCTACTTCCTTCCCTGGAGGTTCAAAGAAAGCTGTGCCCTCACTGTTTTCAAGGCCAGCCTGTCCCCGTGCCCCACTCCAGCTCTCTTTGTCTTCCATCCTGCAGTGTCATGGAATTCCCTCCTCCCTTACCGCTCCTGCCACCCCTTACATCCAATGATGTCACTCCAGACGTGTGTAGCATAAGCTGACGGTTATCTCCGGTTTACACGCAAAGAGACTGATGCTTGAGGCGTGGATGACACACCTGAGCAACATACTCAGCAAAACCAGATCCAAACCTACAGCACTCTGAACCCAGAGCCAGACGGTCCCCTTGTGACTGCCTCTGAGCTTGAGAACCCCAGTTATTACTGTACCCCAAAGTCCTAAGTTAATAATAATAGGTGGTCTAGTTTTGAAGAACTTCTTGATAGCAGTCCTTCCTGAGATGAATATCTCTGTTCTCTCCCTCCACATCCTGGAGCCAGCAAAACTGGGCACTCATGCGATTTCTCCTTTAAGCTGTCATAGATTCTATCAATCAGAAGAAGTGGCTCTCTCCAAGAGAACAGACCTTGACAGTGCTGGCCATAGGCTAGTGGCCATATGACCATAATTGTGAACACAGTCTCTTCCCACTACAATAAGGAACATTATTAGTACGTCATTCTATCAGCCCTCAACAGCTGGTAAAGTGCCTTCCTCCTGACGAGATACGTGCCAAGTGCTGGCAATATAAATGAATTGATGAGGTGCATCCAAGGTTGATGGTGAGGACTTTGTGTGCACCTGGCTCTCTGGATGCTAAGCACAGCCACTTAGGGTGTGGGCCCTCCATTACTCTCTGTGGTTTGGCTGTTTTACAAAGGGGCGGCAGTGACAAAACTCTCATCTGAGCGACGCCCAGGGCTCCTTTCCTCTCCACCTGCCTGTCGCGTCTGTCCCTGTGCCTTTCACGTTCTGGAATTAAGTACTACATATGTTGACGGTCTTGCCACTGGGAACTTCTAATTTTCATCAGATTCTGAGACTCTCATGCTGCCTTCATTTTGCTTTTCTCCTCCTCCAGAAAATAACTTCATGAACATCACCATCATTTTGTTCAGAGACAATGTCACCAAATCCAACAGTGAGTGGTGGGTTCTCAACCTGACTGGAAATAGGATATACAATCAGGGGTCCCAAGCGTTGGAGCTGGTGGTCTTCAATGACAAAGTCAGCCCCCCGAGTCTGGGCTTCTTGGCTGGCTATGGGTAAGGAACCATGTAACGATCGGTAGTTATAGTGTCTGAACGCTGTGAAGTTGGGAGAGCAGCTTTTCTCCCACGAGGAGTTGAGTTGTGTCTCTACCGTATTGAAAGTCGCAAAGCCATGCCCTTCCATTTCAAAACACAGGACAAGAGACCCAAAGGCATCAGAATGCCCTGTGTGACTCACACAGCCCTGGGAGACCCCTTTGTTTTGTGCCTTCTTGTTATGGCATGGTTTCATGCAAGTTGGTATGGTGTTACCACTGTTTGTCTTAGGTTGCTTTCTGACCCCGAGCAAATGGATCACACAGACACCACACTTCTGAGCAGATCTAGACCACTTCCTTGCCTTCTGGTGCTTAAATATCATAATACAATACAGTACAATACAATACAGTACAATACATTATTCCCCTTAAGATATAAGTACAGCATGTTACTTGGGAAAAAAAACTTCATTAAAAAAAAACCTTCCCATCCAGCATTGTATTATTTAAAATAGACCTCCAGACAAGATTGTTAAAGGGAAAAGAGCTACTTTCAAAAGAGCATGTGCAATGCAATTGTGTTTCCACCCAATATGTTGCGTTTTATCACAGTATTGATAAATGTGTTTCTAACCATAGTAATGGCTGGGGGCTATCCCTCCTTGCTCTCTCTTTCAGTATCATGGGATTGTACGCATCAGTCGTCCTTGTAATTGGGAAATTTGTCCGTGAGTTCTTCAGTGGTATCTCTCACTCTATCATGTTTGAAGAGCTTCCGAATGTGGACCGGATTTTGAAGCTGTGCACAGATATATTTTTAGTCCGGGAGACAGGGGAGCTGGAGCTGGAAGAAGATCTCTATGCCAAACTGATATTCCTGTACCGATCGCCGGAAACGATGATCAAGTGGACGAGAGAGAAAACAAACTGATACCTTGAGACCCAGACTGCGAAGGGAGCTACCATTTTCTTTTTAATTAAGAAAAAGCACAACACTCTCATAAGAGCTAAGCATTTCTAGTCTGGCAGCAACGGTTTCTCTCTGGCAGGTGGCCGAAAGAAGCTGATTTTGTCACTCAAGCCACCTTGCGCATGAAGGCGCTGTTGAAGTTCTCTGTGCTCGCGTTTCTCTGAAATCGGGGCTCTTTGCTTTAGAGTTTTCTCAGTCGACAGCGTCTTGAATTCTTACCGATTATGTGAAAGGTTCATGGAGGGTCCCCTCCCTCAGAGAAAAGGGAAAGGCACCTGTGTTTTACTCTCTGGGGACCTCATCTTTCCTGACGTCATGGTCAAAGCGCAACACACAGCTCTTCCCACACTGGGGAAACTGCTGAGCAGAGAGCCCCGGAGCCCTCCGCACACTCCAGAAGTGCAACAGCAATAGGAGGCGGCCACACTGCCCGACGTTCAGGAGGAAAGGCGGGAGCCGTGACCCAGACGATGCTGGTGGAAGGACAAGCCTCAGCCTAAGCAAAAAGATAACATTGGTGACACTCCTACTGCCTTATCTCAACTGAAGACTAGTAAGAATCTTTCTATTAAACACCAGTGACTTCTCAGGAAAAAACACTCAGCAAAGCAACTCAGTGGACTCCTGCTTTGAGGTCGGGTGGTTGCCACCCCCAGGTAATGGTGACCATTCTGCTTCGGATGGCTCCTATTGCGCCAGAAACAGAAGGACAGCAGCGGTCAGTCCAGCGTGATGGGAACACCTCAGCTTTGTAACTCCAGTGACTGAGGCCACAGGGCTCTTCTGCCTCTCCCCGCCCCTTCTGCCTCTCCCCGCCCCTTCTGCCTCTCCTCACCCCCTCTCATATGCTTTCTCCCATCTCCGTGATTTAAGGCAGTGGTTTTTCCAGTATGACATTTTCCTTGCTGTTTTTCAGGCATATCAAAGAGTTTACATATTCCAGTTCACATTTTTACATCTAAGATGGGTTTTTTAAGTTCATAATTATGAAAGAAATATGTATATTGAGCTTGGGGAAATAAAAAAATGGCCTTTTCTTAAATTATTATCATTGGAAACACAACCTCTTCATGAATTAGCAATGTAGCATGAAAATTTATGAGTGAAATATAGTTTTCATTCAATATTAAAAATAAAGTTTCTGAGAAGAATCATTGAATGGGCTAGAATCTGTCAAAAACCCACTCCTGTGTACTTGGGATTCAGGACTGACTTAAATAAAGCACATCTTGCAAAGTCAAGACCTGAAGAGCACTGTGTTTTCATGTTCATTATTTATCTGTTTGGCCTTTGCGTGGGGTAGGAAAAGTGGCTCTTTTCCAGATAGCATACTGAGAGTTAAGATAAGGTAAGAAGGCACATCTTGTTAATTTCCTTTGCCACACAGGTGCTCTGCATGGACAATATCAGCAGAGAACAAAGTAATTCACAAAGGGGAAACAACGATAGTTGATATAGAACTTCTTAAATAGCAGAGCCCAAATAATTTCTAGTATTTTCTGAAGAATTGCATAGTACAGGGTGCCTCAGTCTGACAATATACACTGTTATAATCAATCATTGCAGCCATAAAATCAAGTCACTTAGCTGTAGAACACTCTGATGACACCAGACAGCTAGAATTATTAGCAGCTAGCCAAGTGGGTCACCTGCGAGAGTTCACAAACCCAGCAGCCCTTTCAGACTTGTGTAGTTCCTACCTTCATCCACTGATGAGAATGCATATAACCCTGCTCGCCCTTAAAGGCTGCCACCTGTGTGGCCCAGCCTGGTATTTGCTAACAGTGTATGGCATCTCTATTCCCCTCTGCCCAGGGGTAGTATTGGCATGGTTTGGGATATAGGTTTTGGAGGGAAAAATGTTGCATAGGAAATGATGATACTTTGGGTGCCAGGCGGTGTGTCTTTGACTTTTCCAGAAGTCCTCTACACTGTCTTTAACCACGGTATTCAACAGAAGAATATATTCCAGTCCAGCATGAGTTCAGTGCTATCCTGGGCAACACAGTGAGACTGTCTAAAACTAGAAGTTTAAAGGTGCTTTTAAGTATGGCTCAGTGGTAGAATGTGAGGTCCTGTTCAAGTTCTAGATATCCATATTCATCTTCATCTATGCTCAGAGAAGCCTCTTTGGTGAAGGTTGAGGGATGCACTAATTTGGGGGTATAAAGATAACTTGGGGGGCAGTTTAATAACTACACATTTATCTGAGTCATAGCTTCTCTAGGGCCTGTGACCTCACTGGGGTTTTGCCCCAGTTAACAAACAGTACCAAAGCTCCATCTTGTTAAGCAGCCCTTAAATCCAATCAGAAAGGAAGTGGTTGGTGACTCCTGTAAGATTCATGCCACTGTTGCAGCAGTGGGCATATCCTTCCCAAACAACATTACTTTTGTGTAGGATAGACTGATAAAATACAGAGACGTACTACAGCATGGTAGTACTTGATCAAAACACCTTGCCTAAGTATCCACCCATCTGCCAGAACCTCTCATGGGGATTCTTGTACTACAAACTCCACAAGAGATGTATGCATTACATTTGCCTGGGTGCTGATGAGGTTAAAATTGTCTCTAATTCCTTCATCATTATAAAGGGTCTTCCTTGAATAAAATGGCAGGCCAGTATTCACACTGGAGATAATGTATTGTTTTGTTTGGATAAAGATATGTACAAACCAAAGACAAAATGGCCATTATTCTCCAGGCTCACAGATTAGCTAGGGTCCCCTAGAGAAACAGACCAAAAGAACGAATATTTATTAAAGGGGATTTATTAGATTGGCTTGCACAGTATTGTCAGGAGGCACCAACAGTGGCTATCTTCACACTAGACAGGCAGAGAACTTAATCTCAGTCTATAAGCATTGGATACCCTAGCAGCCCCACCCTGGGGCTGAAGACCTGAAAGGCCTTTGGAGTGGTACTTCCCTTAAGTACACTGAAGCCTGAAGACGACACGCTCTGATATTAGCAAGGGCATTCAGCAGCAGAGGCAGCGTTACAACAGATGAACTCACCAGTAAGACATGAAAGCAATAGGTTAAAATGAAGCTTTTTCCTCAGACCTCCTTTTATCTGGGGTGGCACAGGAAGATGCCACCCACATTTAAGGTGGGTCTTCCCACTTCAAATAACCTGATCATTGACATTTATCACAGGTGTGTCGCTAGCTTATCTCTTAGTTGATTTCTAATCCAGTCAAACTGACAATTAAATTAATCACCAGTGTAGTTAAAAGAAATCCTGTTTTAGACCACAGAAACATTATGCGGAATTGTTGCACATTCCCCCAGGGAAAGAAAGCAGGGTCCACTGGTTGAACCCTTTCCTCTCAGCCTCACTTCATCTGCTTCAGCTTTATCTCCATGAAGACCTTCTCTTCTTTCTTCCCATTTCTTCCCAAAGAGAACCTGAAGGAGAGGGGGAATGGAGCCTGGTCCTCAGTGACCAGAGGGGGGAGGGGGGAGCCTGGTCCTCAGTGACCAGAGAGGGAGGATGGAGCCTGGTCCTCAGTGACCAGAGGGGGGAAGGGGGAGCCTGGTCCTCAGTGACCAGAGAGGGAGGATGGAGCCTGGTCTTCAGTGACCAGAGAGGGGGGATGGAGCCTGGTTCTCTGTACCTCAAATCTGAACAAGGGTTGTATCAGATATTGTTGACCGAAGTTTCTGTCCTGCCCAGCCCCACAGCCCATTCAGTCCCAAAGAAACACACAGAGGCTTCCATGCTAAAAAAGGTACCAAGCCACATGGCTAACATAGACAAGAATAATGGGCTCATTTAAGATGTAAGAAAAAGTTAATAAGAAGCCTGAGCTACTAGGCCAACCAGTTTATAATTAATGTAGGCCTCTGTGTGTTTCTTTGGGACTGAACTGCTGCAGGGCAGGACAGAAAACTTGGTCAATAGGACGTCCTCCTGTATGCTGTGAATATATATTCCTTCCATTAGTTAATAAAGAACTTGCTTTGGCCTATGGCAGGATAGATTATAGCTAGGAGGGAAATCCAAGCAGAGATAGAGAAAGAAGGCAGGGTCAAGAGAAATGCCAGCAAGCCACCCATTAGAACAGGATGCCAGAATACCTAAAGTAATGCCACAGCCACACGGCAATATACAGACTATTAGAAATGAGTCAATTTACAAGTGAGAGCTAGCTGGTAATCGCCTAAGCCATTGGCCATGCAATTATGTTAATATTAGCCTCTGAGTGGGTGATTGTTCTATAAGCAGTTGCAGGGTCCAGCAGGTGGGAGAGAAACTGGCCCAGGGGCCCCGGCGAGACAGAAAGAAGCCTCTGGCTACAGAAGGGCAAGGCCACACGTGTAAGAAAGTCCTTTCCTGAGGAAGGTGCAATGAGAACGGACAGTATGCCATGTGGTTGTGCCCTGTGAAAAGAAAGTAGACCAGCCCTGGTGTGGAGTAGGGCTGCTACTCAAAAACAAGGGAGAATGCAGGAGCAGATTGACGAGCCTGCATCCCAGCCTTTTCCAGGACTGCTAGATACACGTGAAGATGCATGGCGTCTTCCCTTCCCAAACTCCTCCAGCATCTGTTTGTGGGATTTTGGAAAATACTCACTTGTCTATATAGGGAGTTCTCCTAGCTCTAGTGGATTAGACTGGATTATCTGCCTCCAGGTCTTTTCTAACTCCCCCCATGCTGTCATACACACACACACTTCCCATGTTTGTGTCATAAATGTTACATCCCACGGAAACCCAGACTGGATCCCAAAGCCAGTACTATAACCTTGAATATTCTTGATGGTGATTTCTTTTCCCGTGAGCATGAGACAGTGTGAGGCCTCCACACTGCAGCTGTTTAAGGTTAGACGAAGGTCAAAGGGTGGAAGAGAGGAGCGTCTCCCAAGAGGTGAACTCACTCCGAAGGGAGGCATTGCATCATTAGGAAGCGTCTGCACTTTACATTCTTGAGAAGTGGTGGACGACATGGTTAGGTCGCTCGCCAATCATTCTCCAGGGTGAAGGTCTCCCACGTCAGATTTGGTGCTATTTGAACAAAATGGGCTATCAGAGTTTACGAAAGGAAGAGCCTGTTGTCTGGGCAGTGGATGGGACCATGACCTTGCTTCTGACCCTGTGAGCCTGTGCCTCAAAAGTAGGCAGTAGGTAGAGCAGGAACAGAATGAATTGTTTTTACTGGGTGCTTTGTGGGAAGCTTAGAGAGTCAAATCAGACACCATTTGGAGTAGATTTGTTCCACAAAATAATTGCTGATTACAGAATTGTATAGAGCAAACCAAGGGATCTTAAAATATCATTGATTCTCACAGTGCCTGTGGTCTAAAAATTTAGGGTCAGCATGGTAAGTGGTCCTGGCTCAGAGTTTCTGAGGAATCCACTGTGGCTTCAGGGCTGAAGGCCTCATTGTAGCTACATGACTCGCTCACACGGCAAGCAGCAAGCAGTGGCTGTGGTGGAGCCAGGAACTGCCTTCTCTGAGAAGATCATCCCCAACAAGACACTTAAGTGTCTTGGCAAAGTGGTGGCTGGCTTGCTCCACAAACCCTGGGAACTAAGCCTGGAGCAGAAGTGTGTCTGGTCACTTTGCCTCAGCACACAGCCATGTTCTTCAGAGCTCTCCTATGGGATCCGTAGGTCAGCCATATTCTCTGAGAGTAATATGTGAGGACAATAGCGCCAAAAGGTAAGGCAATGGCAGACAATGGAATCTAGCTGCCACAACAGAGAACCTAAAACTGTTTGACAGCTTTGAAAGGAACAGAAATAATGGCAGGTTGCCAGAATAATTGGAAGGCCTATAACCAATTCATCTTTCACTGCCACCTCTGCAAGCCCTTACTGGGTAGCTTTGCCATCCTCCTGGGAAGCAGAGATTGATGCAGTGTAATTATGCATAAACCTGGTGATACACATGTTCAAAATTAGACTTGCTCATCTTGCCTCCCTTAATATCCTTGCATATTGGTAAAAAGTCGTTATGGCAGAAAAGGGGGGAGGGGCGGAGGTCACCATTGCATGGATCCATCCGTATTCTTTTGAGGATGGAAATGCTTATGTTGTGTGTGTGTGTGAATGTGTGTAACTGCCAGTAGACCTTTTGAATTGAAAGAACTTGGATGGATTCTTATATTTCAGGATGTTAGAATTAGAGTTACATGTACAGATTTATATGAAAGTTAAGCCTTTCATATTGTATCCCCAAATCTCAGTGGGCCTAAGTTGTAGTCTTAAAACTCAAGATTAAATCAGCAAACACCTAACTAATCTGTCATGCTAACATGACCACCTCTCATGTAAGAAATTTGAGTATCAGATTTTCAAATCCTGAATTTAAATCCACAGATTATCAAAATTACAAAGTCCATTCCTGAAAGTAGAAAGCAATATTAGCATTGAACCTGACTTGCTCTATCAACATGAAATGATTATTTTTGTACCTATTTAGGTTTAGCCATTAAATATAAGCAAATATGGAGAATAAGCACACAATCTTGGGAGTTTTAGAGCAGTAGAGTGAGAGATAAGGGTGTGGCGCTCCGTGAGGTCTGCTGCAGGCTGACTGCACATGCTCAGGGGAATACATGACCTTTGGTTGCTTGTACTCTTGAACCTACCTTTGAGGTTGAACTCTGTCAAATATAGAACAAGTCAACAACAGTAGGTCCAGAAAGGAAGCTGATAAGATCCCCTCCAGAAATGAGGTTGATCAGAATGACTAGATCTCAAGGCCATGGTCAGGCCTTGAAGTAGGAGAGAGGACAAGAGACAGAAATACCCGCAAGAGAAGGTAAGCCAAACATGATGGGGCCTTAAATGAAAGGGAAAGCTTCCATTTAAAACCTGAAGGAGAGCTTCACTAAGAGAAAATAAAAAAGATAAGGAAAGAGAATCACTTGGGAGGGATGGCAGAGGAGGGGTGGGAAAGCCAGAGGAGCCTCTTCAGAGAGCAGCCCTGAGAGCCCCTCCCCAAACAGATCCCCCTGAGGAGCCTCTGGTCCATCCCCACAACAGAGGGAAGACTGGACTTTCATAAAACCTTTCAATCTCATGTCGCATACGTGATTTAGTTCTACCTAGTACACATAACACATGCTGTTTAGAGGCTGCTCTCAGGCCACAGCATAGACAGCTGCCTAATTCTGCCCCAGAGAGAGCTGTGTGGAAGAGACGGCTTGATCCCCAGGCTGTGGGATTCAGCCTTTTAAAAGTGAAGTCTTTCCGAGTCAGACTCCAGTTCTAACAGACTTCAGTCTCCCAGTGCATTGGGTCATGGCATATAAAATCTATTCCCTTGGGGGTTTTGTTTGGATTTTCTATAATCAATGCTTTGTAGTTAAACTTGGAAGGTGGTTCTGTGAAGAGCAGAAGGAAATCTCTCAATGCATAGTTTGAAACAGCTTTATTGCCGAGTTGGTTTCTGCACCTTTTCATACTTCATGGATTTTAGTACATAATTTAGTAATCATTGGTAAACTCAATCTAGTAGGCAGAATGTTGATCTATATAACAATAGCTGTCCCCAAAATGTGAGCCACATTTATGAAAAAAGAAATCACCATCAGGAGGGAACCATATTATTCTGCAGTAATCACTCCCAACTCTGTTTAATACAATCAAGATTTATTTGTGCTGTGTGTCTGCCACAGATCACCTGAGAGTTCTGCTCTGGCAGGGCAAGTGAGCACTGTGGGGCATAGGGCCAAAGAAATGGGAACCTAAGTACATATTGTGCCAGCACCAAGTTGCCTAAGTGAGACACCTGTGGTTATCTGAATGAGAATGCCCCCATAGACTCATACTTTTGTAACACTTGCTCTTTAGTGTGTGGCTGATGTGGAAAATAGGAGGTATGGAAAAATGGGATTGCTCCCTGTTTTTAAAATCAATGTTTGCCTCATTTTTTTCTTTCAAGTCAGTATGTCTTTAGATCATCAAATCAAAGTGCGTCTGGGATGTCTGCGGGCATTAGTCACATCAGAGCAAAGGCCACCACTATCTCTCAGCCTCTTCATGGGACTACAAATGCTCTGGTGACCAAAAAGGAACTTGAACACGTCACTGGATCCTGAGAAACATGAAAACAGAGTCCAAGAATCTCTCTGGACTATTATTTTTACAACTTATCCTAAATTTAAATATCAGGTTATATTATCAATTTCCACTCAGAGTTAGGGACAATATTGTATAGCAAGTGTCTAATTGTAGGTGAAACCCAATTAGTAACTTACATTCTAATTAAGTCTAATTGCGAAACAATACCATTCACATTTACCTCATTTGACCCTGTGATGAACTATTCTTTTGGATGGTATGTTCATTAGTCTCCGACTTCCCCGGAGAGCAGCCTTTATAGCAGTATGTTAGAGCATAAATGACTGGTATTTTAAAAGACTCAAATAATATATAGTAACTCAGACAGAGCAAAAAAAAAAAACTGAGGACAGATAAATACTGTTGTTCTTCTGAAAGATAACTAAAATAATGTAAATGATTAAGAAAATGTGTCCTTGAAAAGAATGAACAAGCAAATAAAACTAAAAACATTATTCATAGAGTCTTGGGTTTTATTTTCATAATTATCTTCCTTCAGAAGTAAACATCTAATTTCCATTAACATATTAATATTTTACTCACCAAAAATATGGAAAAATATGATAATGCACAGATTCCATACACAAATAACCATATTCTGCATATTTACAAATTCAATATATTAAATTGTTTTGCACACTGACTTCACTTACTATACAATAACTAAACATTAAATGGTTCTAGCATATTCATGCAGGCTTTCACTTTCATAGAGGGTGTTAAGAGTTCCGGAAAACAGTTCTTCTTGTTGTAAACATTAAGTTTCCCAAATCTGACTAAGCTCTCCGGAGTGCAGAATTAATGCAGGTAGAAAAATAAAATGCTAGATACATAGACCTCTGTAAAAAGAAAAAAAAAAAGAATACGTGTGCACATGGAACAAAAGCTCCAAGACACCACCCAGAATAACCTAACCGACACAAAAATGAGCTCGAAATCCTGAGCGCTGGCTGAGAATGGCGGGAGGTGGACAACTGTCTAAATCCTTCTGTTGCTTTAAAACTGAGCTGCAATGCTGCTCCACAATGCATTCATGGTTCCTTTTTTGTTTAAGATGTTATGAGTAAAACTGACTCCCTACAAGGTTTTATTGAATAACAGGGGCCACACAATTGTCTAAAGTAACTTTTAAGTACTGTCAAATCTATTTTATAGAGTATTAATTTGTTCAAATAAGCATGATGTTTCTGGTTGGATCTAAAGGTAAACACAACATCGGCACCATCTTTGAAATACCAATTTCCTCTTTAAATAAAAATGCCAAATACAGCTTTAGTCATAATTTCAATGCAATTAAAGACAATGAGCTGGCAACCCAAACAACTCTCCAGGTAACTTAGGGGAAAATATAAAACTTTTATTAGTGTTTTGCATCAGATCTGTAATCCGTGCAGGGATTCTACGTGACATCCACCCACTCAAGCATGCCTGGCAGAAGATGCTAGTCTGAAGATCTCCCAGGACCAGTAACATAAAGATACTTTCCTAGATCCCAGAAAGCCAGCAAAGCCAAGCATACTATATGCAAATGCGGTGTGTCACAAAGACGCAGCGGTGAAGCATGAGGACAGGAACTAGTCCATCAGCACTGCTGCCTGGTGCATGCACTGCTGCCTGGGGCACGCATTGCTGCTGTTTGCATCCTCTTCAGTCCACACCAATTCTCAGAGGGTTGAAACCACACAGGTTTAGAAAAAGAGGAATGCTTCAAAACTAACTTTTAGGAAATAAGCATGGAAGGTCTTTTGAGGTATGAAAAGACTGGTTACTCAGTTCTAAATGTATGTCTTTCAAAAGCATTGTCACACACACACCCCTACACACCCACACTAGCTTTTTACTTTTTGTAGTATACAGAACAACTCATGCTAAATTGTGAACTCTACATCAGAACTGCTTTGGAGGTCAGAAATGCACACATACTAGACTGACAGGAACATTACCTGTCATTCTGGACTCATGCAAATGGTCTTAATCAGTCCCAGTTTGGAACGCAGCCATCTTTTTATTGTTGTTAAAAAAGAAACACCAATACTTGGCTTCACATTTTGTGGTCATGTATTGAGCTAAATATTATAAAGCTTTTGTCCCAAACCTGTCTCTGAAAATACTCAGTAATTTAAATGTATCTAATATGGTGATGGATAAATTTTCTTTTCAGAATGAGACAAGTTCTCCGTCTACAGAAACATTGCTTTCATTCTTACATTTTATAGTCCTAAAAAGAGAACCCCAAGTCTTCCTCTCTGTGTCTCCGTCAAGCTTCTTCATGGTCCACAGTGCCAGCTGAGGCTACTGGTACAGTGCAGCCAATCTGACAGGACGGGAAGATAAGTGCCCTATCTAGGTCTAACCTGGGCTGATACCCACACCTGTGTAGCCTGCCTGCAGGGCGACAACAGCATTCCCAGTTCTGTGACCATCAACGCTCTCATCACCCGTGTAAGGGTGTCAGGTGTCAGCACGCATCACCAGTCAGACTGGAGGGTGACACTGGAGTGCTGCCCGCTGAGGACCTGCTGTCTGTCTCTCTTTTGGGCACTGAGGATGCTCTTGAGAACCTTAGTCAGAACATGCATGGGTACCATGTGACAACACGGAAAGATGGTGGGAAGAACCAGACCAATTTTGAAATAATAATTTTTACCAAAAAAAAAAAAGAAAAGAAAAATCATGTTTAGAAGTAACGTTAAATAAAATGCAATGACAATTATTTAACAATAAATTACAAGAACACATGAGAAAAAAGTATTTATGCCTATTTCCTGCCTCGCTTATAATTTATCTGAAATTTATCTATACATTTTAAATTCAATTATTAAAATATGACCGCTCATTTCTGCTCTTAGAACGGAAAGGACAAAGCTTCACAGGTAGCAGACACAATGGCTGAGTTGGGGAAAGGCAAGCTAAACTTCACATATATTAACACTCAGCATCACAATCTCCGTGAAGCAGATGACCACAGATGAGTCTTAACCCCATCAACAGGCTCGCCAGGATTCCCAACTTCTCATCTCTCTGCAGGCAGGGTACTAGCACAGGCCTCCTGAATACTCGTCTTCCTCCTCCTCAGCGGCTGTGCTGGCAGCTCCATCAGGCTTGGCCTGGGGTGTTGCTGGTGATTTCTTCTTGATTCCTCCTCCTGGGACCACTAGGCTTAGGCCCAACTTAGCATACTGTCAACAGTAAGACAAGTTATTAAACTGGAAAACTAGAATCTTGATGCACAGTGTTTTAGCATCAGCTAATTATAAAAAGGACTGGGGTCGGGATGGGGAAGGGAGGTGTGGAGAGAGATGGCTTAGTAGTCAAAAGGACTTGCTGCTCCTGCAGAGAACACGAGTTCGGTTCTGAAACCCACACAGCGACTCACAACCATCTTTAACTCTGGTTCCAGGAGGTGCAATGCCCTCTTCTGACTTCCGCAGGCACCCCATGTGGTGCAATACATGCGGGTAAACACTCATATACACAAAAATAAAAACAAATCTTTTAGAGAGAAGCACATGTACATGAAGTCAGCAAGATGGCTCAGTGGGTACACAAGCTTAACAACCTGGATTTAATCCCCAGAACCCATAGAAGGAGAGAAGGAAAAGCAAACTTCACACAGTTGGCTTGACCTCCACATGTGTGCTGTGACACCTCTGCCCATACACAGTTCATACATGCACAGAGCAATAAATACAAACCTTAAAAGACCAGAACCTAGTCATCCATCCTCAGGAACTAGTATTCTGAGAGAAATGCCCTGTCATTAGACCATGGAGCGACTGGTCACAGTTGTAGATGTATCAATTATGTACCTAACTGGGGACCTGGAGATAATATGGACATACTCATAATACTTCTAGTAGTAATAAAGAAAAAACATGAGTAAATGAGAGTGTAAATTAGGGACAATTTAAAAAAATACAAATTTGGAGCTGGGAAGAAAACTCAAGTAGTAAAGGTCTTGTTTTTCAAGCCTGAAGACCAGAGTTTGATCTCTAAAACCCACACTTAAAAAAAAAAAAAAAAAAAGAGCTAGAGATGGTGCAGTGGTTAAGAGCACTGGCTGCTCTTCCAGAGGTCCTGAGTTCAAGTCCCAGCAACCACATGGTGGCTCACAACCACCTGTAATAGGATCTGGTGTCCTTTTATGGCTTGCAGGTATACATGCAGAACGCTTATAAATAAATTTAGGGGCATGGAGTTGGGGAGATGGCTAAGTTGGTAAAGTGCCTACTCTATAACCAAAGAGACTCATGCCCAGTCCCCAGCAGCCACACAAAAGACAAATGTAGTGACAAAAGCCAATAATCCCATCACTGGGGAGTCAGAGCCAGGAGGATCCCTGGCTTGCTGGTCAGCCAGCTAACCAAATCAATCAGCTCCAGGTTCAGACTGTCTCAAAACAAGATGGACACTGTTGAGGAAGATACCGCAAAGATACTATTATGACACAAGCATGCTTTCAAAAGCACATAAGCAGCTTGATAGAGTGGTGCACACTTGGACTTCCAGCAGTACTTCAGGGCACTGAGGCAAGAAGGAAGGCTTAAGTTCAAGGCTAGGTAGTACTATACACCAGTGAGACCAAGATGAAAAAAGAAAAGTATGTATAAAAATTTACCTAGAATAAAAAAAAAGATTATTGTTTCTTTACCTCTTTCATTATCAGAAAATCCAAGATCTTAATTTGACATTGTGACAGAACTCTAAGATTAGTAACCAGATAAATAAACAAAAGGACTGAGGAAAAAGGGTTGTGGCTCACTCAAGTGTAAGGCTATTTCTCACAGGAAGACCAGAGGATTCTTCACAATAGTCTAGGAGACAAACTGAGCTCTTCCACTTTACAAGTTAGGCTTGAAGATGTCTAATAACAGTCTGTGTCACACAGCTCTCACAGACAAGGAATGGCCACTGGCCTACAGCTACCCATGATGGCCTCTTTCAGGTAAAAAACCTAACAGCAACTGGATAAACCAAGAAACAGGGCAGGAGAAAAGAGGTAAGAAATGGGGCTGAATTTATAATATGCACATGACAACACAGGTAAGAAGCAAAAAAGCAGTCCTGAGTGCATACAGTAGATACATCACCCACACAAGGTAAAGTTCAATTAGATTGGTTGGTTCCTTTATGAGCATAGGTTGATGTGAAAAATACAGGTACAGAGGTAGAAAGCTTTCAAGTCCACAGGAGGAAAATCTCTTCAAGAGGAAAGGAGTTGACCCAAAAGGCCCACTTACGTCATTGTCCATGTACTTGAAAAGGGGTGAGTTGCAGACATCCGACACCTGATCTTGGTCTTGCTGGTCATACCCCTCTAGGAGCTGTTCCAGCGCAGCACAGTCTTCACTGCCATTAAACCCTGGGATGCTACGGAAGCACAAACCACACTTCAGTGCTCCCTGGAGACTCCTTTACCAGGGGGCACTGTCCCCAGCAAGGGCAGGAGAAGGTCTGCAGACATTCTGATGGTTACAGCTCTTGGGGTGCTACTGCCAATCAGTGGGCAGAGACCAAGGATGCCACTAGGAATCCTATAGTACACAAGACACTCGCACAGTAATAAATGACCAATACTCATTCATGCCCCCATCTGATTTGCAACATATCACACAGCAATTCTCCTCTGTTGTTGTTGTTGTTTAAAAGGCAAAGATAACAAAGTAACTAAAATCATTTCAGGAACAGCACAAGCAGAAAAGCAACTTGTAAAACTGGTACCATAACTGCTGATTGGCAAACTCTAAATGGGAGCTGGAACTGGAGTTCAGCTCTGTAGTAACGGCTTGCTCAGCACACACAAGAGACACACAACAAAACGAAAGAACCCGGCAATGGCAGTCTTATCTCTTGGAAGATTTGTAAAAGTTTCATGGCAAAAACAAAACTTGTCTAGGTAGTGATGCTAATTCAAGAAATAGGAAAGTCAACACTGGTCAGAGAAAACAGCCAGGTCTTACCTGTAGCTCTCCCTGACACACCTCTCTGCAGCCACATAATCATTTCTGTGTAGATGAACCAAGACCTGAGCGATTGTTTTCTGAAACAAGAGGGAAGGCTATGATGCAGATGATACCTATTTCCACAGTCACCTTCCTACTTAACACAACAAACCTAACTCTCAGAGCACTAGCTCATACAGGAAACACACACAATTCCTCAATAACTTGCACAGGACACCTGGGAGGAAACGGCCTAGACTACTATGTCAGAATCAAATGGTGCACAGAGCACACAGGGATTTGGGGAGACTGAAGAGGGAGCAGGCCTGAGCCTGTCTGCTCTCACCAGAACCAACTGATACGGGCATTAATGGCCTGAGGACTCAAAGTCTAAGAATGCAGTGCAAGTTTACAGAATTTCTTTCAAATATCTATATTCAATTAGTATTGAAAAAGAATAAAACAGAGAAGACTTGCAACTTTAAAATTACAGCCTGAAATTTTTAGATAATAAAAAACACTAGAGCCGGGCAGTGGAGGCGCACACCTTTAATCCCAGCACTTGGGGGGCAGAAGCAGGCAGATCTCTGTGAGTTCAAGGCCAGCCTGGTCTACCAGAGCTAGTTCCAGGACAGGCTCCAAAGCAACACAGAGAAACCCTGTCTTGAAAAACCAAAAAAAAATAAAAAAAAAGACACTAGAGAAAACTCTAGAAAAACAGAAACAAGGGATTGCTCAGAAGATCAAGGATACGAAAGATAACATCTTATTAGGAGAATACTTCTTCATAAAGCAGTTTACTTTTTTGTTTGTTTTTTTTTTCTTTCTTCCTTTTGGAGGTGTTGTTTGATTCTTGAGACAGGACCTAACTATACAGTCCAGGCTCAAACTCACAATCCTCCTGCCTCAGCAGGACTAGGATTACAGACACACACTAGCATGACTAGCCTACACAATTCACTTAAACCACCTTTGTATATTCTTTCACTGATCCATCTTCAGTATCACTGAGTCTTAGTTGTGAAGGTCAATACTGACTGTCAACTTATGAGGATCCAGAACGACACAGGAGCCTGGCCATGTGTGAGGGACTATCTTGGTAAGTTAACCGAGAGGAGAAGACCTGCCCACTGTAGGTGGCAGCATTCTAAGGTGCTGAACTGGAAGAAGGGGGGGGGGGGCGCACACCCCAGTCCTGTGTCCTGACTGCAGACACAACATAATCAGCTGCCTCAGCACATGTAGCCTCAAAATGTGACCCCACACAAATTCTGTTCCTGAAGTTGCTTTTGTCAGAGCATTTTGTTGCAGCTACAAGACAAAGAAGTATTAACAGCTGTCTTCGCTGCAACATTAGTCTCATCTAGTAATTGCTTTCAGATACCATGTCTCAAAGTTTTCAAGTGGATCAGTTTTACAGCTTCTATAAAAGTACTTTTCTCTATCAAAATAATTCTTTTCCATTCAACTGTGTTCACCTTTATGTTATACAACAGCTACAGTAACTGTTTGGAGGTCTTCTAATTTGAAGTGGTAATTCTAAAATCCAGGTCACTAAGTACTGCTGTAAGTAGTTTTTGTCTGATGAGTATTTCTGGACTATTTTCTAGATTTCTGTGAATGTTACAAGGCATATGATGTATGATGTTGTAATGCTCAGGAAAAGTGTGTTGTTTCAACCACACTCAACCATCCCGGGTTCAGGCTGCAGACACGGTGGGTAGTGGATCTGACTTGTTTGAATCTTTTGTTGTGATCTTTGGGCCTGTTCCATACACTAGACTTTCATGGGCAGGATGAGACTTAGTGGTTCAGTTTGATTTCAATTCTCAGAGCAGTCACTCCTACTCTGGGTCCACCCCAGGCACACACGGCCAAGAAGACCATGGGCCACACACATAGCGGATTCCCTTCTCCCACGCTCTCCTCTCCGGGATCTGTCCCTGCTCTCTGTGAGTCACATCAGCTGCAGCTCTGTGACCAGAGCTCAACCTAAACCAAGTGGGGGTGGGAGGCCTCTCCCAGCCCCTCCAGTTTCAGGGAGGAGGGCTCTTCTGGAGTTTTTGCTGCAGTCTCTCCTGCCCAGTGCCATGACGAGGGGTATCTCTCAGGGCAATGGACAAGAGAAGACAGAGCTCCAGGAACGCACTCTCCTGAGCTGCTGGCTTCATCCAAGCACTGGGCGTCATCTGCAGGCCACCCATCTTTATTTACTGTCCAGAGTTTGAAGGAAATACTTCTAGTATTTTGTTGAAAATTTTATTGAAAGAAAGGATGGCTAAGATGGTTTCTCCGTCATGGTCAGAAGCATAAAGATCATAAATTACTGATTTATAGAAATAGACAAATATCCATAGGATCTTAGCTTGAATACTTTATACCAATGTGTAAAATATCTAAAGTGAAGTCAAGCCAGACATATTCAAAGAATACCTTATAACATGTTGGATAATTCTCAATTTCCTTATAAATATTTTTTTCTTTCTGAATAGACAGTGCAGCCTCATCAAACCTAAAGACAAAAGAAAGAAATGTCAAAGAGAGCAGATGTGAGGCCTCTGCAGATTCCACCGCTACACTGCCCTGCAGCACAGACTTTAGAGGACAGCACTTTGTCAGCTGCTCCACAGTGGGGTTTCCATTGGTTGCACTCATCACACTTCTCTCTCAAATGCCTGACTCCCTCTAAGGCATCAGGGCTGGAAATAAAAAGATAGAATGAAAGAGGTTTTTAGGTTTGGTAAAACCACCCACTAATATGTTCCTAACTACTTCAGTAAGTAGCTCTGTAAAATTTTCTAGACAATCTAGACAGGCTTCCTTCCATCCACAGGAAAAAACATCAAGGTGCCCTGACCACTCCCTTATCTGCCATGTGTCCTCACTCCCTGCCCTGCTGCTCAGGGATCCCAGCAAGCTAACCCAGCCTTCCTGTAGGCCCGGCGTCCCTCCCACACCTTGATTTCAGCCTGTGAGACCCCAGTAGAGACTTATGGCCACAGAATCCGTGAGATTACGTAAGTGCTGTTTTAAAGAGCTGGGGCTGTGGCAGTCCGCTATACAAACAGAAAAGGTAATGAAAGGAGGCCTCCCATGTGCTCACATCTCTCATAACTGTGCGAATGAGCTCAGCACAGACCCTGTAGAAAATGAAATTACAGGAACCAGACTCTTTCATTTCTATGGAAATGTCACTATTGGAAGCTTTCCACAACTTACAAACACAATAGTGTATCTGAATAAGAACAGTTAACCTTATCAATATAAGACATAGTCATACTCCATCTCTAAATACATTTCACATATATTTTATAATATGTAGTCATCATGAAGAAAAACTTACTTTAGCCTTGGAAAGGAATTGATTCAGTCCTGAATTTCTTGAAAAACTACACCTATGGCCTTTACTGTCACTGCAGAGACACGGGCAAGTTTAAACAAAGATACGTGTCTCCTTTAAGTCATGCTAAACAGACAAGTGGAGTGATTATTCCCTTAATGAGATGCTGTACTTTTTGTTCTCAGAATTCTCACCTCCAGAGCAGTACCTATAAGCAGCTGTGTAGCGTGATTTTTCTTTACCTTTTTTCTGTCTCTTCCAGTTGTTGGCCAGAACCCAAGTTTCTGATACATGGATTAATAGAAATGGGTTAATTTAAGATATAAGAGCTAGGTAGGAATACGCCTAAGCTGTTGACTAAGCAGTGCTGTAATTAGCAGAGTTTTCAATGTGAGTATTGGTCAGGGTGGCCAGGAAATGTAAGCGAGTTACCGGCTACATGAAGAGGTTAACTACACCCTAGAGGACACAAGGAATAAATAACCCCAGTATATCAACAACAGTAAATCAAGGTGGGGGACAACAATGACACCATAACAAAATAACAAGAATCAATAAACACTGCTCATTAATAAGCCTCAGCCTTAATGGGCTTAAGTCCTCCATAAAAAGACATAGACTAACAGTGTAGATGACAAAATCAGGATTCATCTTTCTGCTACATGTAAGAAACAGACCTCACCATCAAAAATAGATATCACCTTGGGATTAAAGGATAGATTATTTTAAACAAATGGACCAAAGAATCAAGTAAATGCAAGCCATTTTAATATCTGGCAAAAAAAAAAAAGACTTCAAACCAAAACTAATCAGAAGAGAAGAGATAGAAGAAGACACTACATACTCATCCCGGGAGAAATCCAAGAGGACATTACAATACAATTCTAAACATTTATGCACCGAATACATTGGCACCCAGGTTCATAAAAGACATATTACCAGGGTTAAAATCACATGTCAGCCCTCACACAGTGATGGTGAGTGAGCTCGGTACAGAACTCTCAATAGCAGACAGACTGTCTACACAAAACTAAACAGAGAAACACTAGTTAAATAACGGCATACCTCAAATGGACCTAACAGAATCACTTTCTCCTCAGCAGCTCATGGAACTGTTCCAAAACTGACAGTATACCAGGACACAAAGCAAATCTCAAGAGAACTGAAACACTACTATAACCATCTGATCACCACGGATTAAAGTTGAATATCAAAAACAACAGAAACATCAGAAAGTACATAATCTCATGGAAACTGAACAACTCTGTCAAGACAGGAATCAAGAAGAAAATTAAAAACTTATAAGAATTGAATGAAAATGAAAACGGAATATATCCAAACCAATTGGTCACAATGAAGGCAGTTCTAAGAGGCAAGTTCATAGCACTAAATACCTTTATGGAAAAACTCAAGATTTCATATTAGTAACTTAATGACACACCTGGCAGCTCTAGAAAAACAAGAAGAAATAAAATGCAAAGGGGAGACAGGAAGAAACAATAAAACATGGCAGAAATTAATGAAACAGAAACAACCACAAAAATACCAATAAAAAGAATCAATTAAAGGAAGAGTTGGTTCTTTGAGAAAAATCAATAAGCTTGATAAAACATTAGCCAAATTAACTAAAAGAGACATAAGATCCAAATGAACAAAATTAGATATGAAAAGGGCAACATTACAACAGAAACTAAGGAAATTCAGAGAATCATGAGGTCATACTTCAAAAATATTAATTATTCCCAACTATAAAATCTAAAAGACATGGATCAATGTCTTGATATATTAGACCTAATCAAAGTTAAGTCAAGATAATACAAGCAACTGAAACAGACTCATAACCCCTAATGATATAGAGGCCATAATTAGGAAATCTCCTAACCAAAAATATCCCAGGGCCAGTTGTATTCAGCAAAGAATTCTATCAGACCTTCAAAGAATTAATGCCAATACACCTCAATTTAATCCGAAGTAGAAACTGAAAGAATATTTCTTAATTCTTTTTATGAAGCCACTATATAGACCAATACCCCTTAAGAATATAGATGTAAATGTTCTCAATGAAATACTTGCAAACCAAATCCAAGAACATATGAAAAAGATTATCTATCACAATCAAGTTGGGTTCATCCTAAAGAAGCAGAGATGGCGCAACATACATGAATCTATAAATATAATGCACTGTATAAATCAAATTGAAAGACAAGAACCATATGATCACCTCATCAGATGAAAAAAAGGTCTCAACAAAACCATACACCCTTTCTTGATAAAAGTACTAGAGAGTGGTGATATGAGGGACATACCTCAACATAATACAGACAATTTAGAGCCCATAGCCAACACCAACCTAAAGGGAGAGAAGTTCAAAGCATTTAAACTCAGAACAAAACAAGGTTGTCAATTCTCCCCATACCTATTCAATATAGAAATTGCAGTCTTAGGGCAATAAGACAAAGAAGAAAATCAAGGGAATACAGACAGGAAAGGAAGAAGTCAAATATGCTTATTTGGAGCTGATATGATTATGTATATAAAAGACCCTAAAAACTTCAGCAGGAAACTTTTACAGCAGATTAATACTTTCTAACTCACAAAAATCAACATACAAATGACAAATATACTGAGCAAGAACTAAAGGAAACAGTATCTTTCAAAACACACACACACACACAAATGAACACATGCATGCACCCATGTGTGTACGTGAGTACCTTGGGGCAACTCCAATCAAGCAAGTAAAAGACTTGTATAATAACCTTATGATATCGAAGAACCCGAAGACACCAGAAGATAAAAAGACCTCCTATGCCAGTGAGTCGGTAAGATTAATATTGTAAACGCAGCCATCAGACCAAAAGCAATCTACAGATTCAAGGAAATTCCCACCAAAATTATAACACGGTTCTTCACAAAAATTGAAAGAAGCATCTTTAACTTCACATGGAAACAAAAGAACACAGGATAACTAAAACAATTCTGAATAATAAAAGTATTGCTGGAGGTATCACCGCTGCCAATCTCAAACTGTACTACACAGCTACTGGAATAAAAACAGCACAGCAGTGGCATAAAAACAGACATGATGATTAATGAAAGCAAACTGAACACCCAGACTTAAGTCCACACACCTATGCACAAATAGATTCTTATCTATCATTCTGCACAAAACTCAACTCCACATGGATCAAGGACCTCAACACCAATAAGACCAGGTACACTGAATATGATGCAGGAGAAAGTGAGGAATGAGCTTGAACACACGGCAGAGGAAAGAGCTTTCTGAACAGGACACTAGTAACACAGGCACTAAGACCAACAATTAGTAAATGGGACTGCAGGGAGCTGAAAAGCTTCTAAAAGACAAAAGACAACATCATTTGGGCAAAGCAGAGGGCTAATATCCAAAATATATAAAGAACTCAAAAATTTGAAGATCAAGAAATTAATTTTCAAATGGGATACAATTCTCAAAGATGAAACACAAATGACAAAGAACAATTAAATATTCAATATCCTTAACCATCAGGGAAATGCAAATTGAAACTACTTTAACATTGCCTCTTACCTGGTCAGAAAGGCTAAGATCAATAAAGAATGGCAGTACAAGCTGGAGAGGATATGGGGAAAGGGGAACACTTACTTACTCACTGCTGGTGGTAGTACAAGTTGACACAGTCACTGTGGAAACCAGTGTGGAGGCTCCTCAGGAAGATGAGAATCAATCTACCACAGCTTGATTCTCATCAAATATCCCGCTATATCATTCTTGGGCATATACCCAAAAATCTTGGCATCCTACTACTAAGATATTTTCTCATCCATGTTCACTGCAGATCTATATCCAGAAATTGGATAGCCTAGATATCTAGCAACTGATGAATAGAAAATGAAAATAAAATATATTTACACACCTAAATATTATTCAGCAGCTAAGAAAAATTAAAATTACAAAATATACAAGCAAATGGATAGAGCTAGAAAAAAATTATCCTGTGATAACCCAGAGCTCAAAAGACAAATATTATGTTTTCTCTTATATGTGGATGTTAGAGCTTAAGCTTTTGATATGTATGCTACAATCTGATTAACCCTAGGGGTTAGAAAACTAGCAAGAGGCCCTGGGGAAGGAGAGGATCTCCCAAGGAAGGAAAAATAGAACACAGTGCTGTGGAAGGGGAAAGCAGAATAGGGGGATTAAACAGGGAGCAATGGGGAATGAGATAAAGAGTAAAGGGAGTAATACAGGGAGGGACAACTAACACTAAGGTCATGTGAAAAGTCGTATGTAGACCTACTACTAAAATGTACACACATACAAAAAGAATCTAAATGGGGAGGCCATAATAGCGGAGACAATGCCTCAAGTAGATTCCTTATGCCACCAAGCAAAGCCTCCAGTGTCAGCAATGGGTAACATCTTGCTGAGTCATTGGCCAAATGGAGTCCCACGAAAACTCCTCCAAATCACAGGCTATTGTCAAAGCTATTGGTTGCTCTCCACCTTATGGCCCTATTGCTAAAGAAAACATGTCATCGAACAAGGAAAAGTCAAACTGGTGCCTAATTAGAAGCTTTACCCCTACTGATGGGTTTTCATGATGCTGGAAGGTATTCTGCATGATGCCAAAGGAAAAAGGCAATGTCAATAACAGTCAGGTATAAATCTTGCAACCTAAAACAATAACCTGCTTATAAGATATACTGGTAAAATAGTAGCACAATATTATGGGAGTAACCAACCATTTTTTTTAAATAGGATTTAAGGCCCATACCTGACACTGTTAAAGTAACTACGAGACTAGATAGGTCATGGACCTAGACGAAAACCTAATACTATTATTCCACTAATATAACATAGTAATATTATGCCCATATAAAATGATGCCCAGCAACATATTGTTATAACCACAAATCAGCTCAACCCACATAAGAAAAAGATTCTTGCAGTATATGGGGATTTAACACAAAGACCCAAACTGGACAAAGTGCAGCATGAGAGACTTTGGAACACTCAGCCTTCATCAAATCGCCCCCTCCCAGGCTCCCAGATCTATGCGGAAGAGGAGGAGAAAGACTGTTAGGAGCGGAGGTGATGGAAGACTGCAGGGAAACAGCGTCTCCCAGATACAATAGCACTGATGTACACACACACTCACAGCTTCTGTGGCAACACACATCAGACCTACACAGGCTCGAGCCAGGCAGGGTCCCAGCACTGAGAGGGGTAAGGAGATCTGGGTTCCTAGCCCAAGCTAAGGGCTATCTGCAACAGTTCCCACTGGCCAAAGGAAAATCAGTGTCCTCCACTGGAGCGCACGCCACAGCAGGTCCCACGTTCAGGAGCAGTTTTGTTTTGGCGTCTCTGTCTTACTGGTCTTTTGTATGTCTCTTCTTATTTTTGTTTTTGGATTTTGGTTTTGTTTGAAAAGAAGAATAAAAAAACAATATAAAGTTGGGTGGTTAGGCAGGTAGAGAGGTTTTGGGAGTAGCTGGGAGAGGGGACAATGACCAAAATACTAAAAAAAAATTTAAAGAAATATATATATATATATATATATATATATATATATATATATATATAAAATGGAAAATACTAAATATCCCATTTAATGACACAACCGTATCAAAAGCTGTCGATTTTCATGGGTATTTAGGACACGTTGCTACCTACTCCAAGTAGTGCGGTGGGAGAGCACAGTAACTCTTTCACTTCACTGAGTTACCGTTAGGCAACAAACGCACGACACAGTTTGGAATTATGATAGAAAACAGGTTTTAAATCCATGTGCCTACTCTTAGGAGATGGCCACCTTTCCACGGTTTGTCCGGTGGGGACAAGCTATAGCCAAGGCTGTTCAAAAATGTAGGCCATACCTTCGTCCTCGTACCAGCAGCCGGGAGGCCTTTCCCAGTAGTTCCACTGCCTGCCGGAGGCGCTCCTCATTCTGCAGAAACCAGAGAACAGGGAGTGCGGCAGAGTTAATGTGGAGCTCTCTGACCCTGCAACAGCAACTGCACAAAGCAACGGCCATGGATGGCAGCACCAACGCTGCTAGGCCATTCACTAACCTCTAGAAGAAAGAAGGCATCGAGCTGGGACACAGAAAAACCTTAAAAAGCATTCACTGCATTTCTCCTTTCCTATTTATTATGAATGAAAATATTATAAGTAATTAAAGAAATAAATAAAATTCTAACTTACTTCGAACACATTGGCTGTCTGCTGATACAACTGCACAGCCTTCTCTGGATCTACATTTTCTATGAGCCTGAATTAGACAGAAAATACAATTTGTGAGAATTAAGAAATTGTTTCTTAAAGGACTTTAGCAAGACAAAAGGAGCCCTCTGCAAAGCCAGGGCATCCCACAACAGCCATGTGCACCCACTTTCCAGCTCGCTCCAAGGCCATAGCTGCTGTATCAGGGGTGCCATTCTCCAGGTACATCATGCTGGCTTTCTCGATCAGCTGGACGGCCTCAGGCAGTTTCTGCATCTCCTTCAGGAAAAGCATGCAGTATGGGGCAGAAAATGTCTCAACTTAAGAAATGGAGTTTTAACACTTGAAAATTCAATTATTTTATCCATACACTTCTTGACACACATACAGCACTACAGAGTAGATACCATCTGAGATCTAGGTCTAAAAATCAACAACAAAAAGCCCAACATATGATAAACGCTTGTAATCTGAGCTCTGGGGAGGTGGAGACAGGTGCATTCCAGGAACTACCAGGCACCCGTCTAGCCAACCCGTGAGCATCAGGCCAGAGATCTGTTCTCAAAAAAGAAGGTGGGTGGCGGAAGACACCAAATGTTGAGCTCTGACTTGTGTACACACACACGCACACACACAAAACCCATTTCATAACTAAAACAGAATAGTAACCTCTAACCTGCTATTAAGAAGCATAAATGTAGCATATCAGTCAAAACATTCCATTATTCCATTCAAAAGGAATAAAATAAATTGGCAATTGCTAGTTTGAGACTCTCCTGACTCCATCCTGATATTGATATTTATAAATCAAAAAATTAATAAAGCTAATTTTCCTTTCCATAACCTACAAGTAATTTAACAAAACAAACAAACATCCGTGTAAAATAAAGTTTCATTGCATCCGACGCCCTCGGGCTGTCTCCAGCAGCGCCCTCTCCTGGCTGCAGGCTTCCCTCCCAATGCACTGCCTTTCACAGGGCACTTTCAGTCCTCTGCAGGAACTGCCACAGGACGCTCACTATGGGTCCAGTTAGCGCTAACCTGGGCAAGACATCTTAGCATAGCCTTTGCTCCCACTCCCACACCCCCCACCTCTTCTTTACAGGGAAGGAACTTGTCAACTTCAACATGAACTCTGCCTTGACAGCTTGCTAGTTCACTTTACCGGCACAGCTGCTCTGGAACAGTATCACTAACCTTCAACATCATGCCAGCTTGCTCATAAGCTCTGCAAAGAGAATACAATTTCTCTGATGAGACCTTAACGAAGAGGGAGAGACCTTCTGGTGAAGATGCTGGTCACCTGACCAGCAGAAAAGAGCTCAAGCATGTGTGTCACTCGGGCCGCACCGCCACACTAGAGTGCTGTGCTTTTCCTTTCATTCATTTGCTTCTTAGAGCACTGATACCTTAGGAACATCAAACACTAAACTGAGTTTACTCAGCAAAATTAAGTCAGTCTCGGGAAGGCTAAAAGACAAACCCAATTCTAGTTTTAAAACAAATGAATATGCTCCACAAAAGGAGAACGCTCCCATGTCTTCCATGGGCACTTGGCAACCAATAAATAAAGGGAGAATTCAAGTCACCTGTATTTCCACAAGCAAAATATTATGCAGAATTTAATTTAAAAATCTTTATTACTAGAAGACATTTGGACTTTAAAGTTCAGCTGATGACTAAAACAAATGAAAATAATTATCTTAATTACATTTATCTAAGTATTTAAAAACACAGAGCTTGAGGAAAAGTTCTCCGCCTAGAGAGATCAACTTTTAAATCATCTGCAAACACAGAAAAAGGGTGAAAAGTTACTTACTTGGCAGCATGAAAAAGACTGAACGGAGAGAACGATGTCAAAATTAAGGAAAAAAAGAAGAAATCAATGGTCTTCAGAGACTAAGTCACTGGTACATCAGATTCCAAAGACAAATCCTATGAGTAAAGCAGCAATACCCAGTGCTGCTGCTGGCTCTGACCACCCCAACACTGACAAACACTGTGAAGAACTTTAAACTACTACACCAACAGGATGAAGTGCAAGAATACTAAGACTACATTTGCATGGGAGATAAAATGGACATTTACAATTGGTAGCCCTTACGACACACTAAGAACATTTTGTTCTAGAATGTTTACAAATCTTCAAAGACCCGAGGAAGACTATTTTTCCCAAGGCAGATTATGCATTCTCAATAGATGTACTTTCACTTTCTTTTGTGACACACGCCTAGAAACCTCATTCCCCCATCTCAAGTCAAATCCCTGTCAACAACACCAGGAGCAGGAGGAAATCACAGGCAAACAGGGTTGCTCACATCAACATGCACTCAGGAACACTCGCTGAATATTCCCATGACTATAGAGCGCACACTGCCCATCCTTCCCTGAATACCCCATGACTATAACGCACACACTGCCTATCCTTCCCTGAATACCCCGTGACTATAGAGCGCACACTGCCAATCCTTCCCTGAATACCCCGTGACTATAACGCACACACTGCCCATCCTTCCCTGAATACCCCGTGACTATAACGCACACACTGCCCATCCTTCTCTAACTGAAAAGCATTTCACTTCAAACGCTCAAGGGAAAGGTGGTGTCAAAATCTAGCTGTTCCATTTCTTTTTAAAGCTAAAAAAAGATACGCCCTGTTATTTTCATGGGCAACAGCTTCCCGTAGGCAGGCATCTTTTGCTTGCTCAAATTGTTTGGCATTTTTAAAAGCAACAGCTGAAACAGGAAAAGAAAAAAAAGTAAGACTTTCTATTCCCATCATTAACCGTCCTCAAATGAATCACTACCCAACTCTGCATTATGTGAGAAATAAAATAAAGATTTCAAATAGGGGGCTTCATAAAAATGTGAAATATTATTTTTACCTAAAGCAAGTTATAATCTTTCTGAGTACACTTTTAGAAGCCATTTAAAGTTTTAATTGTTGATTTTTAGCAACACATTGGTGTTGCTTCCACTGAATACCAAGAGCACCTTCTAGCACCAGCTCCACCCAAGAGCACACCTCACTCCCAGCTTCTTTCCTTCCAGCCCACGACTACTGACAAACTGAAGCCCAATCAACACATCAGTTTTGTAATAAATCTTCCCTGTGGGCACAGTCCTTAAGTGCCAACAAGTCATTTGCTTTCCTATTTAGTGATCTACACCGCTTGTAGAGCTAACCTACACTGCACGGTACCTTACAACAGGGGCTCACCGGGTGAAACAATCAGGATGGCCCTGAAAGACAATATTAGTCTTTGGAAAATTCATCAAGGGTGGATTATGAAAAGTAGAAAGCACAGTGATTTAAGGAAGTGGTGTCTTTGTCTGTTTTGTCTCCATACATGTACTCCCCAGTGGAGGACTCAACTATGCAGCCTTGACCAACCTCTGACTTGAATAGATGCTCCTGCCTCAGCCTCCCTAGATAAAGTGTCCTCAACTATTATTTCTTAAAACTACACTCTCAGAACACTCTTTAACCAAGTGTTGAAAACAAACAAAATATTCAACTACTCCTATTTTTGCTTGTCCCAACTATTTTTTTTAAAAAAGACTATAAAATATGCCCAAGAATCCATATAAATCTCAAGTTTAAGCAAATTTATCTTTAAATACAAAATACAAGTAATTTGCATAATGTAAGAAACAAAACTTACACAATATTTAAACACAAGGCTAAAGACTTCTGTTCTCCTTTCAAATAGAAAATAAACCTATGCATAATAATGGTAGTTTCAAGGTACCTGGCTTGTTTGGTTGGTTATTTATTTATTTATGTATTTATTTGGAGATAAACTGAAACTAAAATTTGGTGGAAAGTACTTGCTCTAGGAGATCTCAAAGTCAGGCTCACTAATATAGTCACAGACGAAAATGTGCTTGAGGAACTTCAAACTTGTGGTGGTTAAAGGCATGTGCATGGAGATCAGAGACAACGTGTAGGAGTCAGATCCCTCTGTCTGCACGTGGATCTAAACTCAGGTTGTGGGCTCAGCAGCAAGCACGTTCACTCTGAGCTATCACACCAGTCTCAAAATTAAGTTTTACTATGTTATAGCAAAATGACAGCAGCCTTTCAGGGCTATCATATCATTTCTTAATAAAACTAAACTTGTACTAAATTCCCTTCGTTGCATATTTCAGGTATTTTATACTTATAGACAGGTGAATTTACTGAAATGAGCACAAAGGTTTTAACCCTTCGTGAACACGTGTTTCTCAAAATGAAGCTCATAAACATTAATGTGGGAAAACACAAGGTCTGCAGATCTCCTCTTTTTAGTTTAAAAAATTAAAGAATACCCTTTCTTCCACAGCAGGAAGTCTAAGACGGAACCATGCAACACTTATGGACTCCAGTGAAGGAAGCTGGCGCCCACAAAAGCAATGCTAACAGCTGGACTGCAGACACTATCCCATGTCTGCTGTCAAGACCCAGGACAAGAACTGACTCAGCACTCGCTAAATCTGCAGAGGGTGAGTCCAGGAAAATGCCAGGGCCCGTGCAGTTGCTCTGCTTTACTCTTCTGTTATAACTAGTAAAGTTGACAAGAAGTATTGAAATTATTACGCTAAGACAAAGTTATCCGATTATGCTAATGACATACACAACAGCAAGAGGACTCCAGTCACAAATACCTGCTTTTCCATATTCAGAAGCAGCACTGTCGTAGTCTGGCTTCCATTTTAAAAACCCAGTTTTCAGGCTAGAATGAAAGAGAGAGATTTCTTAATAAAGGGTACCATCAGGGACAGGTCTCTACCTTCTCAACTCTTTCTCGACTATTCATAATAAATGCACCCTCGCCTCTGCCATCCCCACCCATCACAAATGCAGTTTTCCTCCTTCTGAGATGTCTACATACCATCCGAACAGAACAAGCATGGTCCCCAGACCAGCGGCATCACACTGCCTACCCCAGATCTACACAGTCAGAAACTGTCTGGGTGGGTGCCACAACGTGTGCTTTAACAAGTGTGAGAACCTGAAGCATACTGTCCTTCGCAGCAGAGAGGCTACTGGGAAGAGGAAAAGTAAAGACCTGTGAGCACCTGGTGTACCAAGAGACTGTAGAGACTAAGGGACAACATTCAGATGGGAAACACGGGGAGTAAAGCCCAGTGGCGGCTGACTCTCACGCGGTCCAGGGTTGACACTGGCCTAGAAGCCAGAGCAAAGGGCACCCAGTGTTCAGTGTTTATCTTTCTTGCCTTTTTTCTTTTGCAGTACTCTGTTTTTATTTTAAAAATAATTTCAAACTATTCCAGTAGGTCTCAAACTTGGGTGTGGTAAGAATTGCTAAAGGTCATCTTATATTCTACATTTCAACTCAATTAGTGAAAGTCTGCTTACATAGAACACTGCTTCATATGAATCCAGGGGCTACTGAGAGGCGGGGTCCTTAGAAGCACACCCTCCACAGGTCCACAGAAGCTCAATTACATGTAATGTCTAATGTATAAAATTGAAATAAGCAGCAAAGTTCCAGCTCTGCCCTTCACGAAAGCACCCATTATGTCCTATAGCAACATGATTATGGAAGTCTCGCCCAAGCAAGATACAATTCAAAGTGCTGGAGAGATTTTAAAAACTGCCGATCACCCCGAGGCAGTAGGGCATCACTAGTTAGGAATGAGGGCCCTGTTAATGTCAGTTTGATGTCTAACCTGTTATGAGCCTTGACTGTTTTTGTCCTAAGACTCAGTAAGAAAACTTCCCTAAGACAAAGAAAGTGTTAATGAGAGCTTCTGCCATCAGAAAATAGAATATAATCTAACTGTCTCTCCTACACACTTGGCCCATTTTTCCTGCCACCCCACTGGTTTTCTACCTAGAGCAACTTCAAACACCCTTCAGACCTGAATCCATACACCCCCACAGGAGCTACAAGCATATCCGGGCATCTATGACCCCACCTTGACTGAAGGCCCCTCCCACCATTCTTCTCCCAGCAGAGACACCTAGAAGCCAAAGGCTCAGCTCCATACACAGCTGCCATGCGGACTAGTTAAGGCTATTACAGAAATGATGCCAATCCTGGTTCCTATTGTTCCCTTAACTCAGGCGGGTCCGATCACTTCTCCCTGAAGTTCTCATAAAGCAGCTTTATTATGGCTGACAGCACATGCTCTGGTCTTTTATGTTTGCTCCCACCAGCAACACGGATTCTTGAGATCACCCTCCGCACCGATAGCTGCCTTCCTGGCCACTGGAGGCAATGTAGTATGCAAGAAAGAGCCTGGGGAGTTCCACTGCGTAAAACTGGCCCTGTTCTGTTCAGCTGAGCAGACTTGGACAGCTCTCCAGAAAGTTTCTGGCAGCCTCTGTTTCTCCTTTGTAAAGTGAGGACTTCTATTTGGAAAGTTGGTAAGATCTTAGTTTATGGTGCCCCTAACAGTGTACTAAGAAACTTCTTATAGTCGATAATCGCTAAATATGTATGTTGTAATTCACGGAAGTGGGTTAGAGGGTCATGTTAGTGTCAAAATAAGGAGAATTCGCAATTTCCAGTACCGAGCCCGGAACCAGATGGTGGCACACCCACAGGGCTAAGGAAGCAGAGACCTTGTACCCCAGGGAAAAGGACGTCTACGGATGAGAGTTCCCAGAATTAGTCTACACTCCCGCATGGCACCAGGGTCTCTTTCCTAGCAGTGGCTCTCCACCGGGCGATTTCATCCGTGGGGTCACTTCTGGCTGTCATGAAAAGGAAACAAGGTGGCCACCCCTGAGCCCGCAACTACTCTACGAGCAGAGCGGCCGCAAACCCTCGGGAACCGGCGCCAGGCAGACGTGTCTGTGATATGGGCACCTGCTGCAGATGCCGAGGCACAGGCCCGCACCGCCGACTGCAGGGGATTGACCCACAAGGGACGGCGCCGCCCCGGGACGCGGACAGCATCACGGCCCTCCCTCCCGATCCGCCCGCGCGCACGGCCAAGGGGCACGGGCTCCTAGCCCAGCTGCGAATCCACGTACTATTTCTCTGCCTTCGCCAGATGCTCCAGCCCCTCGTTTATCTTCTGGGCTGCCATGGTCTCGGTCACTTGCTGACGCGAAGAGCGAAGCCACCTAGTGCCCCGCAAACCTCGGGAGCGTCGGCGTGGGAACGCCGCGGAGGAAGCCGGGAAGGGCGCCTACGGGAAGAGAAGAGGTCAAATTTCCTGTGGCGAAGCTGGCCCGGAAAAGGGCCGGGATGGGGGAGGGTGGGGTGATGGCGCGCAGGCGCCTTGTTGCGGAACTGGCCTGATGGGGTTTTAACTCTGGTTAGGTGTTAAAGTAGTGCGTTTTTTAGAACGTTTGTTACTGTACTCGACAAATATTTAAGAAGCAACTAATATATATCAAGTACTGGTCTCAATTAGTACCGAAAAGCCAAAAACACTCCTCCCTCACGGAACCCAGCTTCTCCACGCTGTGAAAATGCTGGGATGCAATTTATTACAGTTTCTCTCTACAACATCTAGGATGGTATTTGCGCATCATTCGTCTTTCATGATTTTCGTTTTATAAGGCGGGGTCTCACTGTGTTTCCTCCTACATCCACCTCATAGTGAATTAACATGCCTCCCGTTACAGCTTTTGAATAATAGTTCTAGTTATATATCAGTCAATAAAGAAAATAGATTGTAACCCTTGGTTACTGTCTGTTATATTTCAAACATGAGGAGAGGCCCTTGCAATAATCTGGTAGATGTGATTGACTGATTCAACAACTCTGCTGCTAATCAATGGAGGTTTTGGAATCATATCCTTGAGTCCTGCAATACCTATGTAGCCTCTCAGTTTTTCATCTGCGATGATCTTCTATCTAGCTCAGCCACTGAGACGGTTTGAAGGTCCACACACTGAAGGTTTCCTCTCCAATCTCCAGTCATAATAGAGCTAATGAAACCCTTAGAAGGTGAGGCATGGTGAAAGTAAAATAAGCCATTGCAGGTTTTTTATATCTTTCAAGGATATAAAAGGACCCTAACCCCTCTTCCATCTTCTCCTTCCTTCTCATCACCATGGGATGAGTCACATTGCTCCAACCATGCTGAACGGTCTTGCTTCATAAACTGAAAAGCAAGAGACAAAGCCATCGTGGACTGAAACGGTGAAGAAAACATAACTCCTCCACATAAATGAGTGACCTGGAGTGTTTGCAATAATAACAGAAAGATAGGGCATACAACCATATCCAGGATAGTAACTGTGGCCTCAACAACCAATAACCGTGTTTCTCTGTGGTGTCAATTTAAGCAGCCCACTTTCCTACTTCCTGGTGTCTTTTCTCATACCTCTTAATGTTGATATCTCTTGGTGGTTGACAGATTCTTCCTATTTCCCTGTTGTCTGCCCTTTCTCACACTTTCCATTTTTTTCATATCCTAAATTCCATACTGCTTCATATAGTCATTCTTTGCACATACTCTCAGACTCTTCCCTCCCTCTTTCTTCCCACTCTGAATATCTTGTAGATCTGCTGTTGAGCAAGTGCCCATGACTGGAGAAAATAAACCAGCATGCTAACATTACTCATTGTAGTGTTTGTAAACCTGAAGCAGGTCTTGGAGTGCCACTGAGCAAAAATGCTAAGTCCCACCCCTGTCAAATGACGACCCCCACTCATTTGGGAAAATTCTCACTTTTCTCTTCAAATTCCAACTCACTCCCTGAGCTTGACTACCAACTCCTACCTCCTATTTAACAACAACAACAATAATAATAATAAATCAGAAGAGCTTCTCTGCTCTCTCTACCAGTCAACCAGTATCTATTGAAAAAAAATCTCTAGCAGCAATGTCAAACTGGCCTTGTGATTTGATGAGGATGGCCCACATTGGTTCATATGTTTGAATGCTTAGTCCTCGGTTAGTGAAACTGTTTGGGGAGGATCAGGAGGTGTGGCCTTATTGGAGGAGGTGTGGTCTTGTTGGAGGAAGTGTGTTACTGGGGTGGGCATTGAGATTTCAAAAACCCAGATCAGACTCTCTCTCTCTCTCTCGCTCTCGCTCTCGCTCTCGCTCTCTCTCTCCCTGATGACTACCTGTGAATAAAAATGTAGCTGAGAGCCATGGCTATGCCTTCCTGCCTGGAGTCATGATCTTGACCATAATGATCTTGGACTAATCCTCTGAAACTTTAAGCAAGACTCCGACTAAATGCTTCCTTCTCTAAGTTTTGTTTATCATGGTATATCTTTACAGCAATAAAATAGTAACTAAGGTAAGCCTCTTGTTTGCCTATTACTATTTCTTTTTCAGTCTGTAATACTCCCTACATATGGAATACCTTTGCATTTGATTAAAAAGCCTTACCACCTACATTTGAGATACCCTCTACTTTTGATTATCTAGCCTTAATCAATTACATATGAGATACCATCTCTGTTTGATTATCTAACATTGTGTATGGTTTGGATACACACACACACACACATACACATGCATGCACACACGAGTTGTGAAGAAATATCTTCAATGAAACCTCATGTACTAAGAGTTAGTCAACGAATAGTGATAAGGATTTGGAAGCTTGAAGAGATGGGACCCATCTGGAGAAAGCAGGTCCCCAAGGGTTTTATCTTGACATGTTCCCCCTCTGCTTTTGGGCCACCATGGAGTTAACAGTCCCCTACTCCACATACTCCTATTGTTATAATGTTATCCCTCACCATGGACCCAGAATAAGCAGCTCCAACACCTACCTGTGAAACCGTGAGCCCAAATAAACCCCTCCCGTGTTTGACATTGTTTGCATCCAGTGTTTTGTTACCATGACAGTTTTATGCTTTCTCATAGGAGGGCAGCATCTCCAGGGGGTGAAAGTCTTCACTAAAGGTTTCATAAGGCCCAGGCTCTGGGACCAAGTGACCATTGCTTCTGCCACATTTTATCAGCCTCAAAGCAAGAGGTTGGAAGGCAGAAACACTGTGCAATATTGTGTTCCTGGCTTCTGACTCGCCACAGCTCTGGAATAAGTAATTCCATGAGGATTGTCGCTGGTGGTTTAGATTGGCGGTGTCACCAAGGCCCACATGTTAATGGCTTGGTCCTCTAAGCAATGGTGTCAAGAGAAGGAGGAGCTCTTAGGTAGTGGTGCCTAGTGAGGGACTGGTGATTAAGAAGGGGACTTGTGAGGAAAGCAGTGAGAACCCATATTCTCTTCCATTTTCATTCCAGGCTATAAACTGAACAGGCTCTCCCACCATTCATTCCCACCATAATTTGCTGCCGCAGACCCGAAGGCAAAGGGGCTGCTTGATTGTGGACTGAACCCTGTAACCTCTTTTAAAGTTTAGTGTCTGAGGCTTTTGTTACAACCACAGAATGCTGACTGGCACATACTGTTAGAATCTGAACCCCCAAATTAATGTTAAGGAAATGGAGGGGGAGTTAGGGAGGTAATGAGGTCAAATGAGGTCATGATAGCAGGGTGCTCATCACAGCATTCACAGTTTGATAAGAGGCTAACATGCATGCCCCATAGCATCATCTGAGAGCCTCTGCCATGTCATGGTGTGGTAGAAAGCCCTCACTAGATCCAGGCCCTGTGATCTTAGATATTCCAATCTTCAAAATCACGAATGAAATTAATTTATATTTTTTATAATTTACATGGTCCACAGGTATTTTATTGTAACAATAACAATGAAAACATGGATTAAGACAAACGCCTTATGTTTAAAGTTCCGGGAAGAACCAGGGATTTTCTAGGGTATCTATAGCCTCCTTTTCACTTTCTCTTATTTGTCCTTTCTAATGAAAGTTTTTATTTTATTATTTCATGTTTATGTGTGTGTTGTCTGCATATAGGCTTCTCATTATATGCATGTAGTGCCCATGGAGGCCAAAGGAGGGCGTCGTATTTCCTGGAACTGGAGTTACAGGCAATTGTGAGGGCCTTGCAAGAATCAGACCTGAGTCCTCTGGAAGAGCAGCCAGTGCTCTAACCACTGGCCTATCTCTCCATCCCCTTTGTATATTTTAAAATTATTACCTACTATTTCTCAACTCCTCTCAAAACATTAGTCTTGTGCTCCTGGGACACAATTGTTAAGCAAGATGTGTGTTTTCTGCCCTCAAGGAGTCTGTGACTTATGAGGGGCACAACGTTCACAGTATCCCTATTTCGGCATCAGCAGATTAGGTGTGGAAAAAGAGAAAGATAGCCATGACAGCCTTTGTGTTATTTGTTCCAGAAAGTATTGCCCTTATTAGGGAAACCCTATCAAATACATAATAACTCCTATTCACACTGAAGAGAGCAAGAGGTGGCCTGGGGACTCTAGAGGAACAGCACAAATATCCCAGCTTTCCCCCCTTTTCTCCCTAGATTAGTAAGGCAGGGATGGTTCTAGGAGAATTAAGCTACGGTTCGGAAAATTCCTGCAAGGAAAAGAACAGGGAAGAGACAGATGGCAGTGCCAGGCCATATGGTGACTGAGGAGAGGGAGAAGTGGCTGACCTTGACAAAGTATAAGCGGTGTGTGTGTGAATAAGGCAAAAGAATGACAAAGTTCCTGGGCACTGAAGGCTGGCATGACCGTCAGCCCGAGAGGGAGCAGCTGTAGCTATGGAGTGGAATCCAGAACTGGAGAGCTGAAGCAGACTCTGGACAAGTAAAGTAGGTAAACAAGAAAGAATTCTCCATATTAATCTTCCTGAGATCTAGGAATTATTTTCTAATCAACATCATTGATACTTCATTAACTTATTGATTACTACTTATAAAAAATATAAATCAAAATGGATGGTGTAGTTTTATTTCAACAAAAGCTAAGAGCAGTTCTCTAAACTCCCATTCCAGTTGGAAGAAACTACCAAATGATAATAAGATTAATTCCAAACCTTTGTTTGTAAAATCACTATCTGTTGTACAGAATATGTTTTCTCAGGGAAATGACATAACAGTTCCTGATTCAGTTCTTGGATCAAGTATTAATTACGTTTGTCTAACTATAGCAAAAATAATGCAGGAAAAACGTAAGAGCCGAATGAATTGTTGTAGCTCACAGATGCAGGAAATTCAACTGGGACTTACTTGACTCCACATGCTTGGGCAGAATCTTAGAATATTGTGCTGTTGGGAAAGTTTCAGGGTCATGGGGGCTGTCACCCGGATTTCTGAACAAGGCTGGTAATGTCCTG